TACCAACTGCCATTCTGGGTTCAGAAATGTCCTTTTTCCAGAAAGACCGATACTATGCCACTGGTAAGAGCTACAACTGCCGTTGGCCAGTGCGGCCGCAAAAAGCAAATGTCCACATCAAGCCACAAAGCGAGTGTCATTTCGTTTGCGAATTACGCAAGGCGTTGCAATATGCACGATGGCAATCTCGTCCTGCAGGTACAGCCGCGATGACAACACACAAGGTCCAGAACATGCTTCGACCTCTGAAAAGAAAAGGGACATATGGTGGGTGGCCAGCTCGGATATCGAACTTCGATGTCTTTCATGTCACTAGGCTGGATTCTTACACCGAAATAGTGGTATCTAAGTTCTTTTTTTTTTTCCTCAAAGAATCAATGTATACGAGATGGATCTAGACCACTGATTACCAATGGACATCCGCGTGCAGTAGAGTAGGTTTTCATCGGACTGTTCCGTTGCTGGGTGTTGGTAGTCAGGCAACCGGTCCAGACGATACATCGAAGCATGTCTCACTCTGAAGATGTGGTCTGACAGTTCAAGGGTATGCTGCACGGACATGTGCCATGTATACTGTGAGTAGTCTAGCCAAGCAATAAACAACTACACAGTGTTGTACAACTGCCGAAAACCTGCCGAATGCCTTTCTCTCTTAGCGTCGTACGTCTTGTACATACACTGCACAGTACGTGTCTGGCCTGCTGATCCCTGCGCATCAAGCAACGTTCTTGACCAAACTTTTGCAACATAGTTCCGGAAACGATTTGCTCTCCCTAGACAAGCAGATCTACGACTAAAACATTACCGAAATCGATAAACGGATACATGAAGCCGTCCCCGAAGGCCGAAAGTATCAGTGAACACAGGTAGAAACGTGCACAATGCGGGGTCTGCCTGTCCGAAGACAGGCCGTCGATTGCACCGACTGGATGATGGGTTACCCTCTGTTTTGTCGCTGATCGAACCCCCCCCTGGAGCGAACATGTTCCCCGTATCCCCAGTTCGTGGTGAGTTTGAGATACAGGGCGTTTTGAGGTGACGGATCCGATATACTTCAAGATCCAGAGATGCAGATCCGGAGATATTGCTGAGTCTGGCCCATGGGAATAGGCGGTAATACGGTTCTTTCCAGCTGGCTGCCTGACATACAAGCGCAAACCATTTGCATTGTTGTTAAACGCCGACTTGAAGTAGTTGAGTGGTTCCGCAACGCAGTGCGGGAGGAGATGACGACTAACGCATTCTTGTTGGGACAATGAGACCGAGGATAGGTAGCTCGGTCGTTATTGGCGTTAGTCGTTGCCTTGCAATACTGCAGGCGTTTGAATGAGGCAATCATGACTTCGCACTGACAATCCTCGGGACCCAGGGGGGTGATCTTCAAGTACCGAGCGCGAGCGCAAGGCGGAAGATAAGGCTGACGTGTTCGTTGGGGAAACTTCGGGATTTGCAAGCAGAGTATCAGTGCGCGTTACATGGTTTCTCCTATCTCGAAGGAGATGAGTTGCGTGTCGAGGAAAGTGTGCCTGTTGAAACAGAAAGAGCGGGTGACATGGTCGTGAAAATCGATCGCCACTCGACAAGGGGAGTGAAGAGCTGAACCGATGAGTGCAAGAAACTGCCGGTAAGTAGGACATAGTTAGAAACACATAACCGCAATGACACAACGTAGCTCCTGCTTTGACAGGCGCGTTGTTGGAGCTCTCTAGGTCGAGAAAGTGAGAGTACGCCTTTAGACTTGACCATAGCTGCGGGACATGATTAGATTGATACGATGGACGCATTTTGTTTGGTACAATTCTGCGCTTAGTGTGTTGTTTCCTGCTAACGATTCGGGGTGCTTGGACATGCTGAGCCAGACGTCATCGTTGTCGTCTTTGGGACTTCCATCAGCGACCCAGCAGTGCAGGAGGGGCAAGTGTGAGTTGTGATAGTTTTGCTTGCTCGTTCTGTGTGGTATTCCATATATACAATCCCGCAGTAACGAAGCCTGAATCAACCGGTACGCCCGCCCTTGTTCTGCATGCGCTTCCTCTTGCTGCCAGTTCCTAGTGGTGGCCCTCATCGTGGTGAGCGTCCTTGTCATTGAAGAATAGTTGCTCGGCAACAAGGTATCCGGCGAATGCGACGGTGGCTATTCCGAGGCCAGGGAAGGAGCCCTTGAAGCGGTTGAAGCGGGAGAAGGGTCCGGTGTATCGCCATTGCTCACTGCAAAGATAAGTATGTGCGGCATCAGGCGGTTTTGTGGATTCAAGCGTACTATCGGGCCCATGGGTCACCCTTTGTGCCGTTCGCGGAGGCAGCGGCGAACTTCTTGGGGTCGAAACCGGTGATGGAGGGGCGTGGTGCCATGGTGAAGGAGCTGGGGCAGTCAGCAATCGTTGCGCGTCACGGACAAGATATCAATTGAGCACGTGAAGACCGGGTGCGTACTTTGTAGGCCTCGTGAGCGGCTGATGCGAGGCAGGGCGTTTGGGGAAGCTGGCGTTGTTCGTTCCCTGACCTTGAGCAGTCGCATCTCTCGATATCTTGGCGAGCGATCATCGCGCACGGCCTACACACGTAACTGCGGCTGCTCTCCCCACACCACGCATACAACTCCCGCAACCCATCGCTAGCAACAAACCGGACGCGCCCGCATTCCTCCGAGACAGTCTGTCACTCTCGCAGGCTCAGACTGAATAGCCAAGGCTCCCCTAACATTGGGCCCACAGCACGAGCACCCACCAGATCCTCGACACCTACGACACGCGAATCGCTGCAACAACTAGAACAGCTCCACGATGCCGCCTCACGGGGGCCGGTTTCCCGGTCACAACCTCTCGAATCCTTTCGCACATCTCTCGGGCCCAATACCACAGCAGCAACAGCCAATGCACCAACAACACCAGCAGCAAAACATACAACACCCAGGCTTCGGTGGCGGCAACCAGGCCCACAACTTGAATCTCTTCAGTCAACATCAAGGCGGCTTCCAATCAAATGCAGCACTGGGTGGTGCGTTAGGAGCGGCAGGTCTGGGGGCGGCGGCAGCAATTGGCGGGGCAGGTGGAGGGACAGGACTCGATGGACATGAAGCGCGTATGCGCTTCGCCCATGGCGCACAAATACAGGAGAACGCAGCTCGTGGTCAAGATGGCGCTAAAGGCATCGCAGGGCAGCGGATACGAGAAGTTTGGCGGTCAAACCTACATCAGGAAATGGATATGCTGCGCTCGCTCATCGATCAGTACCCCTACATCAGCATGGTCAGTATACCGCTCTCCTACACATCGGTCGGACGGCTCTGGTACAAGAGCCTTGTCTGATACGTGTAAAGTCTGTCGCTAAACATGGCGGAATGGCTTCTTTGAACCGTCTTGAAGTAGTTCCTATTCTGCTTGACCTTCCTCTTTGTGGACTTTGCGCTCATTCTATGAACAGGACACCGAGTTTCCCGGTGTTGTCGCACGACCTATCGGAGACTTCAACTCGAAAGCCTCCTATCACTACCAGACAGTGCGTTGCAACGTCGACTTGCTCAAGATCATTCAACTCGGCGTCACTCTTTTCAACGTCCAAGGCGACATCCCGCCATCACATCTCGACATCTCAGAACTAAACTACAAGCCAAAGTCGATGCAGCGATATGCGAACAACATCGTTGTCTGCCCATGCACATGGTCGTTCAATTTCCAGTTCTCTCTCGAAGACGATATGTACAACGAAGAGTCAATACAGATGCTAAAGAAATCTGGCGCCGATTTCGAAAAGCATAGGGACCAAGGCATTGATCCTCAAGAGTTCGGCTCGCTGCTCACAACGTCCGGAATGACTCTGTCCGAGGACGTCAATTGGATATCGTTCCACTCTGGCTATGACTTCGCTTACATGCTGAAGATGCTCACTTCGAAATCACTACCCGAAGATGAGGACACTTACCGCAAGCTCGTTAACGTTTTCTTCCCCAAGTTACTGGACGTCAAGTATCTCTGGCGGCACGCGAACAACCTTGTCAGGCGCGGTGTTATTGGATCGACTGCAACCAACATACTCAACAACCTGGGCACAAAATCAGGCCTTCAAGATCTCGCTGACGAGCTTGGCTGCCAGCGTGTGGGAAACTCACATACAGCAGGCTCTGATGCGTGGCTAACGGGCGTCGTCTTTTGGGAGATGAAGAAGAAGATCTTTGATGGAACAGTTCCTGACGAGATGAGCGGCCACATGTGGGGTCTTACCGGCGTTGGTCCACCAGCCAGTGCGACGGCGCAGGCTGCTGTCCTCGCTGCACAGGGTGCTTCACAGGGCCTGACAGGCTTCCAACAAGGTGTCAACAACACTTTCTATCCCGGTAACGCAAGACACGGTGTCGACGGACCAAGTACGCCCACCAACCACCCAGCGGGTCTCGCATCAAACACCCCTGGACCAAGCGGCATGATGACACCAGGAGGATATGGCGGATATGGCAACAAGTAGAACGGTGGCTATAACGGCGGTTACTATTGGAATGGGGAGTAGTATCCCAATATGCCCCAATCGTTCAACGGTCCGCGTGCTAAACCTCCGTATAATGCCGCTTATCGTGGTCATTACTACGGTGGTTATGGAATCAACTGGTATACCGGTCACCGAGGTGGTGACGGGACGAAAGCGCCATAAGGGGCGTGGACACTTGGGGCTGGTCACAATGTAGAAAGTGATTGTCGGCGTCATGGGATGGTCCAAAACGGCCTCGAACGGGCCGGCGTAGAGATAGTATTGTACGATACCCGGGGTTAGTGGTTAGTATGCTGCGAGTGCGGACCATCTTTTGATAACATGGTTAATGTCATTATTGCATCCATCCATTACCCGTGCGTATTCAACGTGCCTGAAATCGAGTAACATTCTCAATTCTTCGAATTCAGCTGTTGTGCTTGCCAAACATAGTAGGCGATTTGTGCAAAACAGAACAGTATTCGCTTGCACAAAGCAAGAATGCGGTTTCGGAACATGTCCGCCAAACCAAAAGGCATCTACATGTTGAACCTCGTCCTCTTCTTTTCCATACGTCCCTTCCATTGCCATTCCTGGCCGCTCTTGAACTGGATTCCGCGATCTATCCTGCGGAGTTTGAGTGTCATGCGTGGACTGTAGTCATCGTTAGCCGCTCATCCCAACTTGATCAATCGTAAAAGTGAAACTTACCCAATCTCTTGCATGCCCACTTTGACGTCCTCAACGCCTGGAAGTGGCTTTCCATCAGACCCCAAGATGGGTTTCTCGCTCTCGCGCTTGTCACGGAAAACATAACGATGCCTTCGCACGAAGATGTAATCACGCTGGTTGTGTAGCGTGAGGACTTGGCGGCCTTCCAGCTCAGGCTTCGCAGGGAACATGTTCTGGAAGAGGTGTGCTGTGAGAATACCGAGCGGTGTCTTGAATTGGTTCAGGATCAGCTCAGGGTAGTGTCCTGTGTCGTTTGCGTGCCGGGGCAGCTTCTTGCCCTCGACCCAATTTGTGAGGGAAAAGTGGAAATGGGGGCCGTCTGGAAGAGTGACGATATCAAGTCCGTCGGGCTTTTTCTCGTGTTCGGCTTGCATCAGGATAACAAGCGCCGTGTACCCTCTTGCGCTGGCGAAACCGGCAATCTCCTTGACGCTGTACTTGTGGGCGTGGACGTGTTGCGTCCGTCTTATGTAGGTGCTGTTGGGGAAGAGCGAGGTGAGGATTTCGGCCTCTTTGTGGAGCGTCGAGTTGATGCTTGTTGTTATCAGGATCTGTGGGTCATCGGTGCGAGGGTTGAATATGGACGGGAACTTTTGCTTGAGGAATTCGGGTGATAGCTCGAGGTTTGTCGCGGTGGATGTAGCGCTGGGACTGGATGCGCGTTTCCCAGGCTTAGATGAGGCGGCGTCTGAATCTAGGTCGGAGTCGTCTGAATCGAGGTCGGACTCGGGCTCAGATTCGTCAAGCATGCTGTCTGCTTCGTCGTCGTCGTCGTCACTGTCACCCTCCTTTGCTTGGTCGCGCTTCTTCAATTTGGCTAGTATGCCCTCCTCTTCGCCCTCGTCTCCCTCCTTCTGTGCGGCCTCATCTTCCTCCACCTTTCGCCGCTTTGCGAGTCTTTCCACGTCTATGGCCCATCCCAGCGCATCCTCCTCGTCACCGACGGGCTCATCCCACACACGCTTGCTGTCGATGGTCGCAGGCTTGTTCTGTGCTAGCCGTTCTTCGCGGAGGGCTGGGTTTTTGTCTTCTTCTCGCTTGCGACGAAGTCTGGCGTCTCTCTTTTCCGATTCACGCGCTTTCTTGATCGAGAGGAACGCGGCCTGTCGGCGCAGTTTGTTCTTGGGCTTGAGACCCGAGGCGGTGTTGGGGCTCTTGGAGAAGGCCATGCTGGATTCGAGTCGCGCTGCTCGTGTGGTGGCTCCAAATGTCTTCCCAGGTTACCGGAAGACGAGTTTGGGAGTGCACAATGTTCAAGGTCCTGGCCGTGTCCAACTTTTCGGTGGAGCCGCGGCCTGTGCTTTTCCGCAATCTTGGCGCGTCACACACGGGCAGAGATTCCACCATGTTGCAGCATGCCATTTCAAGGCTCGCGACTTGTACTGTATCTGTAAAATATTAAACCTCTGTCGCTCGTTGGTTTTCTCTTGTCGGATGCAAGAGATTAGACGTAGTATATGCGCCGACTAATTCAATTGCTGCGCGTCCCTCCGTCTGCCTCGCGCCTCTCTTTACGTAGACCCTTATATCGTGCCCCACCTCCGCCGACTCATCCCACCAAGCACTTCTCGTTCACACCACCACTCGACAAATACAAGGTGCCACAGCGCAAGAACGTCGCCATGCCCAGCGATACCACCACATACAAGGGTAAGCCCTTTGAGCGGGCTGCTTTCGAGCAGCTCATGAAGGTATGCGTGTTTGACGAGACACTGCATGCATGCTCATGCTAACAACCGCCATTGTAGCACAAGTACTTCTATGCGCCCTCGTTCGACATCTACGGCGGTGTTGCCGGTCTCTACGACTACGGTCCGCCCGGCTCTGCCCTCACCGACAACATTGTCGACATATGGCGCGAGCACTTCGTCCTAGAGGAGGATATGCTCAAGGTCGAACCCACCATCCTCACCACACACGACGTCCTCAAGACCTCTGGCCACGTCGACAAGTTCGCCGACTGGATGTGCAAAGACCCCAAGACTGGCGAGATCTTCCGAGCCGACCACCTGGTAGAAGAGGTCCTCGAGGCCAGGCTCAAGGGCGACAAGGAGGCACGCGGCCAGAAGGTTGAGGTTGAGGAGGAAGACCCCAAGAAGAAAAAGAAGAAGGTCAAGAACATTGCCGCCGTGAAGCTCGAGGACTCCATGGTCAAGGAGATTGAGGAAGTGCTGGCCAAGATTGACAACTACAACGGCGAGGAGCTCGGCCTGCTGATGAAGAAGTACGACATCAAGAACCCCGCCACCAACGGCGAACTGCAACCCCCTGTTGCATTCAATCTCATGTTCCAAACCTCCATCGGCCCCTCGTCCAACCTGCCGGCTTACTTGCGTCCCGAGACTGCTCAGGGTCAGTTCGTCAACTTCCAAAAGCTGCTCGACCACAACATGCAGCAAATGCCCTTCGCCTCTGCGTCCATCGGCAAGTCTTTCCGCAATGAAATCTCCCCGCGACAGGGTCTGCTACGTGTGCGAGAGTTCCTCATGGCTGAAATCGAGCACTTTGTCGATCCCGAAGGCGGCAAGAAGCATCCACGATTCGACGAGGTCAAGGACGTCGAGCTTGAGTTGCTCAACCGCGACGTTCAACTGTCCGGAAAGACTACCGTCGAAACCACCAAGATTGGCAAGGCTGTTGAGACTGGTCTCGTAGACAATGAGACACTAGGCTACTTCTTGGCCCGCATCCAGCTGTTCCTGCTTAAGCTCGGTGTTGATCCCAAGAAGATTCGGTTCAGGCAACACATGGCTAACGAAATGGCACATTATGCTGCGGACTGCTGGGACGCTGAACTGCTCACATCATACGGCTGGATCGAGTGTGTCGGTTGTGCTGACCGAAGCGCGTACGATCTGAGCGTGCACATGAAGAAGACCGGCGCGCCTCTGATTGTCCGCGAGACAAGGAAGGAGCCTCTGAAGGTCGAAGAGTTCGTCTGCGAACTTGACAAAAAGAAGTTCGGTCCCAAGTTCAAGAAGGACGGCAAGACCGTAGAAGCAGCCATCGAAGCTTTGTCACAAGACCTTCGTGAGAAGCTATCCTTGGATCTTGAGAAGGAAGGCAAGATTGTCATCGACGTTCCTGAAGTTGGTGATGGCAAGGTAGAGGTACCCAAGGATCTCATCACCATCGAGAAGCGCACCCGTGTAGAGACCATGCGCGAATACACACCAAACGTCATTGAGCCATCGTTCGGTATCGGCCGTATATTCTATGCAAGTATCCACATGTTGAGAGGTTCATGTACTTTGCTAACTAAGCCAGGCTCTATGTGAACATGTTTACTGGACTCGTGAGCAGGACGAAGCCCGTGCTGTCCTTTCTTTCCCTCCAGCAGTCGCACCGACCAAGGTCCTCATCGTACCGCTCAGCTCCAACCCCGACTTCGATCCGTTCGTACGGAAGCTGAAGGACAAGCTGCGAAAGCTTGGTATCTCTAACCGCGTTGATGCTTCCGGTGCATCTATCGGTAAGCGTTATGCCGTAAGTCATCTGTTTGCCCCGGCAATTCTGATCAAGCATTAACATATTCCCAGCGCAATGATGAGCTTGGTACTCCTCTCGGCATTACTATAGATTTCCAGTCCGTCAAGGACAACACTTTCACGCTCCGAGACCGAGACACCACAGAGCAGGTCCGTTCAAGCTTAGACGAGATCGCCCAGGCTATTTCAAATATCGTCAAGGGCGAAGAGACATGGTCAGACGTCGCAGCACGGCTACCCAAGTTTGAGGGCCAGGAAGTTGACCCATAAGAAAACTGCAACCTAATAGTAAATGCAGTTTACGCTGTTCGAAGACAAAGTTGAAATAACACCGAGACGATTGCTTTCTACAGGATGCATTCGCTGATGTTGTCACTCGCTCTTTCCTTGTGCTACGCCGTGATGTCTAACCTGCCCGCGCCAGAAATGTGCGTCTATCCAAATGTGCTCACCGCACTTCGCGCCACCTCTGCATCGTACATCCTTTTCAACAGCCCATTCTACTAATCACTGTGTTCTGTCCCATATCTCTCCCAGTATCGCACCTGTGAACGCGGCACAGTTGTGCATCAACTAGAGATGGAGGCCTAGCCGACCTGTGCAAACCAAATGTAATTCATGTTACATATTCTCGGGATCCGGGCTGTCCGGCACTTTTCCGCATATCGCATGATCGTCCGGCAGACATTACAGCTAGAACGCTCCTCATTAGGTTGCTCTCTGACGCCTATCACTTTCCACGTAGGATACTTTGTGGAGACGATAAAATCAAATTACTCGCTGTTAGCAGGGGCTGATACCTCGGCGCACCTGGCTTTTGGTCCGTCTATTCTCTGGTACATCGGGCGACTACCCGCTGCATCTCCTAGGATCAAATGTAACCAGCGATGACTCGGTCGCGTTGAGCTTGCTCATCTAAGCGTTAGACTCTGGAAATCTCCGAGGAGACTGGTATGAAAGACCAGCACCCCGAACAGCCTCGGAGCCAGCGTATGCTATACCTTATCCCACAAACTCAGAACAAGGTGCTTTCACTTCCGACAGTCTGGTTGACGATCTACTGGGACCCGCCCGTACCGCTGGCTCCGACAGTATGGCCGCACCGTCAAGCCCCGCGCCAGAAACTCTGTCCTTGGGGCGAATATGACACCTACAGGGTCCTGCTTCCTCGGTACTCCGTAGGATCAACAATAAGTCGCTTCACTCTGACTCTGACCTGCGGCTCCCACCCTTTGTGACATGCTGCAAGCCGGCAACAGGGCCTGAGTTTCCACGCGCTAACACATGCGAACGCCTAGCATGAGCCGGAGATTGCGTTGTAACATAACAATGGACGCATTCATGTCGGCAACGGCTTGATTTCAGCATCAGCGCATTTACTCGTCAAGCATACGGCCGCAGGGTGAAGCATAGATAGCCTGCTGTCTGATGCTGGGGTTGGTAATCGACTTGTGTCAGATCAAAATGGCCAGAAAATCAGCGGGCAGTAGAGCCCGCATATCGTTCATGTGGCTGAACATAATCCCATCCGTGTCGGTCGAGGCCAATTTCTTAGCAACCAAAGGTATTGGCGGTTCCGATCATCTCCTGCTAACACGTTCCAACACACACACACACACACACACACACACACACCTACCTACATCAATAGCAGCGCACCGTAAAATATCGCGTCGGTCATATACATAGCGCGAGTTCCGTTACCGCCTGCAGATCTCCTCGCCGTAAGTTGCCCGTTTACGCTTATGTCCAGCATGTAAGGAGCGTATACCCAGTATTCACGCGCCCCAGCATCAAGCGACCATCGCTTAGCATGCGGAACCTCAGGTTTTAGCACCAGTTTGCCAGGGTCCTACGAGCGCAGCACATGCTCAAAAGACAAGGCGTTTCTACTTCTTCCATGCGCTCATCATTCTCGTCTCGGCTCCCTCCACGATTTTGTTAGGTCCTTTGCGTCGGCTTTCCGAGACCATGGACGAGGGACAGCCACCACCCGAAGACGTGGTTGCCCCTCACACAGGCGCTCCACTCAAACGCCCACGAGCTGACTCGGAAAGTACGGCGTCGATCGAGTCCAAGTACGTTGCTGCTCTCTACTCTCGTATCTTTTTGCCACTTTGCATTTCGACGTGGCTGGTGGGCTAGATTCAAACGGAAGGGCTCGGGAGTAAACAACAACGATTGCAGCCTTACCAGACGATCCACCTTGAGCAACAACCGCACATCGAACAAGCTGACACCTTGATTGACAGCCACTCTGCCCGCACTTTGGCTTCGGACGATTTGGAATATTTTCATGAAAATGGACGAACATACGGCAACGAGACATACTATCTGCCATGTGTGTACAAGCCACATAACGATTTCATAGAACAGGATCGTTTGTCTTTACAACATGAAGTCTTCGTTCGAGCACTTCACGGCAAGCTTACCACTGCGAAGTTATTGCCCACCACGCGAAGGATCCTCGACTTGGGTACAGGTCCAGGTCACTGGGCTGTTGCCATGGCGCGTCAATACCCACAGGCGGAAGTCGTCGGGATAGATATGACTGAATGGGATATTGATACCACTGAAGCCACGTTAGGCGATGCCAGTGTGACATGGGAGCTGGACGATCTCGACGTCTGGGGAAAAGAAATGGACGTTGACGAGCTGATCAATCAGCTCTCGACTCTCGACTTGGCTACCGAATTGGCTCATCGGAATCCAGTTGAGTCGCTCAGGAAGCCAAAATCAACAGTCGACCTCAATCAACGTGGAGGATCAAGTACTCCAGAAGAGTCTCTGACTATTGACCTCTCGACTCTCACCCCCCAACCCGAACCCGGCTGGCATTTCAGCGATTCTTTCGAACTCATACATCTACGAAACATGAAAGGCTCCTTCACTCATTGGGAAGAAGTCTATGCAGAGATATATAAGAGCCTCTCGCCTGGCGGGTGCATTGAACTTGCAGATTGGGATCTGGGCCAGGTGCCACTGGGTCCGGGTGAGATTACGGCAGCAAACATACCCATGCCTACTCTTCGTAAACTGTATGTGGCGTTTATGGAAGCATCGTTCAAGTCCGGTCGTCCGCTCGGTCTCTTCTACATGCATCACACTTATCTCGAAGAAGCGGGATTTGAAGACATTCGAACAACCCACGTCAATGTCCCAGTCGGGCGATGGCCACAGGACGAGGCGCAAAAGTCGCTTGGTAAGATGATGTTTGTGTTGGGTATGGAGATGTTTGAACCGGTTTGCTTGCGCCTCTTGACGACATGGGGTAGTAAGGGAAGGGTCTGGACTGCCGAAGAGGTCAGGGCAGATATTGCAGTGGCACAACAAGAAGTCAAAGAATATGTCGAGCGATCTGAACGTGGAGAGGTGGAGGGCTGGTGTGCAAGCTTCAAGTGGGTCACTGCCAGGAAAAGCTGGCACGCTGAGAAGTGAGTCAACATTTGCATTGTACGGGGTTGGCGGTATTGTGAGTTTAATGCTGGTGTTACGAGTAATGACTGCTTTGTACATGTACATTTCGGCTATGACATGCAATTCAACTAGACTACTCTGTCAATGGAACGAGTCCACACACCTTCAGACGGTTACCCTGAACCTAGACGATCATCAGGATGTTGGCGAAGTCAGTCTACACCCACCCTCCCTTGGCCGAACATGGTAGGCATACTCGTTGCATGGAGAATATGAAGTTCGGAAGGTGGAGCCGTAGCTATGTCATTTTTTTGTTTTTTTTAATTTAGTGTCTAAAGGCTTCTACTTTTGCAAGCATGCTGCCGTTCTGCTATAACTCTGTAATCTTAGCTGTGTTAGTAGCAATGTCATATATCAAAGAAACGATGCTGCAGGTGAACTATCACACTGCTTTTCGCTTTTCCACAATCCAAACATGTCTGTAAACCTCTCAGCCAATATGCTCTTCGGAGTCAATGGTATCGTAGCCGTCATCACAGGAGGAGGATCGGGTAGTCCACCCATGCATCAGGTTTCACAACATGACCCTAATGTAAATAGGAATCGGTCTGATGATGACCAAGGCCCTGGCAGCCAATGGTGCCCGTCGCATATACATTGTCGGCCGCCGCAAAGACGTACTCCGCTCAGCTGCAGAGAGCATCAACCCCGAAATCGTGATCCCACTGCCTGGCGACGTCACATGCCGCGAGTCTCTCCTCGGGATCGCAAAGCAGGTAGAGGCCGAAACCGGCTGCATCAACCTTCTCATCTGCAATGCCGGAATAATGGGTCCCAAGCCGCTCAAAGCAGCACCGGGTGCCCCTCTACCGTCGCTCTCAGAATACAGAGCACACGCTCTCGAGACGCCCATGGAGGAATTTACAAACGTATATGCGGTGAATACCACAGCTATATACTACACTACTCTCGCCTTTCTCTCCCTACTCGACGCCGGAAACAACAAGAACAACATGGGCGCAGACGTCGGCTCCCAAGTCATAACGACATCGAGTATTGGCGGCTTCTCGCGCTTATCTGGTGCCTCGTTCGCCTACAACAGCAGCAAAGCAGCCGTTACGCACATGACGAAGATGCTTGCTACATCGTTTGTTCCGTACGGCATTCGCTGCAATGTGCTTGCGCCCGGTATCTTTCCCTCTGAGCTTGCGATAGGAATTATTGGGGCGTTGGACCCAGGGAAGACTGGAGAGATGGATAAGAATATTGTGCCGGCAGGAAGAGCGGGGAGGGAAGAGGATATTGCGGGTGCGGTACTCTGGATGGCGAGTCGGGCGGGGAGTTATTTGAATGGGAGTGTGGTTGTGATCGACGGGGGGAGATTGGGCATGTTGACGTCTACATATTGATGTGGTCAGCGGTAGATTCGGATAGGTACTGCCTGTGCTTCACAGCAACTGTTGTTGTTAGATGCTGTTCAGATTTCCGTACCTGAGTAACGGAAGCCCCACTAGCGCACTTTCCCCTGCATGTTGCGGAGTTGAAGCCACACCTCCGCACCAGCTTGCTAAACCTCGACTACGATGCGCGCGTGCTGACCACGCGACAATGCCTGCACAAACACACAGGCTCAACTCAAATGAGCTTTTGAACAAGCCTGGCTTCCTCGGCGCTGCAGCGCGCTTCTGGCAGGTACGTCACTCTAACAATGGGCATCGTTCGCGAATGGACAGCTAACAGACGCTGCTTGCAGCGCTCGTATGCTTCGGACTATGTTGGCATTGCGATCCTGACATGCGGGTATATATTGGTGAGTGGCCTAGAAGATGGCGATTCTGTGTAGTCGTAACTATCTCGAGCTGACAAACTAGGCACAGATACAATTCCTCGCCGAACCCTTCCACCGCATGTTCTTCCTCGACAACCTCGCCATCGGCTACCCACACGCAGAAGTAGAGCGAGTGCCAGTCTCATGGCTCTTCATATACGCCGGCGCGGTGCCCCTTGGTGCACTCATCGCCTGGGCTCTCATCCTCCGACCCGGAACACACAAGGCGCATGTTACCATCCTGGGCTGGTTCATCAGCATGATCTTGACCATGTTCATAACAGACGTGATCAAGAACGCTGTTGGGCGTCCCCGGCCAGATTTGATTGCGAGATGCAAACCCGCTCCCGGGACGCCAGCACATCAACTCGTCACATTCGAAGTCTGCACCGAGACAAATCACCACGTCCTACACGATGGCTGGCGCAGTTTCCCCAGTGGGCATAGCAGTTTCTCCTTCAGCGGTTTGGGCTATCTTGCACTGTTCATTGCAGGCCAATGCCACGTTTACCGCCCTCGCGCCGATCTCGCCCGCGTCCTTCTCGCCCTCGCTCCTCTTCTCGGCGCTGCATTGATCGCTATTTCCCGCTGCGAGGACTATCGACACGATGTGTACGATGTTAGTGTTGGGTCGGTGCTGGGCATGGCCGTTGCGCATTACACGTATAGGAGGTATTATCCGGCCCTGAGGAATAGGCAGTGTGCTACCCCGTTTCCTAATCCGGCGGACGACAAGGGCTGGGGGAAGATCAAGGGCGACGAAGAGAGCTTGAGGGCTGCAAGTGAGTTTGAGTTGGATGACCTTGATGAGGAAGATGGTGTGGAGGGAGAAGGGAGGCCGTTGAATGGGAGACGATGAATCGTGTAGTTGTGTTGAGATATTCAGGTTGATCTGCTCTGACGTCTTTGCCTGCAGTCCCTGGCAGAGCAATGTCTCATATACCCTTTCGTTGTGTAAAGCTCTTGAGAACAGAACAACGCGTGGTGGACGACCGCCAGAAACTCTACAGCGACACGTTCAGGAGCCATTGCAATTTAGCATTGACTCTGTTCCTTTCCTCGCAGGAACGACAACTACTAGATTCGGAGCATGCACGAGCGCGGGAGCGGATTGTGATCTTGCAACATTTGGACTTTTTTTTTTCAGGAGCTCGACGTCCCAGACGTCTCTTGTGTCCTCAACTCACCGTGGAGACGGCGACACCATTGATCTTATTAGACTAAGAGATAGTGACGTACTACATGTACTCAGCCTAGAACCCAGCGGCTCTAGTACACAAAACCCACCACTTACGAACGCCGGTGATTAGCCGTCGCTCAGGACCGTCGAACGCTCACTGTCTCAAGCTCCATTGGCCTTTCTCATTCCGAATGTCCTGTTCAGCAAGAAGCAGCATGTCGTCGACGCTCCTGGAAGTGTACCTCCAGCACGTTTGGATTGGTACAGTAGCTAGGGCTGTCTCTGCTGCATCGCTTTGCCATCTGCATGTGGTGCCTACTTGAGGTTGTTGGATAGCTTGTCTGTGGGGTTGAGCTCCTACTTTGCGCGCGCGTTCAACTACTTTCTCAGGCCGCCTGCGGCCACTCTCGTGACCTACCTATCAGCCCGCCACTCCCACCAAGCCGCTCCTCTCATCAGCTTGCCATCGAGAAAGTCAATATTCTCTTCAGCTTGTTAATTGCTAGCGTTGCTACCTTTCAACGACCATTGCTACCATGCAGTCGAGCCTAGAACTGCGTTAAACAGCTTTTGATATCATGTGCCTGCCGATAGACTAAGGTCTTACGGCTATGCGTTCTTGCTACTCTGCTCCCCGTCGTGTGTGGCTTTATCAAGGCTGGCTGAACGAACGCTTAAGGCTAGTAGCACCCTGCTATACTCTGTGGACACTTTTCTATTGTAACAGTCAAGACAAGTCCAGATATCCTTAGACTCTGTGGCGTACTGCAGAGAAGGCTAACAACACACATCGATGGTACTACAGGTCGGCCTCTAGTCCCAGTTCATGGCAATCGAGATTAGGAAGGTGTCCAGCGTTAAGCTTCTATCCCTCCACGGATTTTAGACGTGTAGTTATGCATAAATACTCCGAGTTGCGCAAAGGTGTCCAGAATCATCAGTCCTCAATCACTCAACTCATACAGCTATTTCTACGCTCGCATCTTACATACAGGCTTTAACAGTCCAATACTTCGGGAAAATGGGTGACAGTGACAGCCCTGTTGTGAGTTAATACCAAGGATCGGCATCTAGCTAATCGCAACAGCAATGAGTCCAGCTAACGTCACTTCCTAGGAGATCGCAAACTACTACTTCTCATGTGAAGGAGGCTACCTGGGCAACGTCAATATCAAGTTCGCAAACAAGAACGGGCCAGACGATGGGCAGAATTGGACAACGCTAGCTTTTCGCTTGACTGGTGCGAGCCACCAGAGCACCGGCATACAAAGTCTTGAGAATATAAGCAACCACGGCGCCCATGGTAACATGATGAATTGGCTGCGGGGAGGAGAACCAGTACGTATAGCGCGCAGCTTTCCAACTTTACCCAAACTCTGTGTTCTGCATCGAATGATGTCCCGACTGACCGTTTGGCGCAGTTCTACTTTGAATATGGTGCTGGCGCCGCTGTGTCCGGATTTTGGTCTTGGGGTTCACCCAAAACCACAGGATGGTACAAGCTGGGTGGTACTAAGTGCTACAGTCTCATGTTCGATGGCACAATAAGAGATATCAGAATCGGAGACGAGAAAGTCCACTAAGGAAGGACTTCTGGTAGCGGATTCAGCCGACATATTCAACGGATGTCTGCTGCTAGATACGGAGTGTGCACTACCGTAGCGCAAATCATAATGGTGAAATACCTGTACCCTTTTTCTTGGCTCTCGAGATCTGTATGAGGACCCTGATCTGAGGTCTCCACACAACCGCTCACCACCGAGATCGGTACCACTGATCGCGCTGAACCAACGCCGGTGGCTCTGTACCTTCCACACGGCTTGTCATGACGCCGGCTGTATATACGAAGAACCATGTCGACGCAACCATTACTAACAAGCACGTGTATGCACAGACAAGGTAGTCGTGTTCTACGCGTAAGTCGCGTCGAAGCATCACGACATGCACGCGTCACGACCGTCTGCTTGCGTAGTATTTCCACTCGGCCCAAATTCTAGCAGCCGTTGCCCAGGGAAGGGCTCGCCTAGGTCTGTGCGCACTTGCGGTACAATGCCCCTTCCCACTTCAACTCGTCCCGATTGGACTACTGGTTTGATCCAAGGCGCGAATGCCAGAAAACTATGCGCAAGAGTCCAACACCACGGTATATCATCTCACGGACCGCTCAGACCTTCATCACTTATAATGCGTTGACGCGCTCGACTAGAGAGGCAAAGTAAGCTCAGTGGGAGTAATCGACCGTCGGACCATAAACCGATTCCGTACCCCACTCCCCTACGCGGATACCAAACACCGCTCAATATATATTATATTATTGTCTTACTCTTCATCAGCGAATCAAAATGGTTCAAAAATCGGGCTTGTGGTTTAGTGGTATAATACTCCCTTAGCATGGGAGTGGTCCAGGGTTCGATTCCCTGCAAGTCCATTTCTTTTTTTGGAGCAACGACGTCGTGGCAAATGGTGCTGATGTCGCTGAGCTTGCCCAGGATCATATTTTTGGCCATGTTAGATGGTCCGCGTGAACCATCCCTCTGGCTGGTTCCAAGGTTGCTATTCGCACAAGATGCTACAGTGACTACGAGACTCCAAACCACGGCCATCCGCGGTGGAGCTTCTTCGGATCTTCGTCTGTAATAGTCTTTTCCATCGTGTTTGGTTGGTTTGGCACCGGGCACCGTTGTTCGTTACAGTGCGCCGTCGCAAGAACATACCAAGATGCCCCGAAGCATGTCTTTGAATAACATGAGAATGGACACGAGAAATTGGTGCTACTAGAGAAGGCATGACATTAAAACCCCTACCACCCTTCCCGAATGAGCCTTTCCTGAACGGAGTCGTCGCCATGAGCACGCTTAACAGGTTGCAGCAAGATATCTTTTTGAACACCCCCCGAAACTGAACTCGATGTCACCTGGAATGCCATCAGCTTTGGATTAGAGATCAAATTGTCGGCAGTGTCGATGTCGACAGTCGAGAGACTTACTAGCTGTAGAATATGAAAAGATCCAGAAACGCTCGATCAAGCTTTGTAGACCACCTTAACGTAGTATCGAGGGCAAAACAGAATCGCTGTCGACAAAATGCATCAACAGCCAAGTATAAGCAGCTACTGATTGCTAATGTAACTCGGTTCATTACAGCGAGTTCGGTGGACAAAATCACGCACCAAGATGCATGTTGCTGGATCGGCCGAAAACTCGGTGGAAGACTAGATATATAAGAAACCCGGGTTGCACTTTGTAAAAGACATCTGAAGCACTGGAAAAAGCATCCAGGATCAAAGAATCTTACGTTACCTCTCTTTCTTCAAACCCAAACTCGTAGTTCAACATGGTCAGGATCGCAATCGTAGGTGGTACTGGGAGTATGTTTCTTGCTACGTTGGACGAAGCGAACCAAAACTTACATCTTCGAAGACCTCGGACAGGAGATTGTGGACGTACTTGTCGCTAGCAAGAAGCACGAAATCTTGATCTTCACCCGCAAGGTTGGTACCCACCAGATGCCCCCCTGCAGACCAGTGCTGACTCTCCTCTAGGATATCTCGATGGAAACCACAGGTTCGTCTGTTAAATGGGCCAAATCTACCTACGAGGATGTGGATGAATTAGTTGGTCAACTGCAAGGCATAGACGTGGTGTTGTCTTTTATCGCCCCGCATGACCAGGAACAAGGCTTCTCCAGCCAGAAAAACATCATCGACGCGGCAGTAAAGGCCGGCGTGAAGCGACTCGCGCCTAGCGAATGGGTTTCGTAAGTCGCTATCACCTTGCTAGCTCTTTTCCCATATACTAACGACCTGTTAGAGCGGGCCTAGAGCACCTGGACTGGTACACCTTCAAGGCGCGCACACGCCAGTACTTGACAGAGCTCAACAGCGGCAAGAAGGTTATTGAGTACTGTCTCTTCCAGCCAGGTCTCTTCGCCAACTACTTTACTCCATACCCGTCAACCAAGCACATCAAGCCACTTGAGACACCCTGGGACTTTGCGAAGCGTAGGGCTATCTTGCGGGAAGGCTCTGATAACGACTATTTCACGCTTACGACCGTGGACGATATAAGCAACGTGGTTGCGCGCGCGGTGGACTACCCTGGCGAATGGCCGCTCGTGGGTGGTATTCGAGGGTCTCGTATTTCCATCAAGGAGCTCATCGCCCTTGGAGAGGAGATACGCGGTTAGTCATCCATCTGCTTTCAACCCACTCAACCCCATCCTTTATTGTTTCATCTACTAATCAAGGAGTTTTAGGCGGGCCCTTCATGATCGACAGGATTCCAGACGAAGACTTGAAGAACGGAACATGGGACGCTTCCTGGCTCCCTAAAATCGAACATCCCTCCATTCCACCAGAGTTTGTTGACGCATTCTCGAAGAAGATGGTGGGCGGTATCTCGTTGGCTATAGGAGCGGGATGTTTCGACGTGGGCGATGAGTGGAATCGTTTATTGCCTGATTTTGAGTTTACGGACGCCAAAGATTTTTTGAGAAAGGCATGGGGTGATAAGAACTGATAACTTGGGTTGATCTAGCGTGTTTCGCAGCTGGCAATGGCGGTAGCGCGACCAGGGTAGTCGTAGCTTGGGAAGATTCTCCTTGGGCAGAATTAGAATGTACTGTCGTTCTTTACTGCCCATGCCAAATTCTGCTAGAAGTATTCGACTTGTAAAGAATCTGATTGCGGGATCACTACAACTATGACCAGAGCTGTCGTGTTATGTTGTCGCACGTACCACGCCGTATCGTTCCAAGGTCAGGTACGTCAACGAAGGTGAGGCGAGGTTTCGTCCGCCGAAGCTCGGGCGGGCGACATCACTACCCAACTCATTACAAACATGCATTCGCCTCCGTCAAGTGCACAACCCCTTCACGTAAAGATGCCGTCACACTTCGACTCACAAAACGATCAAAGAGCTGTAAAGCGAAGAAAAGTGCGCAAAGGAACTCAGAGTTGCTGGGAATGCAAGAAGCGGAAAGTTCGATGCACATGGGCGTTGCTTACCAATTCAACGTGCGATAATTGTCTGCGAAGGAAAACAAAGTGCGTCAGTCAGGAGTTCGCGGATGATTCACCTGCGAGTACCAGAGTGACCGACGGGGGAGTAGAAGATCGGTTAAGCCGAGTCGAGAATCTGCTTGAGCGCCTGGTCAACGGCACGGCCTACGCAGGTCGGGACGCGTTGGGAAGTCGTCTGGATACTGCAATGATGAACGGTCTGAGCAACTCGGTTGTATGTATATCATGTTGAAGATTTGTCTCCAACTACGACTAACGCCTGCAAGGACTATGCAAGAAACGTTGACATTACCCCATCCACTTCCCCAGAAACTACATCGGCACTCACGAGTCCACCGCAAAATCCAGAACAGCCGCATAGCAATATTTACACCGGAATATCTGGAAATCTTGTGGCAGCATGGCCTAATAGTCAAGACCTTGACTACATTTGCAAACTCCCGGTCGGCCTCTCAACACACTTGCACATCAAACTGACCTCATCTTTTGCCAAAGTCATGAGCCAAGTACCGGAAAGTCCTCGGGAAATGTTGCAGTTGCCACCACCGGGATCCCATCCGGTACTAATAGCCCGGAAGCTCCTCTTGTTAAGCAGTCTACTGCAAGGTGCGCTATCAGCAGGCCAAATTCCACAAGATCAGCACGGACATTTCAGTGAAGTCATGTCTCATGCAATGGATGCAGCAGTGAGACTTGTGACTTCCAACGACAAGTTGACCGCCTCTGTCGAAGGTATCGAGTGTATCATGATCGAAGCTATGATCGAGAACTACGCTGGCGACCTCCACAGTGCATGGATGACTACACGCCGGGCATCTGCTGTTGCACAGATGTTGGGTTTGCATCGCGGCAGCTCAAAGCCATCTATTTTCAAAGTCCTGATTCCAGAAACGAGTTCAGGGTTCGATCCAGATCAATTTTGTTGTCGCATTATCGAAATGGACCGCTATCTGTCGTTGACGCTGGGACTGCCGCAATCTTCACTGGAGACTCGCGGCTTTGATGCTGAAGCAATGGCGGCATGTCATCCACTTGATCGCATCGCTCGTCTGCAGTGCATAATCGCGGATCGCATTCTGTCACGTCGAGTGGGGGGACCCGACAAGAAGAAAAGCGAACATGTCCGGCATATTGACGGAATGCTAAAGGAGGCGGCTGCACTCATGCCATCGCAGTGGTGGCTGACTCCGGACTTGGATACCAATGACTTGACAGCACCGAGCCCTCTACCAGAAGTCGCGCGTGCAATGTATCAGTTTTCTCATTTCCATCTAGTCTTACGGTTGCATTTACCGTATGTTCTTCGCTCGTTAGGGAACAGCATGTGCGAGCACAGCAAAGCCACTGCTATTCATTCTGCTCGCGAAATCATGTCTCGATATATCGTCTTCCGTAAGTGGAATACTGGAGTTTACTACTGCCGTGGAGTAGACTACCTCTCTTTCATAGCCCTTATAGTACTGTGTCTGGTGCACATTGATGCGCGTAATCAACCGATGGCCCAGCACGAAGCAGTTCTCAATCACAGCCGTCCGAGTGATTGCGCGATGATGGAACGGACAGTCGACATACTACGAACCATGGAAGACGATGCGATCGCGACGAAACTCTCTCGTATTATGGAATACCTTCTTCAGGTGGAAGCAGCATCAGCCAGTGGAATTGGCTACAACACTTCCACTAGCGAGGCTGACGAGGGGCTAGCAACAGAGTGTCACGGTCGATTTGTGGATGGGGAGAACGGCGTGCTGCAGCTCCAGATACCATATTTTGGTACCGTCACTCTTCAGCGTGGGTTGGCACCGTCTACCGTGACAGCTGCGGGGATTCTATCTACCCAAGCATCTGGGCATGCACAGCCATCACTTACAGAGTGGGACAATCAATGGTCATTGCTCGATTCATCAGAACATATGGGTGAACTGGACGATTGGACACTGCAGAGCATCAATGAAGGCCTTTTTGGGGATTTACTCGGGTTTGGAAGTACAGATCAGGGCCCTGAGCCAGTTTTGGATGAGTCGTTCATTCACCTTCCTTCCAGTCTTGAGATGGGAGAGTAGAGGGGAAGGCGCAAGGGCCAAGGCGTCGTCATCGCAAATAGGCCTAGCGCATCGCGCAAGGAAGGAGCTCTCATATCTGTCGAAGGGTAAAACGCGGCATCTTTGAAAGTGACACGTTAAGATGTGGCTTTCATGGTCAGCTATAGACTTGAAGGATGGTGTATGTGTGTGCGAATGTTCATTCCTAAACTTGTTCAAGTACTGAAATCTTCCAGACAAGGTATCTTTAAGCCCGTGGCTAAATAGCAACATTTTTTAACGCCGGAAAAATGCAATCCAATAACACCAGTATATGCAGATGGTAAATCATGATCTTCGTTTCGCGACACGTCCGCCGATGCGTCCACCGGTAAAGGGCTTCAGCGCGCCCTTGCCTCGCGAGGCGGGGAAAGAGACCTTGTTCTGAGGTCTGCGGCGAAGTTGTTTCCGGGTCTGGCTCTTGTCCTTGTTCTTGCGCGAGTTCTTTGCCGAGGTGGCGGCAGCGTCAACGTCCATATCTAAGAAGTCAAAATTAGCCCTTGATTCTCACTCAGCCAGTGCGGAGGAAGCGGGTCAAAGGCGAATTTGAGATGGCCGTGGTTGGTGAAGCCCAGGATGTCAGAGCACAGGCCCAAGTGGAAACACAGGTTTCTGAGCTGGCAGTCTTGGTCTGCTGAGTCGAGGGCAATGGAGGAAGGGTCGGAGAGGGAGCGCGGTATGGGGACAGTGAGTAGCGACGAACCTTTGGGCAAGTCCTCCTCCTTGGTGGCATCGTCGGCGGCGCTGGCTGGGACAGAGTTAGACGGGGCATATGCTAGGGGTCGGCCAGGCGACTCACTTTGTTCGGTTTCCATGTCCGTCTTTTCGGGTTTGGGCTGCGCAATCGTCTCGAGAAGTTTGGCGTGCAGGCGCTCGGCGCGCGCCTGCTCTACGGGGCCAAATACATTGGCGCGAAGCTTGGTGCGGTTCGCCTTTTTGCTGCTTGCTCGTGCGCCTTTGGCCATTGTGTCTGTGTGTGGAATTGGCCGGGAATATTTGGGGTGAAGGCGTCTGCTGGTCGGTGGGGGAAAAGTTGAGGGAAATTTAGTGGCAAAGCGATGCAATCAAGGCCGGCCCGTGCCCCAGTCGCGTTCTTCGCCTAGTTCCAGGTGACGCTGACTTCGGTATATACCCAGCTTGGAGATGCGCTCGCCGCGAGAGCCGCCGCCTACGTCGACGGCCATATAATCCACAGAGTCGCATTGTGGCCTCCCCGTCTGCCGGCCGCCCCCGCCCTCGTTCCGCCCGCGCCTGTGTTGTGGTGGTGCGCTCTGTGTCGCCGCCTGGTTCTCGGGAAGTTGCGACCAAGGCCCTTCACTGCCTTCACCTCACCCGACGTCGCCTGCCAGAAGAGACTGCCTCAGACGCCCGGCCCCAGATGCCTTCGCGAGAGACTCTGTACCGGTAGCGCCTCACTCGCAACCTCCGACATTGCCAGCCCTCCCGGCCTCGACCGTGACGGCAGCACACCATGGCGTCCAGCCTGCAGCAGATGGCTGCCACCATCACGGAGCGCTCCAAGACCCTCATAAACAACGACCTCAAGAAGATCCTCAAAGAGGAGGGCACCTCGCAGACGGGCAACAAGGCTGCACTGCAAGCCCGCGTCATTGGCCGTACGTCTCTCCGCTCCCTAACCCCGGGGCCTGCTGTCGCCTCGACACGTGCTAACTTCACCCTCGCCAGTCATCGCCAATGCAGTCTCCAGGAGCGATACGGACCTTTTGCGCCGACTGCAGTACCGCGTCCAACACCACGGAGAGGCGCCTCCGCCAGCCACGACTAGTCCCGTCGCCTCTTCGTACTCGCAGCCGCCTGCGCCCGTTGCCAACGGCTACAGCATGGCCAATGGGTACCAAAACAACGCCGCATACCAGCCCTACCAGCAGCCCCAGCAGCCACCCATGCCACCCCGACCAACCTACTTCTTCAAGGACAGCCCTTTCTTCGAAATCCGCGAGCTCGTGCTGAGCAATATGTCTTTGGACGCCTCGCCAACTCATCGTGCCACCATATCGCGGAATCTTACCCTCAACGAGAATCAGTCGGCACGCCTAAGAGCCGATTCGTCCCTGCGATTGCTGCTCTTTTCTGCGCTCGAACAGCCCCTGGCTCCCTACTCACGTCTCGATATCGCGTTCCCATCTCAAATCGAGGTCAAGGTCAATGACGAAGAGGTCAAGGCGAACTACAAGGGGCTAAAGAATAAGCCAGGCTCGACGCGTCCTGCAGACATTACTGATTTTGTACGCATGAAGATCGCCAACCAGCGTAACAGCATCCTCATCACCTACGCCCTGACTCAGAAGGCAAGTCGGTCCGAGGTTTCTTATTCCGTCAGCGCCCTGAAACATGACCTCAAGCTGACTTTGAATTCCAGAAATACAACCTGTTTGTCTACTTGGTCAGAAAGTTTTCTGTCGAGGAACTCACAAAACGTATCAAGCAGCGCAATGTCATCACTCGTCAGTCGGTGCTGAACGAAAGTATGTCTTCGCACCAAGCATCTAGGCCACGCGGCATTACTAACCGTATCGCAGTGATGAAAAAGGCCAATGATCCGGACATTGAAGTCGGATCAAGTGTCATGTCGCTAAAGGACCCCATCTCTACCTTGCGCATCGTCACCCCATGCAGGTCAACGGTGTGCACGCATAACCAATGCTTTGATGCCGACTCATTCCTGCAGCTCCAAGAGCAAGCTCCTACATGGACATGCCCAATATGCAGCAAGACGATTTCGTATGAAGCCTTGGCCGTCGATCAGTACGTCGAGGAGATTCTGAGCAAGGCTCGGAATACGGACCAAGTCACCATCCAGCCAAGTGGAGAATGGTCTATCGAAAAGGATGTGAAGCCCAAACAAAATGGGCACCATGACGATAGTGATGACGACCTCATCGAGATACCAGACTACCGTGTACAGGCCATCAAAACCGAAGCCGCGCCAACACCCACTTCGCTCAGTACCCCTCCACTGCCTTCTCGGGAGACTTCTACTGCCCCACGGTCTGCACAGAAGAGAAAGTCTGAGGTGGTGGATCTGACTTTAAGCGATGACGACGAGCCAGTAAGACCAACGAAAAAGGTAGCGTACACTACCCCCAATAGCCTTCCTGATCCGCACCGTCGGTATCATTTACCTCCCCTTGGTCACTCCGCTGCCCATAGTCGTCCACTGCCACCAGTCTACCACAGTGGGTCCCATAGTGGGTCTCTCAGCATGCGCTCTGATTACTCCCGGCCTCCATCCACACCTCCACCACGGCATGGGTATCAATCCTATCGACCAGCACAGCCCGCTTCGCGGCCCAGCTATCCCGGACAGGGTACTTCCTCCTACCCTACCTACCTCGGCTCTTCTTCCCCCTAAACTACCTGTTGCGCGTTCTTTTGTATCTTTCATTTTTGTACGACTAAGGTTCTCCGGCTAACACTACCTCGGGTTTGTAGGACCGGATGAGGTAGCATAGCACCCACCTAGGCAGCCCACTTCGCCACGGACCGTTGCGCCGTGGGCAAGCCATGTAGGCTGATCAAGTGAAGTTCCCTACATGATCGTCCCATCTCTTTCCTAAGTTGTCAAGAGAATTTAGCGCGAGGCGTTTGGGAGAGGCTACATTTCATGATCTATCTGCTTATGGCGTACAACACTGATTGCGGGCATTGAGGATACCACCGCATGGGAGATTTGCATGCATTTTGAAAGCTCATACGAACGACTTTCTGCGATGATGAGAAGAGTGCAAAAGCTGCGCGAGGCTAAGGAAGGGAATGTAGAGGTGCTATTTCATGTAAAATCGTGTAGCAATGACGTCTTTTGACCTCCGTCATATTGAATAATTTCAAGTCGACCTAGACTGATGTTTCACGGTGACAGAACTACCTAGTCCTTGGACAACTGTGAGTAGAAGTGCTTCATTGTTGGATACATTTTCACTTTGTTCTAAACTTCTATGATCTACTTGCAAGCTTGCGTGGTTGACCCTTTAGCTTCGACGCTGTTGCAGGCTCTGATGTGCCGCCATCAGATTTTGGTGCTTCACCTTCAGGTTTTGACACGCCGTCCCCAGATTGTGACCCTATCTCCTGTTCACGCTGGGCTAGAGCCTTTTCTCTTTCATCCAGCTCGGCCTGTCGCCGATCAAGCTCACTTTCCCGTTGATCAAGCTTCTTCTCTCGTTCGTCCAGTTCCTCACCATCTTGCGTATCGGGTCTCCCGGTAGCATTCGATGGCTCTGTCTTTGCTGATTGTGCTTCGCCATCGTCCTGCTTTGCATTCAACTTCCGTGGCTTCTTGCGAGCCGGTGTGTCACTTTTTTGCGTCGAATCGCTCTTTGATGGCTCAGTAGGCTGGCTTTCGCTGGGCTTTGAGTCTGAATCTCCACCGGCAGCCTGAGCGCCAGCCTTTGCTGCATCCGACACCTCTTTCTGGTCCGGCATCATGCCCTTCGCACTTTCCATCCAGCCTTCGTCAATCTTGCCACCACCTCCTTCACTCTTGAACTTTTCAAGCTCTTCAGTGCCAGGCATTTCTTCCTCATTAGCTTGTCCCACCATCTTCTCTAGCGTCCTCTTCTGTTCTTCGCTTGCTGCCCATTGTGGGATCCAGCTTGTGAGCTTCTTCATCCCCTTTCCGGCTACTTTGCCCATATTCACCCATGGACCATGGATTGCCCCTGTAACTCCGCCCAATCCAGCTCCTATTCCACCGAGAAGGGTCGAAGAGATGCCGCCCACTAAAGTGCCTGTTATAGCACCCAACGTAGCTCCAGGTGCGACACCAAGGCCCGTACCCGCTGCCATACCTTGGAAAGCACCCGAACGAAGATATTTCGCCGTCTTTCCGAATGACTCGGCCTCGATATGCGCATTTGTGGCCTCTTCTGTCAGTCTTTGTCGTTCGTCTGGATCACTGGCGGCGGCCGCTGCATCTTTCAATTCTTTTGCTTTCTTTTGTGCTGCAAGGGCAGCGTTCGCGGCTTTTCCAGATTCTTGCCGCACTTCCTCTTCTGGAACGGCAGGCTTCTTGGACTTTGAGTCGTCTTGAGACTTCTTGTCTCCATCTTTGTTTAACTTTTTTGGAGGCATGATTGTGATTGTCGTTTTCGCAGTTTCAGCTGCCGCTGTACGTATCGTGCAAGCAACCCCTACCGGTAATGTACGTCATCGTCGCTAGCCCCACTAGAGAAGCCTGAATTGCACGCGTTCAAGACGCGTCACGACCGCCCCAAATTTCATCCTCCATGCACGCGTGCTTCCCACTTTATAGGCACAGTTAGTATCACTACAGCTGTTGACACGTCTCAGTTGATTGCGATTCATAGCAGATTGCTTTTGAAGAAGTTACTCGACACGTCGGGACGACCACCTCATCGTAATGAAGAAGTCGCAGATATGATGGCGGTATTGAATAATGTGCGAAGTTCAATACTGACACTGAATAGGACACTATCTACTAAGCGCGACACATCCGACCGTCCGTCTGAACAGTCCACGCCTCGCTACCGACACCAACCGTGGCGTAGAACAGACCAGAGGGATCCCATTTCTTCTTGATATTCAACAGCTTGCCGTAGTTCTCTCCCCAGAACGTATCAGCGAAGTTTGGTTGACGAAAGTCGGCCTCGTTCACATATGACCCACTACCCGGTGTCGCAGCCTCAACAAGAGGAACGATTTCATTTGTCATCTTCTCCTGGACTGCAAACGCTTCCGACCACGGAGCTGTGAAGTTCCACGGAAGTGTCAATGTCGCATGCACAATTGCTTTGCGCCAGGCTGGGTGGACTGAAGTCGTCTGCTGCGAGCCAAAAGACTTCACATCTGTTCCTACTCCGATCCAGGTCACTCCCTTTTCCACGACAGCCTTCCAGGTCTCGGTGATGTTGCTGACGACGCTCCGAGGAATCAATCGGGTACCGTACTGGGCAATACCTACTTGGATGTTGCCGAGTGGAAGAGGGCCAAAATACTTGTCGTAGTGCTCGTAGTACGTGTCGAACTCACTGTACTCAGCAGTATAGTTGACACCTTTGGAGTCCAGCCTAGCAACGAAAGGCGCGAGCATTGCCTTGACCTCGACCTCCGTCTTGTTGTAGGCGTTAAGCGGGGAGATCATGAAGAACGATGACGTGAAGTAATGGACCACCATTGCTCCGGCATCTACCATTGCCGGTAACTCTTCGTGGAATGCTTGGATAGCATCATAAAACACATCCTGGGCATTGTCCGTTGTGAAAAACGATAGCGAGGCACCACCAAAAACAGCCTCCTTGTGTGCCTTGACAGTCATCCCAACTACAACACCATACGTGCTGCCGCCGCCGCCGTTGAGAGCCCAGTACAGATCTGAATTCTCCTTGGGGTTCGCGTTAACAAGCTTTCCGTTGGCAGTCACGACTTCCCAGTTCAAAACATTGTCAGCAGCAAGACCAAAGCTGGTACTGATGGCCGAGTGCCCACCACCCTGGGTGTAACCGCCAGCAACACCGACTGTAGGGCACTCGCCTCCAACCACAACTAAGCCCTTGTCTCGGGAAGCAGCCATAAGCTCGAATCCTTGAACACCGGCACCAATCTTGAACGCTGGGCCGTTATATCCTGAGCCCTTGTATGCTGGCACGTGGGTAATGTCCTTCAGATGATGTGTCCATACCGCTAGTGAGCCCGCGCCGGTGGAGCGACCCAGATAGTCATGGCCCGTGTTGCGGATCACAAGGCGGATATTCTGAGATGCAGCGAATGCAATTGCTTTTTGGACGTCTGTAGGTCCAGAAGCATCAACGGCATAACGGACGTAGTTGCCAAGCTCACACGGGCGGTCTTGAGGCTGAAAGGGATCGCAGCTCTGGTTGGCGAAGAAAGGTGCCATCACAGATGAGGACGATTCATAACTAGCTGCCTGTAAGTACGACACTTTGGACACATACGACCGGTACCTACTGGATTTTTTCGTACTGCCACTGACTCTTCAGGCTTTCGCAAGTCGCGTTATCAAAAGTCGAACCGTGACAGGGTGCGCCAAGTGGTACGGTAGCCACCAAACGCCCTCCTACTGTCTTGTTCAAACTGTTCCAGTCCGATTGCGAAGGCCATGACTTGTCTCCGGGGAATGCTTTGCATCGATTCGAGGTTGGATTGGTGGCAGAAACGACGCTAAGAAGCGTAAGAATGAAGACGAAGGAACGCATGACAAGGGCCCTGGGAGAGGAGAGTTTCGGCGACCTGAGGGATATCAATCTGCAAGACATACGGGTTAATATAAAGAGAAATTCAGGCGCCTTGCATGCACCGCGCCTCATGGTGGCGACAAGGCTAGAGTAGCTGTGGGACTACAAATCTAGTCTCCGGTGAGATGGGCCGTCCCGGTACCGTGCACCATTCTACGACCGTTGCGACTAATTCCATCGAATCCTTCTCGTCGACAAGAAGTAATTACGACGTCGAAAACGTCCATGGTCTGTAGATGGTCGATAAGAAAGAGACGCTTCGTCAATGTGGACACACAGCTAATGAATGGACATGAACATCTCAGAATTACTCTGCTCGCATAGCACGGCGTAACTGCCATGGACGCGGTCAATTGGTAGTTGGGGCCTGCATCTATCAACAGGGATCCTTCCAAGCTTTCCTCTATCGAGTAACATCCGATGCAACCGACTATTTCACCGCAAGGGCGGGTCGGCGGCTCTCCAGACGAACTGCAATCGTCCCATCCCGTCTTTCCAGACCCTTAAAACTAGGAGATATTTCACCGAAGGATGCCGAAAACTATTCCCGTCGCAGTTACCAATATGCCGTGATATAATAGTCTAGCTCTGACAAGAAGGTGTCTTGTATACGCCAACGCCTGAGCTGCTTTGCAACCATGTGCATTAACAGTTAGCTTGCTATAACTTCGGAGAATACTGGGAGTATTCGCACGTTTCACCTCATATGAGGTTTTGCTCTTCTCTCGACCAAGGCATGACTCCCTGACCAGTACAAGATGGGCCGGGTAAAGTCCATGCTCACCCCCACGTCTGTTTCCGACCTTGCTAGTGACCAATACGCCGGGATGCTCGGAACAATGCAAGTATTGAATTTCAAGACCTAGTAAGAGGAGCGATGTTTTTGCGATGGTGATGCGAGAATTCTACAACAACTGGAACGAAATCACCATAGAGAGGTCAGAGTGATGGGTTGGACCTACAATACTCCAGACGATGCTGCCAACGACGGACCACATATCACTGCTGTCGCAATCATCTTCACGGCCTTGTCACTTTCGATCCTGTCCCTTCGCTTTTACGTGCGTGGTTGGATGATTAAGGCAATTGGAGCTGGTACGTACCGTGATAGGGAACATGTTTTCAACAGATAAATAACGATCGCTACTAGACGACTGGATATTGATCGCGACTTGGGTCAGTAGCTACACTCTTTGCTGTAGCATCGGAACTGACAATTTAGCAGACAGCGTCCTGCGGCTTCGCGGTTGTGACTATCGTCCGTACGTTGATTGAGCGGGCTGCCGCGACACTGCGACTGACTGTGTGATATCAGAAACCAAATGGGGCCTTGGACTAAAACATCTGGACGACATGCCTATTCAAAACCTATACAACTTCGGACTCGTAAGTACCACAAGTTCAAATGGAGAAGGCTCGATCCTAACCAAACCAGATGCAGTACATGGGTGCACCATTGTGAGACGAGGCGTACGATACGGTATCGATTCATTTGGCTGACTATCAAAGCTACATAACCAGTATACTCGGCTTCAAACTAAGTCTGCTGTTGACGTATCTACGTATCATGCCGAAGGGCGTGTCGCGTAATGCTACGATCGCCGTAATAGTCGCATGCATACTCTTTCATCTTTGCTTTCTCATTGTTCAGATAAACCTCTGCCAACCAGTAAGTCCTACTACTCTCCGTGACCCATAGCCTTTTGCTGACCCGATCAAGGCCGCGAAACAATGGGACCCTTCTATCACCTGGGGTCAGTGTCTGCCAGCCGTTCCCTTCTACACTAGCATGGCATCTTTGACTATCGTATTCGACGTTATAGTGTAGGCAATTCAATCGCAACTGTCGGCAGAAACTGACTCCAATAGCATGTTCCTACCCTTTCCCGTTCTGCTCAAAAGCCACATCCAGAAGCGGAAGAAATTCGCCTTGCTTGGCCTCCTCGCTCTAGGCACCTTCATCACGATCATCCAAGTCCTGCGCATCCGAACCGTTCGAAACCTAGCCAACTATCTCGACTCAGGCAGTCTGATTATGTGGTCGACTGTAGAGAACAATCTGGGTATCATCGTCGCTTCTATCCCAACGTTAGCACCCCTGTTCAAATACTTCGTCGAGAAGACCCAAAAGAGCTCTAATGGCCACTCTGCGACGCGATCGCGGTCTATGTATGGTTTGAAGTCGAGACGAACTACGAGGCAAGGTTCCATCCCGCTAGGTAGTGGTGTTCATCAGGCAACGCACGTTTCTGGGCCTTTTGAGGGAGGGAGCGAGGAGTTTATTATGGGTGATATCGCTGCTATAACAAAGAAAACGGAAGTCACTGTTTCTTCCCGTGTTCGCGAGGAGTCGGACAGGTCGGGCAAATAATCATCTTCCCTTGCGGGCAATACATGGAAGATAACGTGGTTCAATCTCTTCTTTAGCACCATTATATAAGCAGTTTTCATCTACAATATTACGTACGTCGAGGCTGACTTTATTCCTTTTCATTCATTTTAAAATTCTCTCATTACTTCAGTATCCAGAGGAGAGAACGTTAGATCATGGACCCTATTTTGTTATCGAGCCTTCCTATAGAATGTTGTGATTCATGACACAATAACAAAAGTGCGCGCCATTTTGGACACAACCAACATCGAGTGGAAGAACAACATACCCGATCCGATGATGACAGGATAGCGCATGTACTGGTGATCCGTAAGGCAACACATACGGTCAGACGGTTAGATTCTTTGCAAGTTTGTTCGCACCTCGCTAGCCTTGTCCGGCATTGAAACGCTCATTCCTATATCTGGTGAGCGACCAAAGGATGACAGTTTTGACTTGTACGCGTGTGGTAGGCTACCTCGGGCTACCACAAGCAGCCGACAGAGGATAATCTGGACTCCCGCTTGGAGAAGGCCATAGCGCTTTGTGGAAAACCCCCCATCTTCGCACAAAACGCGTCCAACTCTGCCAGTCATTTTCCCATATCCCATCATCCATTGATGAAACATGTATCTAACATATACAGGACTTTTAAACAATAACATACACCAGCTCGAGTCGGTGGCTCTCCTCCAAATCAGGCAAGAAGAGGATCAAGGCCTTTAAAGTCGGAAGATGGTGTCCGAGTAATGAGGCGGTCGTTGTAGGCGGATAGTTGATGGATCTCTTTGTACATGTGGAAGATGAAGTTCAGAACTGATTGGTGCGGGCAGTCTTCTTCCGTAGCGCAGTAGTCAATGAGTCCGGTGACTTGGGCCATCCTAGAAACGAGATCATGGCTCGCATCTGCTAACATCCGAGACAACGGCTTGTAGTACCGAACTATTCATTCTTCAAGCTTTCATCGAACAATCTGGACTCCCAATTAGTTCTGCCTCGCACTGAAATATGTTAATTTTGTATCGATGAGGTGACAAGTGCAGGAGATGGCGGGTGGCACACACTGAACCACTACGATAAAAGAGGCGCCTTGTGGTTGGTTATAAAATAATAACTCGTGTCAGATATCATGCTTACTTGCGTCCAATGAACTGGTCAGAGCCACTCAGAGCGTGTTCAGAACTTTGCATACAGATGTAGTCTTATGTGACACTCACTTGTAGACTGCGAAAGTGAACTGATAAAGTGAGGATTTGTCAGACGCGTACCTCGTACATCCAAAGATACCTAGAACGGAGGGTTTCCAATAGAAACTCAGCGAAGCAAAAAAATTGACCTGCCATGGAAGCCACTCTGTGACTCGTCTGTAATCTGAAGAGTAGTGGTCGGCTAACGTGGAGTGGTCAGAATGTCAAGGTGTAGTGGTCGTCCACCTTCGTTCGAGACTATGATGTTGATACTCCGTCGCGAAAGAACGCACTGATGTAAAGCCTTGATAGCAGAAACAAGCTGATCGTCCCCAAGATAAAGGGAGTGCTCGAGATACAAAGTTTGGAAGAGGGACTGCTGCCCGAACGTTTGTCAAAGCGGCGCATTCGCCCTACACCCGTGCACCAATATCACAAGATTCATCTAAACGTTGAACAGCTGCCTTGCAGCGCAAGATGCTCTCAAAGTGGCCAAAGGACCAGACGGCATGAAAATCTTCCAAGGAATAAGCAAACAGTGATTGAAAACGATGTAAATACTACAGCAGATTGGGTATGTAGACGCCAGAACTTCTCCAGAAAAATGAAGCATTGGTGGCTCCTGTAAAGCAAAATCTGAAATATGCGAATGTAATCAGATGATCGTCTGAATCAGATGAAAGATGGGGATAGCAAAAGTGTTGCTATCACGAAAAGACTGGTCATGACAATGGCATGATCGGAGGCTCCGGACCTGCCGGTACTACGCCGTTACCAACAGTCACAGCTGAGTATCCTTCCTTGATCTGGTAAAGTCAGTACTGTTATGTCGTTATTTGGGGTCCTTTTCATACCAAGTCGAAATGGGTTGTGGCCCGGAAGGCGCCACCCGTTTCAGGCCCATCGCTCCAGTAAAGACGCCTCAACCAAGCATGGAGACGCGGATAGTCTAGACGTATCATCTTCTTGTTGCATTTGAAAAGAGTGTAGTATGCAACGTCAAAGCGAATGATTGTCGTGTATAGTCGAATGTCGGCCTCGGTGATGTATTGTCCAAAAAGGTAAGGGTAGTGCTTAGGCTGTGAGAGGTGGTCTTCAAGGCGATCAAGGGACTTGAAAAGCTTGTTGACATGTTCATCATAGGACGCCTGTGAGGTTGCAAAACCAACTTTATACACACCGTTGTTCACTGTGTCATGTACCCATGAAAGCAGCGAATCCATCTCCGTCAGGATGTGCGCAGGTCTGAAGCCCGCCACTCCTTTGTTGATCTCGCGACGTTCCGGGGGTAGAAGAGGATCGAAGGCATCGAACAGCATATGAATGATCTCGGCGGCTTCGTTGTTGACAGCGGTACCTGAACGCTGTCAGTCTGTAGGCCATTACGCTAACTCTCGGGTGTTTTCACCATTAAATGTATCCCAAAGCAAAGGGACCGTGATTCTGCCATTGTATTTTGGGTCCGCCCTCAGATAGATCTCTTTCAACCACTTCGCACCATACACGGGGTCTCTCTCTGGCCCGCTACGCCCAGAGAAAAACCATCCATGCGCTGCATCCCTTCCATCGACCTCTACCAGGTCTAAGACATCTCCCAGCCCCTTCAATGCGAAAACAATGGCCGCGCGGTGTGCCCAGGGACAAATGTAGTTGAGGTAGAGTACGTATCGGCCCTTTTCGGCAGGAAAGCGCGCGGATGGAATCCTATCTCGGAACTGCGAAGGCATGTGGTTCCATTGGCTGTTGACGTCAACAGGGTCGCGAGGTAATGGCTTTGCAAAAGAATGTCAGTAAGCATGCGCGGTAAAAGAGGACAGGAAGGAAAAGCCTAGTCGAACCGTTGAAACCGTCATAGCCGGTGGCTTTATAACTTGTCGCTGATGCTACGCAAACCAACTCCGAACATATCCTGTCTACAGATGGGCAGCCCATGACGTTTTCTTAAAGACCTGAGCCCTTTACCGCCGGCGTATTGTGATTACAAAACAGCAGAATGCGGACAAGGGTAACGTCTGATTAGTAGGAACTACCTACGCGTGAGCGTCAGCCTCCGCGGATTAGAAAACCCGCCAAGTAAATTGCCGAGTTGCAGTCATTGCTACTAAGAGCCATGTAGCGATAGTGTTGTAAGTGATCAATAGTTCCTGTCAAATGGCGAAATGGATTCCATTGCAGACGCGGTCGACGAGGGACGTGAAGGTGAGCTCGTGCCATGCATCCCCGCCGATCAGCCGAGGCTCGCTTAGACGAAGGTTTAGTTCCACTTCGTCGCACGGTATCCGTTCACCTTTTTCAAGCCCGATCCGTTCTGCTGCTCTAATTCGTGTCGCAAAGCACACAGCCGTATGGGGTCCTGCAATGCTTTTGTTGCCGTCCTACCATATTGACACTATTGGCGGACAAGACCGTTGGTGACGTGGCCGAAATGATTGGCGCCCTCTCCTAGTCCCAATAAATACCACAGCCCGGACGGATTAGCTGATTTGCGGTTCTGCAAGAGATGGAAACACGGCAACTCGGACGTTCAGTCATCACTATCCGATGATAATTTACTAAGAGGCTTCGAGCGTCGCATGCTTGGTACTCCGTCCGTACAACGATCGGTAATCTCACTTCCTGAAGGGCCTGACGAGCGAAGTATGCGATCTGCCATTGATGAGGTCGCTCACAAGAGGCATACCTATCTGCATGCACCAAACATATCCTCAGAAGAAATGGCCGCACTCTCGTCCGCTTGTGTCATTCTGTGCACTTGTTGGCTTTCCGGCGTCGCCTGTACTCACGTCAGAAGATGCGATTAACGAATCACCACGTAGGAGGTGGGGTACCTCGATGTGGAAGCGAGGGAGGGTATGAATGCAGTCCATCTGAGAATACTATCTATACGGCATCAGGCTGAAGGACGCGCTTATTGCTAATGGTTGCGCCCTCTATACACTTGCCAAGAGAAATACTACCAGTCATCGTGCAAGCCGAGCTTTTTTACTTGGTCTATACAACACCTGCCGGAGCTTTGGAGAGGGAGGTTTGAATATCGTTGACAACTATAGGTGAGACGCTGCAGCAAGGGCCATTAGGTCCGGATGCCGATGTCAAGCAAGAGATGCAGACGATTACGCACGATGACATTGATGCCAGATGAGACCAAAGTTCCACTCTGCTCCGTTCATGGAACTGTAAACTATCTGAGCGCATACACAATCTGCCATGTGAATGGATACATTACTTTGCATATCCCGCACTGACTCTTTTGCTTCTGGATCTCGATATCTTGGTCGCGATTCCACAAGAAATTTGAGTGTTCCAAGGCCCAATTCTGCAAACACAGGTTATGTATGCGAATTACTGATTGCATTGTCATGGCAGCAAAATTTGCTCCTTGGCGTTCACTTTCCGGGTAGGTATGAGTATACAGCGCCGATCTGATTAATCATATTTCCACGCTATGTCCTGATGTACGACGAGGGCCCGCTTTAACAAGAACACCAAATATCTTCTGGAAATGCGTTCAAGCCATCTCATTTGCTGAAGCATGCGCCCGTAAAATGGGTGGAGGCTCAAGTAGGAGTCGAATATGCTTGATTCCGTGCTTGAGGCTACCTAGGTAATGTCATCAACAGCCGAAGCTACGTTGAATGACATGACCTCAGTTCTTCGATTAATCTCCGTGATAATCGCGCGAGTACCACACCAAGTGGAAAGCATGTGATATCGATCGACTGAAAGGTCGTATACTGACTACACTGCATACAATATAGGCTGCAAACACTCGCAGGAAATACTTTGAGTTCAACAATAGCACAAACATGCACACACAGCCATTTGCTTACTCCTTGTGCGACATGAATTGTTCTCGCCGCCAGTTCAAGCCAGTTCTAGGAGTCTGTCAAGGCAATACGCTGTCTCCAGCATTGGATTAGTAAGATCAAGTCGTATTTCTGCTTCCACCAAAGCACTGAGATGGAGTAATTCCGAAGATCTCTCTGCTTCTTTTTTCGCCTACAGAAAAGTTTTTAGCAATTTGGGTGCTGCTCCCTGTATCCACGCTGTTGCAACATCTTTCAATGTTCCGCTGTGCCCTTGAGGAGCCAGTCGTCGAAAGACCGTTATAAAGCATACATTCGGATATAGCCGAAAGATGTCCGTACCAGGGGAACAACTCAAATTCTGTAGTAGAAGGATAAAACCGACCTCTAGGTTCTACTATAATCCGACCGAGAAATCAATTATGTGTTATCCACATCTGGATACTACACTACCACAATCAAGTTCAGATCTGCCTGGCGATGTGCAACGAGCACCACTGATTGGTATAATCAGCCCACGTTTTACATTCAGTACGTAACATGACGGTATAAGAGACGATGCCAGTATTATGAACAGCTCAAAGTCTTCCCAAGCGTGTAAGTATATATGCGCTGTCCATCACGAGATGCATGTGGTTTTTACTACGTCAATATTTCATGGCCAACCCGATCTGTGCCTGAACTCCGTCACAAGGAAGTACGATCGCTGTCGACCTTTTGTGGAAGTTGGTGGTTTTGACGGCTATATTGACAAACTAACGAGCTGTTTGCCGCGGCCCTACTCGAGGCCTAGTTATCTACCGAATCATCACCCGAAGCTCTTGGTCCCCACCAGCATGCATTTGACTTCCCCAGATTTTCTCCTCAACTCGTCTGTTCGTAATCCACTATTAATCTACATTGATCGTCTTGGCACTCTTATCCTTGTTCGTGTATGATGGATAGGGCAGATCGACAATGGTGCGATCGACCATATAAGACATGCACATTGAGAGAGCACTTACTAACATAAGGATCTGAATATCCACTGACCTCGGAAGCTCGCCATCGACATGCTTAATTCTGCCCTTCTATCGTTACTTGGCATCGCGCCCAGCTTTTTCGGTAACGCTCTTGCACAGACTTTTACGCCGGCACCTGGCAATTTCCCAGCCAAAGGTGATGGTGACTTCGCGGGTGGCATCTTCAGCATCTCCCTCGCTGAGCTACCTAAATATGCTGGCGCGGGTGGAACCGGACCTGAGGCTCCCAAAGGCAATGGTGCGAAGACGTCTGGCTCAGGACCCTATCCTGCACAGATGTTGACCGACTCTTCGCTACCGGGACACACAATCTTCGCGCCTAAGACTCTTCCAGCCGGAAATCTCAGTCTGCCTTTCATTGCATGGGGCAATGGAGGCTGCGGCCTCAACGCAGGTATCTACGAGCGCTTGTTAGTAGAAATTGCTAGCTACGGATACATTATCGCCGCAGACGGCACGCCCACGGGCTCTGGTTTCCAATCTGGTCAACAGTCCAAAGTACAGGACATGCGGGACTCCCTAAACTGGGCGTTTGCAGGCAAAGCGACGAAATACGGGAACGTCGATTTGACCAAAGTCACGACTGCAGGTCACAGCTGTGGGGGCCTGGAAGCCATGTCGACGGCGTACCGTGATGAGAGGGTGAAGAGAATTATGCTATTCAACATTGCGATATTCCAGGATGACAGGAGGTACCTACTCAAGGAGATCAAGGTGCCAATCATGTATCTCATTGGAGGGCCGAAGGATATGGGTTATAATACTGTGAGTCTGTCTTTCTTATGTTTTGGTCTTGATGTAGTCCAGTACTAATACTGAAAATACGATAGTCGGCTAAAGATTATGCGCTTCTGAACGCGGGGCTTCCCAAACTCAGGGCCAACCTCGATACTGGCCATGACGGGACTTTCGCCGCTACCAATGGTGGCAAACAGGGTAAAGCAGCTGTGGCATACTTGGAATGGCAGTGGAGAGGTAACGCGACTGCTCAAGCATACCTACTTGACGGCGGTCTGGAGAAGGACAACTGGATTGAGGAGCATGCCAACTGGGTATGAGATTCGTGTCGCTGTTCATGTGCACCGAGGAATCTGTGGCGATGAAGCATGATGGCTCACCGCGAACAGTTGAGAGAGAGAGAGAGAGTATGAGTGGTGCGCAGATGAAGTAGGAATGAGTTCTTTCTCCAAAATGATACCGGTGAACAATTCTGTCGTGGCGCTATCTTCGAGCTGTAGTGTGATGGCTGTGCGATAGCTATGCGATGGCTGTGGGCTGTAGAGCTGAATGAACACGAAGTCACATGGTCTAGGCAAGGCATAATCGGCAACCGACAGCCTAGCAAAGCCCAAAGGCATCCAGGTGAAATGCTGGAAACTTGGACATGAAAGCGATACAATAAGTCCGTTCGGGTGTGCTAGTGCGCGCACAATTAGGTAGGTCGGAGCCAACGTCATCGCCATCACCCAGCAACGAGCGCGCCAAAGCGTAGCCAGGAACGCCCTTCTCTAGCCTCTTTTCCGCCTAAGTTGCTCGCTACCCGTTCTCGACCCTCTATTAATAACCACCAGCGACGCTACACTCTGGTTGCCGGGTTAGGTACAAACCCTGCAGAAGCGAAGAGCGGGCTGCCTGGCGGGGACGCGACTAGGTGGTTTGCAGCTTCGGGATCCACCAAGCAGTGAGGCTGAGACTCGAAAGGTGTCTGACATAGCACTCCATCCTTCCCTCGTTGCCGTACGAGTCTACGACATTCTTTGACAGTTTCTACGTCTCCTTGCGCACACGACGCGACCACGCTTTTGATATTGTTTGTTGTTGGCGGGCATTTGCATATCGCAGAGAGCAGACTCGGAAGCACCGAAGCCACCCGTACTGACGTATTCGCAGGGCTGAGTGAGCTGTCTGTTTACGCTCACCCTTCCCGGCTTTCCGCCCCCTTCCACACATACCAGGACTTTGAGGATCTGGATACACACAAAGACGAACGATATGCGGATACCGCAGTCATATATCCAGAAGTGCAAGGTGGTGGCACATGTTTTCCAGGCCATCTTCGTCTTCATAGCAGCATGTCTGACCATCGCCGTCATGACCAAGGACGGAGATATTGGAGGGGCTACTAGGTATTTCTTTGCTATGGTTAGTGACATCCTTTCCTGTGCGCTTTGTGTGCGACGTCGTCTTGAAGACCGGTCTGTCGCGACAGCATGGAGAAGGCTGACAGAAGACTGGCTATAGTGCTTCCTATCCATACCCGCCATCATCTACCTCACAATGGTACCCATGTGGTCGCGCGCCCAACGCTTCGCCTCCGCCTACGCTTTCCTCGCTGTCGACGCTTTATACACTATCCTTTGGTTCGCGGCCTTCATTGCGGTGGCTATGTGGAATGCCCACGGTATCAAGGAGGGAGCCAAGAAGGAGAAGATTTCGGATGATGACCGGAATTGCACAACATTCCTTTATGGAGACGAGGCCAAGTGCAAAGTCAGCAAGGCTGCTGTAGGTGTAGGTGTCATGGTGTTGTAAGTACTTTTCATTTTCTACCTGTGAATCATGTCGCAACACCTACTAACCCTCCGTAGCCTCTTCTTCGCCATCACAACGGGCGTATCCGGATACTACCTCCACAAATATCTCCGTGAAGGCGTCATGCCCTACCAATCCTCCAAGGAGAACACACACTACGCTTCCGGCGACTCCGCCTACAACAATCCCAAAGACACAACCTGGTCCACCGAAATCGAAACCGCAAACGGTCGCGACTCATCTGATTCCCTTGATCGTCGCACAGATCGTGGTGGCAACCAAGAAGAAGACGAATATGCGCTGCTACACAGCACAGAAACAGATGAAGGCAGACACCCTGGCCGACCACTGAGTTGGGGTGAGGACAGGAATGGAACTTATGGCGGTGGTGGCAGAACCACTGTTCCTCCATATGCGGAATACAGGGATAGCGGCAGCATAGCTGCTGGCGTGGATGCATTAAGTCCAGGCGGTTATGAAGAGTATAGGAGAGAGGCCAGCGCTGGGCCTCTGGGTGGCATGGGTATGGAACGACAACCCAGCCACGTCAGTCACGCTGGGAGTGGGTATAGCTTTAGTGGCGGGCCGGAGCGCCTGAATTGAAGAGGCACGGCCGAGGGAGAGGCGTTGACATTGAGTCATTCTTGTTTATGAGTGCTTCTCTTGTTACAGAGTTGCTAGATCACATTGCATTGGGCTTATGGTTGGGTTTGGCGTCATGTTTGAATCTCTTGCATTCCTCGTCTTGCACTTCAGCGAACTGCTTTTACGTATGAATACTCATCTCTTCGCACCAAGACTTGTGACAGCAACTAGCGCTTCGCGAAACGTTGGACGAGTTCTAGATCGCGTTCGTGTTGCCCACCGATCGTGTAGAACCAATATGCATCTTGTTTCTTCCACCACCGGTTTGGTAGATAGGCTTCAAGCATGTAGTATTCATCCCGCTGATATGGAAACTCCAAACTCGGCGGTCCGTGTTTGGCCAAAAAAGCATCTGTCTCTTCAGCAGCCTCAGCAGCTGTCATGTCAACATGGACTCGTTTGTTCCCTCTGTTCTTTGAGTGCCGCCGTATGGCGCGAACGGTGGAATCAAGGTGCCGTTGCAGGATGACGGCGTGCCATAGCGAATTCTCGATGGATTTGCGAGCGATACGTCCGTGGCGCGCTACCAGCTCCTTGTTCCACTCTGGTGTCTGCCCACGCGGTACGATGGGCAGTGGGGTTCCAGAATCGAGATAGTCCTGCCAGTGCGCAAAGTCCAGGACTAGCCCTAGATTATTCCACGTCAGGATGCAGGTGAGACAGGTGCACAGCTGGTGTGCATCTGGCGATTGAATGTGTTGGTACGGGCGGTTATGTATGTTAAGCTGCTTCTGGCGCGCGGGGTCGACAAGGAGGGGTTGTATTGCAGGGTCGACGTCGGTGAGGAGCCTGGGCGTAGGGAGGCATTTGACGAGTATGCTGTAGCGCCGTGCGATGATGGCGTCGCCGATGATATTCGCGTTGGCTTTGACAAGGCTCTGGAAGCGGCGGTTGACTAAGCTGAAGTCGATTACGTCGCGGGGGCGGAGATATTTGAGGCTCTCGAGAATGAGCTCGGTAGGCAGCTTGGTAATGTTCACAATGGCATCGCGTTTCTGCTGTCTCGTAGCATTCTTGCGCTTCATGCGCTCCGTCTTCTTGTTTTTGAGGGTGAGGGCTGCCGTCTTGTCTTCAAGTGGCTCGTCATCGTCGCTAACAGCATATCGTGGCATAATTTCGAGATGAGACGGAAGGCATCAATCAGAGAGTGACGGCACGCATGTCCCAAGACAACCCCCGCACAGCCAATCGGGTATAAGCAAAGTCCGCTTCGTCTGCATGTAGGCTATTACGTAGCACCATGTTCGCCACAAAAGCACGCGACTCTCACTACGATTTTACCTCCAGCAACTAAGTCCACTTTGATTGGTCACATTTTGAGCACATCGGCCAAACTTCAACATGGCGTCATGCCTCATTTCTAAGCAGTGGACCATACATAAACCCCATTAATTCAATTGTTTCTACCTTTCCGTTTGTATCACAGCTGAACCATCCCTATGAGCATTGCTAGGAGACTTGCACCCTGTATCAGAACGACACCAACCCGCAACGTCCATCTAGGAAACCACGCGCGCAATCGCTTATTCCACTCTGAAACCCAATCAATCAGCATGACCACGGCAAGCTTCTCCCACATTGATACCGACTCTTATTCTGGGAAACCGTGGGCCAAGGTTGACGGACCCGGCACCAGCTTCTCGCACAAGTGGCACGAACGACCCGTCCACAACCTTCGCGGCCGCGAACATGAATTCAACACCGATAACTCAGGCTTCGCAGTATATCAGTACCCCGCAAAGGAAAAGCTATTCACCGAGGATGCGGCAGTACGAGAGGGCTATTACGCTGAAGTCGAAGCTTTACTGCGTGACAAGCTTCCTGGCGTGAAGAAAGTCGTCATCTTTGACCACACAATACGAAGACGAGACAAGAACTCTCCTCGACAGCCTGTCCAACAAGTCCATGTAGATCAGACGGAAGCTGCAGCAGAAGCACGTGTTCGTCGTCATCTCTCTCCAGAAGAAGCCGAGCGATTAATCAAGGGCCGCTGGCAACTGATCAACGTATGGAGACCTATCGAGAACCCCGCTTCAGACCATCCTCTCGCAGTAATTGACTGGAGAACAACATCATCATCCGACTTTGTTGCTACAAACCTTCTTTACCCTAAGCGCGCTGACTCCATGGACGTCGACGACCGGGGTAAAGAGGTTCTTCCAGATCCCAACAACTACACGTCCACCGACGGCTATGAGGTCAAGGGTGAGACCATGTCTGTGGCACCTAACGACAACCACAAGTTCTATTATCAAAAGGACATGACACCCGAGGAAGTTTTGTTGCTCAAGTGTTACGATAGCTTTGGAGAAGGTATGGCCTTGGGGAAGAAGGGCGTGGCTGTAAGAACACCGCACACTGCTTTTGCGGATCCCAACACGCCCGCGGATGCTCCAGGGCGGCAGAGTATAGAAGTTAGATGCTTGGTGTTCTATGAGTAGATGTAATGGCTTGGAAATGAATATGATGGCTTCCATCATTACTTGATAATATATATCAATGACTCCATCTAGATGGTCTGGTGAGGCTGTGAATCGACAGCCACAACCCAAATTAAGCGTTGGTATCATAAGATCAAAAACAGGAAAGGGACAGTCTATCAAGTGGATAGCAATGACTACACATATCTAAGCCTTAGTGTGGGCTTCGATGCGTGCTTCTGTAGATTCCAGCTCAAACGAGTCGGTATCCTGAGGCCTCCAAAACTTTTTATCGCCCTTCATTGCACGGATGAACCAAGGTTGGGCGCGTGGCGAGTCTGAACGGACTAGAGTAAACCCTCGTTAGCATCATATGCGGAAGACAGCGGCATGTGGATAGACTTACAGCTCCAGTACTCCTTGTTGTCGTAGTCTGGCGGAAGCAGGCGTCCCCCTGAGATGGCACCGAGAGCCCACGTGAAGGTGTTTATGATGGCGAAGCACATAATTCCAGCGATAAGTCCATATGCGATCGAGTATGAAAAGGGCATGAACATCAGCGTGACGAAGGCTGGGATGGAATCACCAGGATAATTCCAGTTGATGGCTAGAACACCACGCATCATCATGCATCCGACTAGGATGAGGGCTCCTCCTGTCGCCCAGGGTGGAATGGAAGCGAAAATGGGTGCGAAGAAGAGCGAGATGAAGAAGCAGATACCGGTGGTGATCGCGGTCAGACCTGTGCGACCGCCTTCTTGGATACCAGCCTGTAAAAGTTAGTATGGTGGCACAGAACATGTCAAGATACAGCACTTACACCAGACTCAACGAAAGCGGTAACAGGCGATGATCCAAACAGGGAGCCGATGGAGATGGCGATAGCATCAGCCGAGTAAGCAATTGTACTCCTAGGGAAGTCACCCGTGTCAGGGTCGACAACGCCTGAGAAACGAGCCATGGAGTACAACGTGCCGGTGGCATCCAGAATATCAACGTAAAGCATGGTGAAGACAGCCAGAGCGAATTGCCCGCCCACGTTAGACAGATCCCAGTCTTGTGCCAATAGCGTATGCTTGATCGGGTGGAAAGCGACAACGTTCTTGAAGAACTCGAAGCGGCTGTCGCCAACTGCCGTGCGCGGGAAGTAGGTGATTGAAGTATCCCGGGGCCAACAAAAGATGGATACTAGCGCAATACCAAAGATCATTGAGCCACGAATCTTATAAGTCATGAGCAGAGCTGTAAAGACACCGCCCACAAGAAAGCCGAGCCACATGGCTGAATTTGGGTGTACGAAGTTAGTATGTGCCTCACGTGTAGTTCGTACAGGAGCACTTACTTGGGTTGGTTGCTTTATGCGAGAGACAGGAGCCAGTATCCGGGTCGAGGTACTCAGGAGAGCAACCTCCAAGATCAAGGGGTGTTGCCTTGGCTCCCGTAATAGCACCAATACCAGCCGAGTATGAGAGTCCGATCAGAGTGAGGAAGAGGCCAATACCCGCACCACACGCGACTTTGATACTGGCGGGAATGATTCGAGCCAGCCATTGACGGATGCCAGCGAGGGAGAGAGCGACGAAGATGAAGCCTTCAACGAACACAGCAGTCATTGCAACGCGGTAGTCGATTGGACCGGTGCCGTGGAACCCTACAATCTGATACGCCAGGTACGCATTCAGGCCCATGGCTGGTGCGAGTGCGACAGGGAGGTTCGCAAGAACGCCCATAAGGAACGAGCCGAGCGCCGCAATCGCGGCAGTAGCAGTCACGAAATCACGGTTGATCTCGAGTAGACAGAGAGAGTAGGCTTCGTCGTTGAGACATGTTGGGTCGACAGGGTCATTGCAAACACATGTAGCACCAGAGTCTGTGAGGACGGAGGCCTGGAAGCGGTAGTATCGTTAGTACGGCTGTACCATATACTTATAATTTGACATGTAACTGGGTTTACTCACGTTGACAGCAATGATATATGCCATAGTGAAGAAGGTTGTCAGGCCAGCGCGTAGCTCAGTGGTGAACCTCGCATTTTTGATCTCGTTGGGCTTCGATAGTCAGTGTTATGTCTTGCATTCAAAGTCTTAGGGACGACGTACATGTCCTGACCCGTCAAGATGGAAGTACCTGCCCACAAAGGAAGCAGAGACGACATCGTTGAGAGCAGCCTTGTTCCTTTCAATGAAGCCCATGATGTTTCCAGAAACCAAAAGCGAAAAAACTGAGATGGTATAGCAACACTGAACCACTAATCCACAGGTAACAACGGAGATGGATCTCCAGATATATTTGCCATGCCCAAGCAACAATATACGGAGGCTACACTTAGTGCAGGGGGGTGGAGCATAGCAGGTGTGCTCGCGTCATGCAGGTGCCCGTAACGATCCCGTATGGAGTTCGTGGTAAGCCACATAAGGCATCCTCCGCGATCGGAGATGGAGACAGATTGAGCGGATGTGGGAGACACTATGCGCGGAAAAGTCTGCCGTTCCGTTAAGGCAAGTCGAACGGCTAGGTGTAGCTGTTTCAACCTGTCGTCCTTCGGTGGGATATGACCGCGTATGCGCCAATTGAGAACCGTCCGTCTTGGACATTTCACCAGCACTAACACGGTTGTCGGATTCGGGATGTGGGCTGCATCGAATGATCCACTACCAATAGCTAAGTAACTTTTACCAAGCCACGAAGCGAAGGCGAGTCACGCAATCCTTAGTATGGTGAAAACGTGCCGTGCCGTATGGTCTATCTGCTTTGGACCAGCCTCGACTCTTCAACTACCCAGCGAGAATAATATCATGGCTGCTGGAATTCGACGTGTGTCGGCTTCCTTCGCGAAAGAGTCTAGTCGTTACGAAACCCAGGTCTGTATTTTCCGGGGTCCAGGGTCGATGATGCATCGGTGAAGGCTACAACAGGAGCCAGGTACGAAAGGTACCTGATTGTCGGGTCTTCCAAGAAGTTCTAACGAGTCGCATAATGTCCCAACGATGGCTTGGAGCCGCGATCTCTGTTCGCGCCAATGGCTGATTTGCCGCTCTCCGGGACTTTCATGAAGGGGGAAGGTAAGCGGTTGTCTAGCAGGCGCTAAAAGTGGCTGGTGGCGCACATGTGATTAACTGGCCTTCGTGGGTCGTGCGTATCGTGTTGCAGGTTATCGGTAGTGACATTTCTGCGTGATGGCGTTGCAGAGATGTGCAGAATGCGCGGAGCTCTCGGTGTTGTTTTCTTCTGGTGCCCCTCTGGTTCGTTGTTTGCTTTCCGAGTGAGTGGGTTTGGAAGGTCACTTTCGTCGATCATCATCTGCGCTGTTATCGATGGGGACATTCCGCTTAACTCGGCGCTATGTCGGCTGGAACCGGGCGTCCCTGGTCTGTCAGGCGTCCAACCACAGTTGACTTACGGTACCCAACACTGAGCTACTATAATCCGACTAGACACACTAGCCGGCCCAGTTGGCGAGATTGAGAGTCGTTCCCGTGTGCGTGCTGGCCTAAAGTGTGGTACGTGTTGCAACATGGCGGGAAAGATGAGGTATTATCGAGCGAAGATCCCCCCGCCTGAAGGCAACATTAGTTCTGTATTGAAGTCGTCGACATGTTTCCAACCTTTGATGTCCCTCCTCAACACGCGGAGACAGTAGGCGCCCGCAAGGCAAGAAAGGCTAGGGAAGATGACACTTCCAGAAGGTCGTTCTCCGCAACTTCGCAATCTTCAGGGAGCACGCACAGCAGCAAACGTCAAGATGCCCCAAGTCTATCAGACTCAAGATCTGGAGGGAAGACTGGCTTTGGCGGATGGTTTAGCAAGAGCAGTAAGAAGGACATCCAGGAGATCGCGCCACTGTCAACACACAAGGAGATGCAGCGTCAAAAGGAGCCAGCACTTGAGCCAGAGTTAGAACTAGAACTCGATCAAGGACCAGCACCACCGACAGCTCCCTTGGAGACACAGCAGCAAGCACCCGGACGACCACCGTCACAACGTTCTGAGCAGACGTCTCGAACTCTCCGTCCACACCATTTTCTGCCACCGCTGCCAACTCCTCCCCCTTCTATTGGGCTTCCACCAACACCCGTCTCCATGAATGTGTCTTCAGGAATGCTAAGCCCTATTAGTATATCAGGTACGTATAATATCCAAATCTACAGACGGCACGGTTAGAGTAGTCGTCGAAGCTCTGAATAGCTCAGTTGAGCACGGAGCGAGAATGATATTGCACAGGTAGCATGCTTACATGTGGTATAGACAGGAAGTCACAGTACTCTACGATTTCCCGTGCCTCGTCCAACCAATCCAGCGTTACTCATTCCAATAACAGTGTCTTCTCCGGTACTTCAGGTTACGAGACTACCCTCTCAGAAGATGCTTACGATGAGCCGCGCTCTGCCAGGGCTCCGTCCCAATCTCAACCGGTGTCACACACCCCATATTTTGAACCGGTCGAGCGCGGTTCGCGGACCGGCAGCAGACAGAGTAACGAACGTGATCAAAGCGTCAAGGTCTCTCAAACGCCCTTTACCCGTGCGTTAGCCAAGATGGAGAGTGCTGGTACTCGCATCATGTCTGCACGCTTGAGTGAGGAATGGGATGGTTTGGACGACGACGAAAGTTACCAAGAGATCATGTTCGAGAAGCGGTTGTGGGCACTGACCGCCTATCAACGCCTAACACAGAATAAACCTCTACAGTCACCCGCTCATGAATTACTCAGCAATAGTCGGCCAGCAGATCAGAGGAGAGTTCTTCAAATACATGGGTCCTTAGGTTCGTTCAAGTTCATGCTCCAACTGATCTGAGAAGGCTCTAGTGCTAACTATTGCAGCGGACGGATGGATGCTCGCAAACCGGTACCCTTCGGTAACAGTATATACACTATCCTCCACGAAAAGCCACCCCGCTACGACGTATCCTGCTCCTTTAAACCACCATTCATTATATACCCCTTCCCTTGCGTCTTCAGCGCCCTTCCCTGATAACTATTTCGATGCCGTTATCTCGCGCACAGCCGCGACCGTTCTTCGAAACGATGATTGGGCGCGATCATTCTTTGACTGTATGCGTGTGCTCAAGCCAGGAGGACAACTTGAGATGCTTTCAGTAGATGCGCACATGAGCTGCGAGGGACCCAAGCTATCTTCATGGGTTGACGAACATATATCTTGCAAATTAGAGGCTCATGGTGTGAGCAAGGAAGCGTCGGACACCGTTCTCGACACGATGGAGATAGTGGGGCTCGAGAACATTCGTCGCGCTCGTATCGCATTGCCTGCACATCCGCCCAAAGCAGTGGCAAAGGTAGCACCATCCGCATCACATACCTTTGGTGCTACGATACCACCCTCTTCGCCACAGGACACCTTAGACGCTACCAAGATGATGGCTTTTCTCGGCCGCCACTTCTATCAAGATCTCTACAGCAGGTTCATGAACATGGATCAGGGCGAAGAGTGGTTCTGGTCACACAAGGATCTTCGGGATGAGATCGATCGATACAAGACAAAGATCGTACTTACCATTTCTATTGCGCAAAAGCCTGACGGCATGTGTAACGGGCAAAGTTATTTGGAAGATTAGACAATTCACTAAAGCATAGCGACGTCATGTTGCATCAAACACATTACCCTCTTTTGATATGGTCATTGACATTACTCGGGATGGCAGTCACTAAAGCTGAGAGTGTTGTGAGAGTCAAGCCATTACACAGCGACATTGTCTGTCGTGGATCTTCACTCACACCGTTTCAAAGCTCTGATCTACCAATGACTATCAAGCAGATTTGATGGATACCAGTTGACGAACAGCGCAGAATAAGCTAGCTAGCATCAGAACATCTCTGCTTACACTTGCTGTGGTTCTTGTTCCTCCCTTCCTTCCTACGGTTTCGCTTGCAGGACCCACTTTTGCCAGAGCGCAAACACCTTCACCTCTACACCTTTTATGATCCTTCCTCTTCCAGGTCGCACCAGCGACGATCTTCAAGCCAAGTTGACCTACCAGCGGTTTTACTCGTTATACGAGTCTCAACGGTCACAAATACCATTAGATATCCTACAATGACTGCTTCCCAAATCAGTCACGGCCAGATCGGCAAGATCATAGAGGGTACGTGTAATAACTCAAGCTCGCAGGTGATATAGAAACTGACATTTTGTAGATATGGAAGAACTCCTACCTTCCGTATCCATCGATAGGGCAGATTATCGAGCCTGTCGCACAACCTATGGCTGTCTGTCCAGCACCTACAAGCGTTCCAATGACTCTGACACTCCAGAAAAGGAATACAAGGAGTTACAAGCGCTTGAAAAGACTCTGCGTCACCGTCTCTCCAGTCTCGATGCTGACAGAGGTCTTCCGCGCAAATTCAAGGGTCCACTCGACGATCTCAAATCAGGTGTCGACGGTGCACTCGAGCGCGGCGTATCCACCGACTTTCTGATTCAAGGTCTGAAAGACGCGTTGGAAGATAAGCCAGGCGCTACACCTGCCCCGAAGCCCGTGCCCCCGAAGATGGTATCAGAGAAGCGGTTCAAAACAGTGTTGGACGAACTTCGCAACGAGAAAGAGAAGAACCGGAAGCTCAATGAAGAAAACAATCGCATGGCTTTAGAACTCAAACGGTACCAGATGCGCGAGAGGTCGGGTGAGCCGCCCCTGAAAAAACGATGCATCGGTTAGATTACTGACGAATCAGCCCAAACTGGTAGACGATCTGGCGCAGGCTACTATTAAGACTACAAAGATACCGACTGTTCTACCTATTTTGACGTCAACCGCATCGTTCACGCCATCTGTTCTGCCGTCCATCAGAAGCGAACCCGGGTCGAAAGAGGTTATCAACCAGAAGACAAAGAACAGGGAAGGAAGTCGATTTTTGGATCCCAAAGGTACTGATCCTTTTATCGCCGGATGAAAGAAGACTAACATTAATCAGGAGTGTCGTAACACCAAGTAGAATGCGGATGGAAAGACTTTAAATCCGAACCCTAACAGTGCGTCAGGCAGAGAATGCACTCTGGAAGCACGCAGACTATGATGGATATTTTGTGCGCGGTCAAGCATTCTAGCACAGCCTTTGTGACTGTCTCACATTATTTGGGTAGTAACGACTTAAATCTTGATTTAATCCAATGAATGTCACCATATAACGTACTTTGCTAAGAGAGATTGTGAGCTTCATTGAACCGATCACCATATTTACATCGTGCTGAATGACTCTCAATGTGTCTTCGAAAAACCGCAACATCACCAGCAACTTTTTGCAATTAACCTATGACATACGAATTTTGCGAAGAATCTCACCCAGGTAGCGTCGGTTTTGCTTCCCACTTAACGCATCGCGCCCTATGCGATTCTCAATGGGAAGTCAGGCGAGTTCGTATCTTTCCTGGGGTCCCTACGAAGTTCAAGCGCAACGCACCCGAATGATATGCGTCCATTTCACAAACTGCACTTCCGGGCAGTCGCATGGCTCACAGGGCTGAGCAGCATGGATCGCAACACGCCCTAATTGAGCTAGATTCGAGCCTGGAACCAGAAATTAGAACGTACACGGGACCAGCAGGACCTTTCACTCCACGCGTCAAGTCTAAGCCTGCTTTGAGCAAAGAGCAACAACAGGTCGTCAATCTTGTCGTAGCTGGCCACAATGTTTTCTACACGGGATCTATGTGCTCCGGGAAGTTACCCATTCTGCGGACTTTTGTCAGAAAGCTGCGAAAAGACAACAAAAGAGAGTGTTGTTTGGCCGCCAATGAACCTCGATGATTTGGACTGCAATGAGATCATGTTCTGCTATGGTACAAGTTTCCATGTCTTCGTGCACGTGGTTGACACCTCGCCATATCTTATGCTGGCTAGATAGTGCCCGACGTAAAGGAGAACCTAGACACACTAAGAGAGGATGCTTATGCGAAACAAATTTGGAATCGGGTGGATAATATGGATATCTTCATGGAAGAATTAGCATATACGGAAACATTTCCTTTGCTCGGTTGAATAGAGTGAAGGAAGAGGCAAGGAAGTCAGAAGTTAAGATGTGTTCTAGAGCTCGCTTAAGCATGTGCTTACTGCAATGACTCGGGAGAAATCTGGGATGTCGTGTTTGAGTCCGTACTTCGATAGTAGAGAGAATTTTTTCTTTTTTTCTTATGGACCCCGTGGTTGATTAATTCAGGCATAGTAAGAAACTGGACTGCCATATAGAAAACGCATCAGTCAAAATGATACGAAGGTCACATAATCACCAAAGATAAAGGCACAAGAGAAGTATTGAAGGAAAGGGTATATAAACATTTAAGATCACCTTTCTAGAAGGCGAACATTACGTATCAATCTACGATGAACAACATCATTAATTGATGACCAACTCAAAAACATTTGGCAATGGCAACAAACCACGTACTAAACATGTGCGAAGACATGCTTAGAAAATGCGGTTGAAGAAACGCTTCCACGCAGGCCAGGTGGCGATCTCGGCGCGCTCCCTGTTAATGAGGTCCCAGTCGAGTTCACGACGGCCAGTGTCTACGTCCATCTGAGCGGTGCGGAGCCATCCCTCACGCTTCCAGAAGTATCCAGCAATCCAGAAAGCAGCAACGACGAAGATAGCGAGGTAAGCCGAGAAAAAGTCGGTGGCGGTACCAAGCCTCTTGCCAATGGGCGATACGGCAGTGTAGAACTAATTCCATTGTTAGCATAATTATTTACATGAACGTTCGAGGGAAAGAATCTTACTTGAGCAATGAGGACAATAATAATAATGCCAATGCCAATCCAGGAGCCAACAACACCACCAGCAGCCTTGAACGGGATCTCATCCAAAGTATGTCCATGGTAAGCCCAGGCCTTGCGGAAGCGGATATGGGAGAGGCAGATAGAGCCCCAAGTGAAAAGGGCAGCAAGACCGGACAGAGCAACGAACCAGTTGAAGACAGTCTCACCAGTAGCGGCCAAGTTCATGTAGGCAAGAGGACCCCACATGAGAATAAAAGCAACAGAGTACAGTGGGCGTCCGGCACGGTCGATGTAGGTGAAGCACTTGGGAGCGTAACCCTGGTTGGCGAGGGCAGTGAGGGTTCGAGAACCACCGTATACACCAGAGACACCGATGGAGATGACGGAGATGAGAATGACAACGTTCATGAAACTGTCAAATCCAACCAATCCAGCGTTCTTGCCAGCAATGACGAAGGGGGAGGTGTTGGCATCGGAAGAGGAGCCCATCAGACGCTGGTCGTCGGAGGGAACAAGAAGTCCGACAAAAGTGAGACCGAGGATGTAGAACAAGGTGATTCGCCAAAAGACCTGACGAATAGCACCAGGAAGTGACTTCAGGGGGTTCTTGGTCTCAGCGGCAGCGAGACCAACAAGTTCGGTACCCGAGAAGGAGAAAGCGGCGGTGACGAATACAGTGCAGAAACCCTTGAAGCCGTTGTTGAAAGCACCCGGGTCGTACCAGGTACGAGCTCCCCAGTACTCAGAATACATGCCGTTGCTGGGACCTCCTCCGAGGACCAAGACCAAGGCAATGATCATGAAGACAATGGTGGCACCCAGCTTGATACAAGATGACCAGAACTCTTCTTCGGCATATCCCAGGGTACCCCAGATGTTGATTATAACAATGAAGACCCAGAATATTGTAATGAAGACTGCGACGTTTACTCCTTGAGCGCCTTCCCAATAATGGATTGTTAGACCGGCGACGAGAAGCTCAAGAGGTAAGACAATAGCCCATTGGAAGACGTAGTTCCAGCCCATGGCGAAACCCCAGGAAGGATCAATGAAGCGAGTGGAGTAGGTATAGAAACCACCGGAGACGGGGTACATAACGGCGAGTTCACCAAGAGCGTAGACTATGGAGAGTCAGTTCTGTTCAAGTATGCAGAAGCGTGAAGCGTTTACTTACCGACGTTGAAGATCATGACACCCATGATTGAGAAATCAATTAGAACTGAGGCAGGACCCTGTAGAAGTTGTGAGTTCATGTTCAAAAAATTATGGAGACATGTACAACTTACACCTCTGGACAGAGCACCACCGGAGCCAACGAAGAAACCAGCACCGATAGAACCACCGATGGCGATCATGTGTAGATGGCGCGTCTTCATGGACTTGTCGAGCTCGATCAAACCGCCCTCATGGGGACGACGCTGGAAGGACTTCATGTTCAGACCGTTGCGGGTCATGAAGTCCTCACCGTCACGCCAATCAGCAACATCTTCGCTCTGACTCTCAATGGTCGGGTGAGGGACGCTGGTCTTCTCATCAGGCGGGAGAGCCTTCTCGTGGTCCATGATGGGCGGTTGGACAGGTCAATGCTGGGGATGGGAAAGACTGGTAAACACGAGAGACACCCTGGGAGCGGCTGCTCTTATGAAGATATGGATCAGCGGGAGGGGGAGGCAATTGACATTTATCCAGTCCAGGTTGGAGATGGTCCTCACGGAACAGGCGACAGGGACCCTCGTCGATTGATGCACAAGGCGCACGAGCCGGGAGCTTGGCACTGCTCTTGGCACCCCTCCATTACAGTGAAGGGCCAGGCGGACGACTGATAGGCTGGCGTGGTGTTTGGTTGGCTGGTTGCACACGACCAGGACAAGCGTTGGCCGTAAGCGGATAGTGCTAACAGGGACGGTGAATTGGCGCCCCGCGGTGGGTCTTGGGATTAGCTTGGGACCTCCCCGCTACAGCAAATCGGCCGGTGGCGTATAGGGCTTGGCGCGAGCTTCGAGGGGGCCCTTGGTGTCGTTTGGTCAGACCGGGTCGCTGGGCGGAGATTGGGCCCAAAGAGGACTGATAACGAGTGTGCGAGTGAAGGCGAGGTACGAGTTTAGCAACGTTCTAGCACACTTTCTAGAACGCTGATTGCAGCGCTGGGCTCCCTTGGCGACCGCGGTTTTCTTCGGATCGAACGCCGCTTTCCTTGCCAGCTGCCTCTATTGGCGAATCGAGGTTGGTGAAGCGCGACCGTCTTATCTGCAGTCGGATGGCCGCGCTTACTTGGTGCAGTCTGGAGAAGCCCCTCACGTGCCCCACGTCCATGTGTACCTGCCTTTCCGGGCCTAGCCCCTCCGCTTCCGTCATCTCCGCTTCGGCTAGCCCGCGACGCGATGCCTCTCCAACAATACTGTTTGTCAACCACTCCATCGGTGGCGCTGCCGTCCTGCCATCGCGAATACCGCGAATAGGCATGGCCAAGCGCTCGTGATTGCGGCGTGTGCTGTGTCATGGGGCGTAATGAGTACGGCAGCATTGCGTTACATTGCCCATCTAAGTGCGCATCCTAGCACGACAATCCCTTGTTCGTTTCAGTTGCCTCGATGATTAGGCCCTTTTGCGCTCCACCAGACCCCTTCGAGAACAACGTTATCAACGCGTGGGGGACGAGCCTGCTGAATCCTTTGCTTAAGAGGTGCGACGTCGCGCTTGTTTGACACTTGGTTGCGAACGTACCATCCAACGGCAACGGCTCCCAGATCCACCGTGCTGATGCCCGAGAAAAACCACAATTTTTGCCCCAGGAATCGCAGCCAATCACGAGCCCCTCGCTCGCTTGCTTCCCCAATGGCCTTAGCTCATGTCTTGCCAATTTTGCTTGGAATTTCTTGAATGTCTTGGAACGTCCCATATCGGACCAGTCGACAGGTCTGTCACAACACCATGATCCGTCAGCCTGGCGAGTGTATACAGGCCCGCAGGACGAAGGGTCCATCAGAATCCTTTATCTCAATATTGTCAAATTCGAATTGCCAACGCTCGCTTGTCTGCTATTAGCGCTGCTCCACTGATAAACATCTGTCTGAGCGTCGTATGTTGGGGTGCTTCGATCCGCGTCTGGGACCCCCCTAGGATCCACCGGCATCCACTTGGACCTGGATTCCAGATAACCTCGTTCCTAACCACGGCCACGGAGAGTGACGTTCCTCCCCTGGTAATTCGTCACCGGCGGCAAATGTCACAACGGTATAACCCGTAGTCGCAGCAAAAACCAGCTTGCTGCGTTCTGACCACAGTGTGCCTTGCGCTAGAATTTCTGACCGACTTTCTCGCCGCATAAGCGGCCGTGGCCCCCAGTACGACATGCCGCTCGCACCGAGTTGGCGGTTTTCCCAAACAATACCGCCGAGAGTCAGGCCTGTATGCGCATGTACACGCCTTTATCACCATGGACCCTGAATCTTGCGGAAATCGATTTCGTCGCAATGAACGTGTTCAACAATGCTCAGCAATCGCGAAGATAGTTCTTCATACTAATGACTCAGGGCCAGTAGCTTATCGAGTTTCCCTTACAGTTACCAACCACAAACTCGTTCAACAGGATGACGAGTTTGTACGTCATCTGCACACTAAATTTATCGCGATTCTATTCCTCAAGATCTCTCCTCCAGACTAGGTTGCGCATCGAAGAAACGTGACATCTTCTGAGATTCTTACGTCGATCAACTTCCGAGTGTGCCGTGGATCCAACACACACACTTCACTAGCACGACGACACCGTGTTGCCACTATCTACCACAGTTCTCTAAATGTGCGCCAATGATCACTTGACGTATGCGTCACTCGAACTCTGGAAGTTTTCAGTCTACTTTGAAATCCGTACTGAATTAGAGCTCAGTAACTACCGCGAGGCCCTCGAACATGGGACGCTATTTTCTGGAAATCCATACAGTTTAGAAAACGCTTTACACAACACAACTACCTTTTTTTTTTTTTTGGCAAAGACGAGTCTCAAAAGCCTATGCCTTGAAGCCTAGACATTCTCATGCGGCCTCCAAATAGTACTATCTCCTTCTCCTTCATGGCTAACCGGTTGTCTCTCCCGCCAACCAGCCGTCCCCAGATGCCTTTTATCTTCCATCGATCTCCCTCTCCTTTCTTTTTTCCATCTGAACGGTCATCCATCTCCTTCTGTCTCTTGAGGAACAGCGATTGGTAGAACTCCAACCTCATCATCTCCCGTATTCTCACCATACTACCAACGCTACCCTTCCTTTCCGCGATATCCCTGACAGCGTCGTACACGGATACCTTCCTCTTTCGTTCTGGAAAAGGGGGCGGCGTCCGCGGGAACAGAAAGCTCGGGGTTAGGAATGGAGAGGTTACTGGAAGAGGCGAGGCTGGTAACAGGAACGTCGTTCTGGTTGGTGTGGGCGTAGGCGTACGGAGAAATGATAGTGCCCTTGGTGAAAGCGGACTATCAAACATGGATAGTGGAGACGCAGGAAGAAGGGGTGTCGCCCTAGGGAATAAGTACAGGTGGTTGGTTGAGGACTCTGGTGATGGAGCGAGATACGGATTCATTGGTGAGTCTGACGAGTCTCGTGAGCGGATAGATACGAATGGTGACGGCGTATCGGGGTCCCAGTAGGATAAGGCTGGCACGGGAGGAGCTTCATGATTGAAGTTGATCGACGTATACATCGACGGGTAGGTCGCACGTCGCGGCGTGGGTGGACGGGGGGCGCGCCATAGAGTTGTCGATGTGGGAGGTATGATAAGGGAGGTTGGTCGGGGGCGGACCGACGGCATTAGCAATAGTTGATTGAAGGTAGTTGATGACAGGTTGGTATAGAACAACGGCAGGGCTAGAAGGATGTTGCTTTCTCCACGAGCAGCTCAATCATGGTGCCGTCCTCTTGATATACCTTCCAAGAATCCCACGCAGGATGCTTGGTTTGGCCATTGGACAGAGACATGCTGATGGTCCATACCCGAAGATCGAGACTTGAGGTGCGCATCCACGACGGAAGCTTGATTTTCTTGCAGATATGTGATATTCTTGGATTCAGAGTTTACGCCAAGTTCACAAGAAAGCTTCTGCACCACGGACGAGCCAAGCCCAAGCCCAAGTGCAGGTTCGACAATTGGCAGTCGCCGAGACACAGTCTATAGGAAAACTGCAGCACTACGGTTTTGTCTCGCTATGACAGTGGGCGACATCAGCACATACAAAGCCTGAGTCAAGTTCTCCAAGACATGGGTTGTGCGCCGGTCGCAAGGTTTCGATGGAAAAGACGGCGGAACGGATGAGTCAGCAGCATCCGAGCAAGAAGAAGAAATGACGTCTCGCCAACGTTAAGCGCAGACGCGAAATCCTCCGAATTGTGAGCTTGACTAGTTGTTGGCATCCTCGCAATACTCAATCAGCAGCGTCATTGCCATCGGCGACTAGAGTGCACAACGCTTCTCCGCAATCGCCAAGGCGCGCAATCTGCAGCTACTGACGTCCAACGGGAAGGTTGGCAAACACCTCAGCGACCTCAGCGACGCAGCCCCACTGTCGTCCGAGACACATCCAAGATGCTTACACGAAGTGCACTGTGCCCAGCGAGGGCCTTTGCCAGCCGATTCTCGCCTGCTATCCTCGCTCCCTCGTCAACCGCCGCCGCGACTTCCTTCTCCACATGCACACGACCAAGCAGGCTCCGGCAACAACAGCAACAACAGCGCAGCAGCCCGACTCTCACCTCACGCATCACATTGCCCAGTAGGCCGATAGCACGACATGCATCAACTGCCCCCGCACAGCCCGTCGCCAACAACTCGCCCGGCGCACAACCCCAACTTACATGGAACGCCTTCTTTGCCCTACGCCGCACGCGCCGGAGAATTGGCCAGGCTTGCTCTGGAGTCGGCGCAGTAGGCGTGACATACTTTGGTCTCACCACCATGATCAACAATGGCTACGATGCCACCCTTTCCGCCCAACTCGGTGGTTTTGACCCCTTCATGCTCATGGGACTGAGCACCTTGGGTATGATGGCCGTGGGATGGCTTATTGGGCCCATTTTTGGTAACCAGGTCTTCAATCTGGCTTACAGGGGTGTACTTGGCGAATTCACACGCGTAAGTTGAAATGCTGTTTGTTTGGCAAGAGTTGGAGATCGAATACTCATCTCCTATCTAGAAAGATTCCGCCTTCTTCAACCGCATCAAGCGCCACCGCGTCGATCCTACCGCGTCCTCGCTGGCCAACCCGCCACCGGATTACTACGGCGAGAAGATTGGTAGCGTTGCTGGATACAGGCGGTGGTTGAAGGACCAGCGTGCCTTCAATCTCAAGACGGGAAGGTACCGCGCAACCAAGGCTTTGTAGGAAGGGCCTGGGCATCTTGTTAACCAGATACAAGACTCCAAGTATCGAATCAGAAGCTCATCTGATGTAAGACTGCATAAGTTGTAGGGAAAAGCATAGTGTGAATCAGAGACGAACTTTGACTTCAGGATTATATGGGTGGCAGGGTCTGGAGGCGCACGAGTGAGTACTGCTTACGTACTCCTCTGTTTTTCACAAGTGTCAAAATATCTGAGCGACGACCCTAGCTTTGTACCTTCGCATCTCAACCCACGCCATGTTTTCATTTGTTCTGGAAGAGAAACGAACGACAAAACACACATGTATTTATATGTACATCTCTGATATTTGGATGAATCACGTCTCCATCTTGCGAGTTCACACTATATCCTCGCCCTCCTCTCCACCCTCTCCAACACGCCCACAACCCCATCTCTAACCTCTCTAATCACATCACCAGCGGGCATAACCTTCCGAACCAACCCCACTCCACTCCCAGCATACGCCGTCATTCTCCCTCCATCCTGCCTCCACCCCTCATCCCCCCTTTCCATCTCCTCTTTGTACAGCCTTGTATTCTCCTCTTGACTCATCCCCTTCTCCACTGCATCCACATAGCTCTGCGTAATGATCCCGCGCGCATTGTGTGTCTCAGCCCAATTTGTGCCACGTAGCGAGTCGTAAACTTTGGTGCGAACAGTGCTTTGGCCGCCGTCGGTGGTGCGTAGGACGGCGGAGCGGTAACCCTGGGTTATGTTGGCTTCAGGCGTGGCAAGTAGACGCGTTCCTAAAATGCAACCCGAGGCGCCGAGGGTCAGGGCGGCGGCGAAGGTGCGGGAGTCGGTAATTCCTCCTGCGGCTATGAGGATTGGTTTCTGCTGAGTTTGGGTTTTCTGGAGATATTCTTCCAATGTGTCCTTGACTTCTGGTAACAGCGTTACGATACTTGCCCCTTTTACCAAACCATGGCCTCCTGCATCTGTTCCTTGCACAACGAGGACGTCTGGTTTTACTTGTTTGACTACTTCGACAGCTTCTGTCACACTGCCTACTTGGACCCAGATCTTCGTTTCTGGGGAAGCGGTTCTACTCTTTTCTGTCCATTGCAGGAGCGAGACTAGGGAGGAAGGAGCGAAGAACCAAACTGCTGCAGGTCGGTGTCGGGCGATGATGGGGATAGCCATCTCGAGGTTTGCCCCCCAGTTGATAAATCCGATACCGATTGGTAAGGTGCCATGTCGTGTTTGCAACGTGGTGCTTTTGAGTAGTTCCTGTGCGTGGCGGACGTGAGATTCTAGGTCTGAGACATCTGTTCCTGCGCCTATGAACCCAATTCCGCCTGTGCCAAGTTGTTAGCAAGTCAACGAATTATGTACATGGACTGGAGGGCGATGGAAATTTAGCTCTTTCCTTGCATGACTTACCGGCTTTCGACACTTCAACAGCCATGTCCGCTAGAGCGATCAGTCGCATTGGTGCACTCACCACCAGCGGCGTCTGAACCCATGGATAATCTCCAGCTAGTCTCTGAATATCGTCCATCTCTTCTTGTTATCCTGTTCTTCCTTTGACGCAACTCGACTAAAAAGTGTTTATATATACTTCGTGTTACACTGCACAGAATTGCGACTTCCAGTAAACTTCGCAGAATTCCAAACTCACAGCTCCTCGCTTGGCTGTTCAATTGCTCACGCAAATGATGCAATGGATTGGTCGGTACGAAAAGGCAATTGCGGGAATCGATGCTTTATAGCGAGACTGACAATATACGTATGAAGGTGATGGTCGAATGATGATGCATGTGACCCAGGTTCCGCTAGACCAACCGCAAGGTTTCGACATCTCCTCGGCTATACGAACATGGAACTAATCCGGCCTTACTCGGCATTCAATTCGAATAACATATTACATGTATAAGCGCACACGAAATTATTATGTTGTCTTCATTACATCTTATCCCCACATGCCCTAAGGTATTAACTAAGATACTAATCCCAAAGTCTATGTTCATATGAACAGAACCAAAATCTCATGCCTAAAAAGTCCCAATATCTACATCCGCCCATCATTAAGACCCGAAATGCGTCGTAAAAAGTGGAAAGAAGAGAAGTCATTACAGCTTCTACTGTCTCCTCTCCCACTCCACAATACCAGGAGCCAATGGCCTGGAGAACAAACTCGAGTAGTCGGTGCCAACAATGTCCTTGCTGCCACCTACATTCCTCAGCTTGAACTCGCGCACGAATGCTACGAGGATGGTTTGCAGTTGAAGGTAAGCAAACTGCTCACCAATGCAACGATGCCTTCCAGCGCCAAAAGGCAGGTAGGGAGAGTTTGTTCCCTTGGAAACAACGCCCCAACCATAGTCGATTTTCTCTTGGTCGGCATCGTCGCGCTCCTCGTCATACTGTTGGTGCTCGGGGTCCCATCGGTGCGGGTCCCAGACAGCGGGGTTGACAAAGTGGGTGTCGAGCTGAGCGGAGAAACCAGGCGAAGACATCAGAGTGTGGGTGGTGGGTACGACGTAGTTGGTTCCATCGACAACGAGGGGTTGCTTGACCTTGCGCATGATGGAGTGGATCGGAGCGTGAATACGAAGGGTTTCCTTGACGACCTGAGCGTGGAGGGGTAGCTTCTGGAGGTCTTCGTAGGTCAGAGGTGGAAGGTCTTCACCAAGAATAGACTTTTGCTCAGCAAGGAGTTCTTCTACCAGGTGTGAGTTTTGTGCCAAGCGTAGCAGAATCCAGGAGATGGTCGAGGATGACGAGTGTTGACCAGCCATGAGCAGCGCAATCATAATTCCGGCAATCTCATGCTCAGGAACTGGTGTGCCGTCCTTGTACTTGCAGTCCATCAGGTGCCAGATCATGTCGTGTGAGTCCTTCTTGGCCGCACCCGATCTCCTCTTGCGAACGACTTCAGAGTATAGCTTGATCATCGTCTCTCGTGCGTTGTCGCGTGCGCGGTTGTGAGGAAGCGGGGCCCAAGACAGCATGAAGTTGATGGGTGAGAAGCCCATGTCGAGGTCGTGGTACAGCTCAGCGAATTTGGAATCGAACGACTTGCGGATCTCCTCACCCTGGAGCGAACGAGAGGCGGTGTAGATGGTGAGCTCGGCCATGACCTTGGGGACGTTGAAAGTGCCCTTTTGCCCCTTGAAAGTCTCGTGACGCTTCATGAAGTCTTCGCATTCTTGTGTGATGAGAGTGACGTAGGAGCGGAGAGCCTCTTGGGTGAGACCATACTTGACAAACTGTCTTTGCGTTAGCGTTGACGTGGTCAGAAGACAAGGATATGCGTACCTTCTTCTGCTCCATGAGCTTCGAGTTGGGGCAGTCGTAGACGACATCCTTGCCAAAGACCGGTGTGCAGAGTGGGGAGTAGATCTCCTCGGCATTGACATCCTTGATCTTTCCGTTGAGGATGAAGTTGTTGCCAGTTGTGTCCAGGCACACCGTCATCTTGCGCCCGAGGAGAATGAAGGTGAAGACGTTGCCATACTACTTCTAGTCAGTTGTGTTCAATTCGGCCATTGCACGTCCTACACACCTTCTTCTGGTTGGCGAAGAAGAACGCATACGGGTCCATGCCATATGTGACGGTGTTGCCGATGACGGGCAGCCAGTGGAAGACGAGAGGCGGCTCATTGGGGTTCTTGAGCAGCAGCTGCTTCAAGACATTGAGGACGACGGCGATCAGAATAAAGGAGGCGAAGCCGGCGGCGACGATGACGGGCGTGGACGAGTTGGATGTAAAGTTGCCGAGGGGGCCGGCGACGTTGGCAAGAAAACCCATGGTGGGCGACAAGAAGCAACGACAGAAGTGAAAGCGTGGTTGCAGGACAATGTTGACGGGGAACGCGCCTCAATAAATTTCCCAGAAGTCGAGGGCGCGCATGGACCAGGGTATCCAATCATACAAATGAGTCGTCGCCTCTGCCGTACAGGGCGGTATCCGACTGGACTGTCGGTGTCGACGTCTTGGCAGGGACCGGCATGCGGATACTAGCGCCCCCGACCTGACAAGGAGAGAATGGCTGGTGGCACCACTGACAGACCATGCGAAGCAGATTGCTGTCATCGTACACTGTTTCCTGTCATTGGCTCGGGGATACATCACCTCATCCAGGACCCAAAGCAGATATCGTCATGGTGCAGAATTTACTCTTTACTACGCTATGCTCGGTGGAAAGACCTAGACCGCAAAAGTGTGCTTGCCGGTAACCCACTATTTTACACGTCCGCCTGTACTGCTATAGAACTCCTGTTGATCATGACAACTAAACTCCGCAAGACGCCAGACGCTCCGCTTGAATGAAATATCACACCATCTTCCAACGCTGCCCTAGTTGATCTTTCCTTTGCTCTGTGCAGATGCAAGGCTCTGGTCCGTCGCATAGCGGGAACCGTCATCCTCTTCTGAATACAGCGTCTGATCGCCTTTGCCGCCCATCTCGACAAATTCCTCGGGATTTCGCTGATCGGCAGGTCTTACCTCTGCCACGCCGTGAGTCTTGCCGGTCATCTTTGTGCCGTTCTCAACTCCGTTCTTCTCATACACCTTGACTGGGTCTTGGCCTTCAGCGCCTTTGATAACGCGAGATACCTTAATGTCGTTGATGCTGCTGAGCATGGTGCGTTCTCGCTGCACTTTGCGCTTGGAGAAATCAAGCTTGGAGATGGCGCCTGTAAGACCATCTGTGCTGTCGTTGACGTTGATCCTGCCCTGCGTAGTCCACGGGTGCTCTAGGCATTCATCAATCGTTATTCGCTGCTCAACATCGACTGTAAGCATACGATCGATGAGATCCAGCGCAGGGTCGCCGACAGAGTCCCAGTACGGCGATGGATAATCGAAACGGCCCATCTTGATCTGCTGCGAGAGAGTATATGGGTTCTCTGGACTGTACAGCTCATCTGAGAATGGAGGAAAGCCGCACAGGCAGATGTACAATACAACTCCTAATGACCAGACATCCACAGCTCTGGTGTAACGTCGATGGTTTGAGTTTTCCAGTATCTCAGGCGCAACATCTGAGAAACGTTAGCATGCCATCGTATATTGTAAAATGGCGACTTACATGATGGGGTTCCACATAGGGTAGTCGTAAACGATTCCTCGCCAATGATTTTGGCAAGACCAAAATCAGCCAATTTGATAGACAATTCCTTGTCTGTGAGCAGAATGTTCTCAGGCTTAATGTCTCTGTGAACGATGTTGCGCTCATGCTGACCATCGTTAGCAAAGAACCACACAGATGTCGGAACACTTACCAGGTACTTAAGCGCTTGGAACAGTTGCACGAAGACCTTTCGCGCCTCCTCCTCGGTCAATTTTTGTTTCATAACGATCCAGTTGAAAAGCTCGCCCTCAGTGGCCAACTCGAGAACGAGGTAGACACCGTCGTCTTCATCGAAAGTATCTTTGAGACAGAGCAGCGCCGGGTGGCTGACACTCATGAGCACGGCAATTTCCTGCTGCAGACCCTCGACCTTTGACTTCTCGCCAGGACCAGTACGCTTCTCGAACTTCTTCACTGCGTACCGTACGCCTGACGACTTTTCTGCGGCAAGATATACCGAAGCGAAATGTCCTTTGCCTAATTGCTCTTGCATAGTGTATTGCTGTCGGAACCGGTGGGTGTTGCGCTTCAACGGGTACCTGAAGACGTAGCGGGCTTGGTCCAAAATGGCAATTTCATCGCCTTCGCGCAGTTCGCGTCGCTTGTTCCGTCCGACAAAAGTATCGTTGACAAATGTGCCGTTGCCAGACAGGTCTTCGACCACTGCAATGGTATCGCCGCCCTTCTTCTCCATGAAAAGCAGGCAGTGACGATTTGAGACGGTCGGTGAGTTGAGAACTCGATCTGTGACATGGTCAGAGAAGCGTTCATCGGAGTGGTATTATGGTAGGGCAACTTACCGCACTCTCGGTGACGACCGATAAGGTAACCACCTGACGGAACACCTCGCTCCTGCTTCTCGTTCTCGTATTTTTCCTCTTGACCTTTGTACTCTTCCTTGTTTACACGCTCTGTACCATCAGTCTTGCCAACGAGCGCGGAAGGTACGGGACAGGCCTCTCGCTTGCGCAAGACAAGGACATCCTCAGCCTGGCCTTCCATGGGCACCAGGTAGCCCCAGACCTTTTCGTCCTCCTCATCTTCTACAGCGTATGTTCGGCTCTCGGGTGGGTAGACGAACTGCGAAAAGGGCTGGGTGTCGGATGGGGGCGAACTAAGCCCACCCTTTGCCTGACTTGACTTGCCGGGTGGGGGGCTCTGTGTGCCTTCTTGGTAGCCTTCCGAGGCGTCTCCAGTGGATTCTTTGTGGGTGACGGGCGAAGGCAACGGTCCCTGTTTAAGACGGCCATTGGGAGGCGGCGACAGGCGCGAGTGGCGAGTTCTCTTGGGCTCAGCTTCCTCGCCCTGGGAATACTACAACAATTGAAGCGTCAGCGCCCATCCTCATTCACATCATGGCCTCGTGCGACGGGCGACGGGCGACGGGCGACGTACGCGATTTCGCTTGAGCTGACTTTTCTCAGTCTGCGCCGGCATCTTGAACAGCAACGGAGAGCAGTGGAGTCGAGATGTTGACGGGTCAATGCGGGCGCGTGGATTGCCAGTGTCTAGGCAGGCAGCATAGTGATGCGAGTGATAGAAACAAGTAGTAGGGGCGGAGACTCTGGGCCGCTAAGCTCGACTGAGATTGAACGGCCGCTCAGCTGCCTCGAGGTTTAGACGACGTTCCAGGCAGCCAAGCCCTGGAGCCGGGGAAGTCGCGTTCGACCCCTGCCGATTTGCGCGTGGCGAGCCCGCGGCCCTGCTTAAGTGGCCCGGAGCTGGCCACCGCCCAACATTTTACTCGCTATGACATGCTGTTCGTCCAGAGCACTCGGCGAAGAATCGTCTCGACGAAACATTGCGAAAAAGCATGCTCTCCGCCTTTCCTCATCTCGACGAAACAGACTTTGAGCGCGCCTGCGATGGGCTGCAGCGACGCTTCCAGCTCAAGGGTAGCGCGCAGGAAGACTGGCTATCCGTGGAGAAGATCCACCGAAATGGGACCGTATATCTCAACATTACCACGCATCTGCCGCGCCCTGCAGGTATACCTGCTGTGCAGGATCGAGACGCTACTCAAGTGGATGAGGTAGTAGAGCACGACGAGGTGGGTGGGTGCCCAACATCTGCCGACAAGAGCTCAATTCAGGTAGGAAGCTCTCGACACCACCGTAGTACTTCGGCCGGTTGTAGACTACGATGTTGTCTTGTCACAAGTCTATCGCGTGCCTGTGCTGTACATCAGCGTTCGTGACCCCCAGCACCGGTATCCCCCAACCATGACTACCTTGTACGAGCACCTGGTCCCGCTGCAGTTCAAGGCACAGGCTGAGAATGTTGGTGTCATTGGAGGCATCACTATTACTGTGAGACAAGCAACTGCATGCGCGGTATCAAACTGATCTTCATAGGATCATCCGGCCACCAACAGACCTGTGTTTTTCATCCATCCATGTCAGACGGCTGGCGTGATGGAAGCCTCTCTTGACAGAAACGTTACAGCGGATGAGTATCTGATGATATGGATAGGAGCGATGGGAAAGGCTGTTGGCTTGGATGTACCTTTGCAATTAGCCAGACCAGACGATGCTTGACATTGCTACACGTGCTTTACATATCGTGATACAGTATAGTACACCTACAACCGCATTCGGACACTGGCCTTCTCCAGCTCGCCAATGTTCCCCATACCCGCCAAGCTCCACTTCTCCGTTACGAAGCCCTCGTTGACTTGGTGTCGCAACATGCCGCTTTCAGCATAGTACTCCATGATCGACCGGGCCTCTTCCTTGGTTAGCCCGCCGACGTTGATAATGTCAAATTCACTCGAGTCGTTGTGGAGACCCTTGAGAGCCTCCATCACGCGTGCATCTACATTCTTGTAGGGGTTCCATGGTGGGAGCTTGCCTGCACCCTTTTGGCGGGCCTCGGCTGCTTCGATGCAGTAGTCCATCGCTGGGGAAGCGGGTGCGTTGGATCGCGATGTTGCGCCGAGCACCATGCCGCCGTTGGGTAATTTTCTTTGACCTGAAAGGTGATCGACGAAATGGCGGACAAGAGTCAGGTCGTGGGCATGGATAGGCTTCACTTCCGCAGACATGTACTCAGAGTGGCGCATGATGTGTGATAGACCGTCGACTGCAAGAAGAATGGGTGGACGACCGGGTAGAGACAGCTCGTTCCATAGCGCAACAAAGACGGGCCATGATGCCTCGGGGTTGGCCATTCCAAGCGCCGCCAGCTCTTTTAGTGTAGCACCTGCAGGAAGCGGGAGAGGTAGCTCAGGTTGTGTGCTAAGTTTCGTCGCCGCGAGGAATGCTCCGTTCGACTGGAGAATTTGCTGGAGGAGGTTCGCAGTGTATGCGTCTTGGGTGTACTGCATTGGTTCTGAGTTCGGGAGTGGTGCATACTCTGTGTGAGCGTTGACAAGGTCCTGGGCTGAAAGTTGTCAGTACAGTCCCGCTTGCTTGACATGGCAACACGTACCTTCTGGGAGGTTGATCACAAACCAGTCCCGCAGAATACCCATCGTCAGACCCTGGAGTACCAATGTGCTCTTCCCACTCATTCTTTGTCCAGACAGAATCCGTCGTATTGTCTTCTTGGAGCTCTCCGCCTCTTTGAACAGTCTCGCGAGTTCGATGGCCTCTTTCCTCATCAACACTGCCGGCCGTCTAAACAGACTCCATCCCTGGGTCGTCTTGAACGCCTCGATGGCTCTCAGCGCATCGACTAGGTTTTCCTGTGGCAGTCCCATGACCTTGCCCTCATTCTGCTCGTTGAGGACATTTTCCTTGCTGAGGTCCTGGAGCGAGGACACTTCTAGTGCGTTGTCGTTGCTCAGAACAATGCGCTTGCGCTGGGCTTTGCGCTCTCCTTGTGCTGGCCGTTTGCCGGAATCGCCTGCTGCGGATCCCCTGCCCTTCTTGGTGTTCAGAGACTTGACACCCTTCTTTGGGGCGGCGGTCATGCCCTTCTTCTTCTGTACCACAGCATAGCGGGCGGCCGATGTGGAAAAGCAGGCTGTCTGTGGGCGTAGCAGGCGCGGGGCGATGCAGCTGTGGGCGCCGGCATCAAGTGACAGTTGCGAGAGGCTTCGGAGACATGTTGAGGGCGGCATGACGGGTGATCGAGGCGCTGGCCCTCCGCAATGGGCGAATTGGAGATGCTAGAGACGAATTCTGTGATGGTCAGAGCCTCGGAGGTCCGCCGCTCGTGCACGGACTCGAAATTTATTCTGAACTTTTGGCAGGCGCGCAAAGTGAAATTCTACCCAAACCACCCAAACCATTCAAAATGTCAGACACAGAAATGGACGGCGGCGTCGCGCTAGGTGCTGTTTCCCCCACTCATTCTCACCTCGTCGACGAAATCAACGGAGGCGCCATGGACGTTCACGCCAACGGCGCAGCTTCCGTCGCAGACTCGACCGTCTCCAGCCGACTGTACGTCGCATGCTTGCTTTGTCCCCTACTTCGCCGTTGCTGACTTGACAAAGCCCCATCGCCGTGAACAAGCCCACGCCTTTTACTTTTGACCTGGGAAACCTGCTCGCAAACGACCCAAACCCCGTCCCTGCCAGCGCCGACGAAGCAACTCTCACTGCAACGGCCCGCGATGCTGCACAGGCCCTCATCAACCAGCTTCTCTCTACCTGCGAAATCAAGTCAAACTCAGAGGGCGTGCACCTTGTCCTCCCTGCGCCAACCACACCTCTACCCCGCGAGAAGCCCATCCCTACAGCGGCTGAGAAGACCAAGTGGGAAAAGTTCGCTGCGAAGAAGGGTATCAAGGACAAGAAGCGCGACGGCAAGCTTGTATACGACGAGGCTTCTGGCGAGTGGGTACCCAAATGGGGTTACAAGGGCAAGAACAAGGAGGGTGAGAACGACTGGCTGGTCGAGGTTGACGAGAAGAAGGAAGCCAAGACAGGTACGGCCCACGATGCGAGGGCGGATAGTCGGAAAGAGCGAAAAGAGAGGATCAGGCGCAACGAGAGGAAGGAACGGGCGAACAGCATCAAGTCTCGAAAGACTGGTGCGTAAGCTCGAGTACTTGACTGTCGCGTAAGTGGGGAAGATATCTAAAAACGACTTGCATTGGGCGGCGTTACTATTACGACATGTATTCGACTTTATGGGCGCACGAGCTAAAAGCTTGCGAACATGCGTTCCTATCGACTGTTTGGAGGCTGTGGCTTCGTCTCAGATACCACGAGCAGCCGAATGTACTATTTTTGCACTTCTTCCCAGATCCCATCGCTCAATATCTCAAAGAGTATACAGAAAATCTGGCCTCTTGTCACCCATCTCCTCAATCTCCTTCTCACTCTTGCCCTCAATCCAAACGTCCCTCGCCCCTTGCCTCCTCTTCTTGTTTTCCCATGCGAGCAGAAACCGCGTCACGATACTGCCGCCCAGCAGCCATAATGTCAGATACGCCAACACCACGCCATGGCCCAGGAAGTAGCGTGGTTTGTCCCTGCTACGATAGATATTCGATGAAACGACACCGTTGATGTTACCCCAGCCGATTACAAACCCAAGCGTGACACCACGCTTGTATACACCTTCAACATTATTGGCAGCCCAGGAAATTGTGTTCGCTATCGTTGCTGGATAGGGTTATCAGAATGCAAGAAGCCATTGTTATTGCTGGATGGAGAAGACTTACGATAGATGCCAATAGCTCCTAAGAACGTACCGGCGTACTGCACATTCGGATTTCCGGAACCAAGAAGCATGGCGAAGCCTGTGATACCGAAGAGCGAAACCCCCATGTTGCAGTACCCTCTTTGTTGCGTGCGATCAGCAATATAACCGACCAACACCGTGACCACAGCTGCAACCGCATATGGTGGCACAGAAAGCAGATTCGCGGTTGTAGACGTATAACCCATGCCGGCAAGGATAGTGGGCAAGAAAAGACTAAAGGCATAGAGAGACCCGTCTGCTCCCATGTAGATGATGCTGAACATGAGTGTTTTCCAGTCTCTGACCGATTGCCAGAAGTACTTCATTTGGAAATCTTCGTGCGCAGCTGAGGCCTGTTTATCAGCGCGCAGACGGCGGAGGACGCGAGCTCGGTCGTCAGGAGACAAGAATGTGGCTTCGGCAGGGAAGTCATGAACCATCCAGTAACTTGCTATTCCGACCAAAATGGTTGCGAGACCTTCGAGGATCTGTGAGGTGCTGTTAACAACACATTGGCACCATGAAGAGGGGGATATATCGGTCACTTACGAAGATCCATGCCCAGCCTGGCTTTCCTCCTACGCCACCCATTTGCGCGATTCCAGCTGCTAGCAGTCCACCAAAACTACCCGCAAGCGCTGCAGCCGAGAAGAAAATAGCAGCTCGAATTCCAAATTCTGAACGTTTGTACCTATGAGATGAATCGAAGTGAGTGTATGTCTCACATGCAGTTCGGACAGGAAAATTTCTCACCAGCAACTCAGATAGTAATTTACACCAGGAAAGAGTCCTGCAGAGGGGATAGCATAAAGTCAGTATGCGTCTCACATGAATTTCGTACAGTCGCAACTCACCTGCTTCGGCACAACCAAGCCACCACCGCTACAAACATGTCGTCAGCCAACCCAATCTAACGCTCACACCACCACCTGTAGAGTTACTCACTGCTGTCATCAACCCGGCATAGTTGTGCACGAGACCCATGCATGTCATGCAAATCCCCCACCAGATCATAATCAATGGCAAGAAGATGCTAGGGCGTAACTTCTTCAACAGCACGTTTGTAAGCGGCTCGAACACGGAGTAACTGACGAAGAAGATGGTTAGACTGGCGTTGTATTGGCCGTTGGTCATGTTGAGGTCTTCTTGCAGACCGTCGACTTTGGCATTGCCAATGTTTGTGCGGTCCAAGAAGGAAATCAGATAGAGGAATGAGAGCCATGGGATCAGGCGGAAGTCGAGTTTGCGGAGGAGTGCTTTGTCCTGTTGCGATTGTGTTAGCTGACTTATCGAATGGAGTTTTGGTTTGGGCAGGCAAACAACATACGTGAGCAGCGCGCTCTTCTTCGCTGAGACCAGCGTCAGGGTCAGGCAAGTTTTCGATCGTATGAACATGTTTTGCCGTTTCAACATGCTTCTCGCCTATGGTCTTCTCTTCCTCGCTCGACCTATCGATTGGACGTTCTGCTGCTGAGGCCATGTTGGCGAGCGTAAATATGTTACAAACTAGTAGGCGGTAGAGACCAAGCCTTGACAAGCCTCGTTGTCAACTCTAACTAGTAAGTTCCAAGAGCGCAAAGAAGGTTCGGGCAAATATGCCAAAGGTCGCGGTCCGAAAGAAACACAAGTCAGTGTTTCAAACCATAGAACTGGGAACTTGCTTGTCTAGAACCAGCTCTCGATCAGCGATGAGCTGTCCCTTAAGAACGTCACCGCCCGTGAAACCACTGGACAAGCGGCTGGGATATCATCATCCCGAGGCTATTGAACCGCCTATCACACGGTCCAGTCATGATAATCCTATTCCGATGACGGCAGTGACTGGTGTGCGTTTCTCCAGGATCCAATCCCCACCATCCATTGCTTAGCGTTTGCCGATCTCTTGCCTGGCAACCATGGAAGCTGCTCCCGCGACATGTCGGGATTCAAAAGTATCAGCGAAGCATTGTTCTTGAGAAGATCCGGTTATATGGTAATGTACATGTCTACTCCAGACGCTCGACATCTCCGCTATGATTCTGAGTTCATCCATAAACACCAGGACCAAGCTGTTGTTGGGACGAAGAGGCTCGTGCCGCACAAGACCCACTGTTCATACCCCACGCTACCAGTGGTCATTCTCCAGAAGACGTCCGGGTGCGATGCAATGTTCACTCAAATACTCGAACTCGCCTCATCCTCACTGTACGATGATATAGATACGTCTTTGATATCTTGGCGGCGCAGCATCATCGATGCCGAGAATTGAGGCGTTACATGCCGAGCACTCAAGCGTGAAGGGCGTTGCAACGTGTGCGGGGGTTGAGATGCGGGGAGCGGCTAAGCTTCCACACAAGCCTGCGCTTGTGACGTTGCTTGCTTAGACATCAGCAGGTGCTTATCTGCTAGCAATAACCGTGCGGGCTTAAGCGATTTTCAACATATCCACAAATGTGTCGTTCATTCGGGCGAGAGCAACAACCACATCTTCAGAGATTTGCGCAGCGATGCGTCGAAACAGGATCCGACTCTCGTTCACGCTTCGTGTCTTGCCGAGTTCACTATTGCAGCAATGCCGCAATCACTGGATGTTTGAACTCCTGTGTCACAAACATACCCATATACATGCGTTGTATCTGTACAGGACCTCGTGACCGAAATTGTGGATACCTAGGTATGCCATGTAAAATTCGTAGTCTTGTTTCGAGGTGCGCTGCCGTTGTCAACCTGCCTGCAGTTGGTTGCCTACTTCGGGAGTCTGCTTTCGATCAGGCTCTTGAGCCGACCATCCGCTTGCTGCGGCCTCGATCTGGCTGTCGTTAACGTCCATGGATCCATTTCCTTCTTCCCTTCTTGGCGGAAGACCAAACAAGCCTGATCTCTTTCTCACGATAGCCAAGATGACTGCGACGATCACGTTGAGCCCAGTGAAGGCGATCATGACTTGGAACTGTTTATTGTCTGATACGTTCGAGCTAGTCAGCATCTTACAAATGCCTACACGTGTATGAAACGGGCACTTACAGCTACCACCAAAGACTACGCCAACACGGTCTCTCACAGCGTCCGGTAACCGCGCAACCATTGAGGTCGAGCGTTGCATTTCGCTGAGTTCTTCGCGACTCAGAAAACCAGAAAGTCCTTTGTTCAAGTGCTCACGATGTATTGCAGAGCAAATAGCGACGGCGACACAACCCCCGAGCGTGCGCACCATGTTCAGAGTGCCAGTACTGACAGCAATGTCCTTTTCTTGAATTGAGGTAGCGACAAGCACAAAATATGGCGGGCTCGCAAGACCCAAAGCAAGACCAGTGATAACCTCGTAGCCATAAAGTCCTGGCCATAGGTGGACATACGTCGGCAAACTACCAAGAAGCCCCATTGCAATACATACAATTGCTGTTGAACAGACCAGAACGATCTCGACAGGCACCGTCTTCACTGCTAATCCAGACGCCATGGCGCCAATCGGGGTTACGACGGTAGCAGGAAGTAAGAGGATGCCAGCACGATCGGCGCTTTTGAAATTCACGCCCTGGAAGCGCTGAGGAAGCTGAACGAAGACGACGTAAAAGGCGAAGCCCAAAAGAAACTGGCTTCTGTTCTGACATCAGCGAGGCTCGATTGGCAGATTCTGGGCTTACAATAAAGTCAACGCCATAGGCGCATTTCGAAGAAAGTGTATGGGGAAGATAGGAGCTTTCTGCGTCTGGGACTGTATCCAAGACTCATACAAGCCAAAAAGCACTACGAGAGCAACTCCAGCTACCAATGATCCAATGATGATACCACTGCCCCATCTATGCGACACACCGGCTTCTTGAAGGGCAAATATGAGTGGTATAGGCCAGCAAACCGACATGATGCCCCCATAGATATCCAGTTGGCGTATTCGTTGTCGATTCGTTGTACCGTCATCAAATGCAGGCATCGAGTAGAACAGCATGACCATTGCGACACCGATGACGGGACCACTACAAGAGTCAGCTCAAATAGCTAAATGGCTTGCACTTCGCATACTTGATGAAGAATATCCATCTCCAGGTCGTTCGATCAGCGATTATTCCACCGAGTAGAGGACCTAGCAGATTTGCCAAAGCAAATACTGAGCTTACGATGCCAGAGTAGAAGCCAATTTTCTCGGGTACAGTCATCTTCATGATAGATACGAATGTCAAGCTATAAAGACCGGATCCTCCGATGCCCTGGAAGGCGCGGAAAACGATAAGCTGGGTCATGGTTTGCGCCCCTCCACAGGCCATGGAAAATATCAGGAATACCGATGCGCAAAGCAAGAGGAGGCTCTTGAGACCCCAGATATCGCTCAACTTGGCAGTGATCATTAAGAATGCTGAACCGTCAATTAGTCGTAGCTTTCAGGAGTAGAGGGCTCGTACAGTTATAGGTTAAGAGGTATGCGGTGATGAGCCATGCTGCCTGCTCAAGGGAATCGAGGTCGCTCGAAATCTTGATAAGCGCGGTCGTTACGATGGTGGTATCCAAAGCTGATAAGAAAAGACAAAGCCACAGTCCAGCGATAACGATATGCAATCGCTTCGAGCTAATGTTTAGCACAGCTGGTGCACGAGAGGTCGCACGGGCGTTTCCAGACCTGTTACTTTTATCATCAACCATGATGTTGTCAAGACTGAAGACAGCTGTCCGTTCTCCGCCCCACTTAAAGCTTCAGGCGCAATTGCGGCGTGGTCATTTATACGAGGGACAATCTGACGAACCAAACACGACGCGAACATTTGCTTATCTGCAGAACACGAAGGACCAATCCTGCCACAAAAAAACGTCTACCACCACTGGTGCAGCTTAAATATCAGACAACTACGAGCCAGACTTCTACGGAGCCGTTGACGCTTCCTATACTGACCAGAAAACTACTCGCAAAAGCTCGTAAGGATACTATTCTTTCCCATTCGGTCTCGCCAACTCTGGAACCAGAAGGTAGCGCCGCACTAGACTACATCAGGAGAGAAGCGGCACCTGGGTCACGTTGCATGCGCGCGTATTTGGGGTGGGAAGTGCCACTGCCTGCGTCGATACTACTACGCATCATATACTACGCCTCTGAGTTTCATAGCGCCGCATTCGACACGACTGGAAAGAAATTCTGCAGCTTGTAGAGATTTGGAGCGCTTTAACCAAGAAACATACAACAACAAGGCAGTCGGTCTGGTCTGAAGTTGTACAATCTTCGCTCGATAGCATGTGCGTACCTAGGTACCATGCTTGGCCCGCTTATTGCCAACTCTACCAAGGTATCTAGGCTGACTCGGCCTGTGTTGTCTATTTACCAAGTATGGTTAAATAGAGGAGTTTGTCTAAGGTCTTCATATCGAAATCCGTGCCTTCGGGGCATCTGTCGCCTACAGTCGTACACACGAAATGTATAAAGTTGGGGTAAGACTCACCAATTACTCTTTGAAAACATTCGATCGATCTTCTGCACCCTCTAGGTAGCTATTCATCAAACTTCGCCATGAAGCTTTCCGTTGGTACGCTTTTGACTGCGGGGCTCGCCGCTTCCACAGGCGTAAGTGCCTCGCCTATGCCTTCCTCGGAAGACATGTCTCCCAATCTTGAGACTCGAGGCCTTTGGCTTCGCGATGAATGTCATGCATACCCTGGTGGTACCGTTGTCGGAGGAAGCACGCTCTGGATGCTACGCAATACCTGGAATAATAAATACGGTGGAGATTTTGGGGGTAGTCTCGGCGTAGGTATACTCCACCTATTAACAAAAACTGTGTCTAGTATTGTTCCCCAGGTCTACCAGTTTAAAGGCGTGTGCTGTTGGGGCCAATGTCTGTGGGTGACGTCTGAAGGACAAGGTAGAAGATGGTCTGGCGATGCCTGGGGCAATGCTTTGAACAGGCTTACGGGAATCACTGGTGGCCGTCAACCTGGGCTCTGCGGAGCTAGAATCAACAACGATGCATACCTGGTGTTAAAGTCTGCGCAACACGACAAGGTATCTAACCAAGGCAAAACAATGGGCCAGCACTTTGGAGACACCTGCGGCGGTAGACCACCTTGGTAGATGATAAGTAACTACAAGGCCTCATACACATCAAACTGAAGAAACGCTTAAACACGGGTTGTCAAATAACTATTTCTATATGTTATTGGTCGTTGTAGGTGAACAAAAAGCAAAGTTCGACCATAAAACAATAGAATAGCTACAGCTGTCAATGCAATGAATACAAACAACACATCCGCAACAAACCCCATAGTCATGGCCATTCCAAATCATATCTTAAGGAACGTGGAGACATCACTTTAGGAACTAGCACAAGCAGTTGCTTACTATGCACCTGCAGAGCTATGCGCGTTAAGTGTCTTATCCGCAGTAACAGATTATCCCTAACAGAACAGAACTCACAGAGTCACAATGTACTAAGACTAAGACTGCAGAGTGATCTCGAAAGAACGCCAAAGCCTTTGCTGGGAATAGGTTGATTGATACCAATCCACCAGCAAACGGGCGATTCAGCAACACTACAACATAGGCCACGCTGTCAGGCGAGCTGGAAGTCGAGCGTATCAAGCTGGGCTGTGCTGTGTACGCTAGCTACCTGAAGGGCAAGGATGTGTTGATATTGAACGACCGAGGTTGGGCAAGCCAGCAATTTTCGCTCAGGCCCTCGGGCGTTAGTACACGCAGACGAACGCTGGCGGCGTCTGTCGCTGGAACCCGCTAGTACGTAGGTACTTATGGCGATATCTTTGGAAAGCAAGGAGGAGCGACCGGAAGCTATAGCGTGACGCGTTGTGAAGCGAGGGGAAGATGACTGCATGTGTACATGAGCGCTGAAGAGTGGAAATCGTTACCAACGGCGAACAGATTGATTGCTCCATGTATGACAGGCACCTGGGCCTGCATTTGTCTGACCCGTATGGATCTTCTTCTACTGATACAGGCTAGCGGCCCGTCCTAATGCTAGGAAATTTGGGTGAACGCCTGTCTAGAACGACCTGCCAAAATCGAACTCGCACGTCGAGTGTGCTGTCGTCCACTTGGTATCGCTCGGTTGTTTGAATGATAGATGGGCGCGTATTTGACGTTGACAGGCTGGAGCTTGTTCCCTTCGGTGGTCCAGCGAAAGGGGTCACCCGCACTCGCTGGTGCGTAGGCTACCTACCTAACCCACAGTTGTTCACGCACCACGAACGCAAGTACCGCAAAAACTCGACTCCGTCTTCCGGTTTATCGACCAGACCGCCATTAGACGCGATAACGAAGACATTGCATGGACGTTGCTGGTTGTCGTCTTTAGTTGACAAGTAGGGCGTTGCTTCTCCGTTACGGTCCCTGCGCATCCATAGCGCGTTCGCTTGGAACGAAGCTGTTTTTCCGACTCGTACCATCGCTTCATTCCCACACTTCTAGTTGCCTCTCCATCACTTTTTTCATTTGTTGGTCTCACAAGTAACTCGACGGTGATTGCGATTGGCGCAATGGGTGTTGTAGCGATTAGACCTATGCCTGCAGGCATCGATCAAGTGCAGAGCTTCAAAAAGCCGTAGTGAGCAGCGACGAAAGGTTGGGCGCCTCTGGTTAGTTTCTTGTGCTCTCCTTAGTTGCCCCTAACGATGTCCTTTGATTGCAGCAACCCTTTTTGATGAAAAAGGAATAAATGATGATGGTTGGGTGGTGGTGTTCGTGGTTTCAAATCGTGCCACGCGAAACTCGCGCGCGCCTGCAACTGTGACGTCAAACGCCAGTGGGACGCGACTTCCTCACCAGCCCTACCGCGCTCTCACCTTCTATAGTATACTTTCTTGTCATCTTTCACAGCAACCACCCACCTAATTCTGTTCACATGGGACAAGAGAGGCCAATCTTTGTCATCTTCTACTTCTCATTGTAATGACCTCGATTTTATTTGAAGCGGCTATCCAGCAGCCGGACAACGACGCGTCCAATTCGCAACTGCACAAACTCGTCTCTGCACGCGATTTTAGTGGATCGAATCTCCCCACAGTTGCAGAGGGTTATCTTGAGGCTTTTTGCAATACCGAATTGTCCGTTGTACGGCGGCGATGGATCGGCATCGCGCTCGCGGGTATGCTGGAGAAGCCGATGGTGGCTGCACACATTAAAGAGTCGACACAGCTTCTTCACAATCTGGGTGCCGTCATTCTGAGCATTACAGAACAAGAGCAGACTAAGATCATCACTGGAATTATCATACGGCAGGCATTGGAGCAAGGCATCGAATACAGCAGCTTCTGGTCGTCGGAGAAGGTCAGACACAGTGCGCCGAGTTTTCCACTCAAAGCCGGTGCGAATTGGATGCACGACTTCCAAATATTTCTCGACGTTCTGAGCGATCTGGCACTCACGGGACCTACCGGTGAGCCCTCGATCGTGTACTTAGTCTCACTATTTGCCTCGGATGAATTCAGATGGCGGGAGTCAACTAGTGTTTTCCCTATCGCTCTTATCGAGGCTGGACTGTTAACCGTCATTGCACCTGACGAATACCTCAAAGAGTGTCAGTTTGTGGAGATACCTATCGAGCACATCTTGAGCACACGGTCAGAGCCGTCGGCATTGCACAACTCGCAGGAACAACATACAGAGCATGAACCGTGGGACCTCATCATGACAACCAAATCAAGTCCATGGAGCTACCGGCTGAACTCCGCTCAACGCATCGCGACCGAGATGTCGCTAATGTTCAAACATTCTGGAGACGCGTTGGAGTGGAAGAGCCGCATCGAGTCTTATAAGAAGGTGCATATGCACCACTCGGAAACGCCACACAACATGCCTATTGATACCAGTTCACCTTCTGTCCGGAGTTCAAACATCAGGAGGTCGCTTCAAAGTGGCTCCCAGCTGCGTCGGACAGACCGCATCGCTACTAAGAAAAGTAGCGTTTTGGCTTCTCTGCGACCACGTACACAAACTCCTCAAGCTGATCCACAGGCGCTCCACGAACTCCAGCCGCAGCATCAATCAACAATATCGAGACGCACAACACGCAACAAAGGAAAATTACCTCGTATATCCCAGGCCGCAAAAGAGAAGATCTTTCAGAAACTCAATGCGGAATCTGACGCGCAACCTGAGGATCTCGACGTAGTCTTAGAGAATGCTTACAATGATGCTTCAGGTACTCTAATCATTATGTCATCACCGCGAAAGAGATTACAGGGCACAAAAGTTGTTCCAGGCAAGAACATAGTCAAGAGCAAGTCAAAAGCACGCATACCACATACCAAACGTATAGCAGACGACAATGAAGACTTCGTACCAACTCAAACAAGGACAAAGAAGAAGACGAATACAAAACGTAAAGCAGCACCAGACACTACAGCTGAAAACGAACCAAGGAAGAAGCATCGTAATGATGTAGAGTCAAGCACGACCGGTTCGAAAGAGCAGGATCAGACAAATCCGCTTGTAAGACCACTGAAGCCACCATCTTCCGTCATATCGTCACAGCACACCTCAATTGGAGGACTCATAGGTGCCCAGAGACCTGCCGATCTCTCTGATCTCCCATTCAAGAAGCCGACAATCCCTACTAGGGTTGCCCAAACACCTTCGACCCCTACCAAGCCAAACAGAACGCCCATAAAAGCAGTATCGCGGCCGAAAACTCCTATGGAAGCACGAAGGCGTTTTGACAATGACACTTTGTGGTATATGCCGTCTTCACCGCCTGTAACCGATGACGCCGAAGACAGCAACGAGTGGCTCGATGTTTCTGTTGAGACCTCAATACTCTCTAGCAACAGCAAACCTACCCCTGCGTCGCCAAATGCGGAATCGACAGCGATTTCTGGCCATGCAGATTGTAACGATGTAGCCTCCGAGAAGAAGACCGGTGATTGGCAGACCGCCAAAAGTGACCCATTCAGCCGGCGTTCCGTTGGCAAGATGGCTACATCGTTCCTACGCCGTCTGACTGGAGAAGAATCAATGGATGTAGATGATGGCCCAGATATGAGCATCTCGAACCACACGCCTCTCAAAGTCGCTGGCACTAGCAAGCCTCCTGAAGACCCAAGTTTGCACAAAACGACTCCAGCATGGATGGCTTGCCAGCAATCCACCCGTGCCTCGCATAATTCGATCGAAAAGTCCCAACAAGCCACGGAGTACCTACAGCACACCATTGAAGGAACTCAGCAACTCGTTGACGACATGCCTGTTGAGGAGGTACCCGATGAAAACGATGTGAATCTTGAGGATATTACTTTCTTCGGTGATGGCGAAGGCTATCAGCAAGTTGTTAATGACTTCAATACCTCACCCGTCAAATTCCGCTCCTCACCGCCACGTCCAGGCTCTTCTAGTAGCCATAGTTCGACATCCGCTGCGCCTGAACCCTTGACTGACCCACCTGTACCATCTTCGGAAGCTGACGAGATACAATGGGAAGCGAGCCTGCAGCCACATCAGCGCAATCTCAACGAAGTGCTAATACGCACCTCGAAGCGGGTTATGCGGCATATTGTCAACAACGAGACTAGTGTGACTGATATTGCGGAGATGTACGCAAAGGATGGCGACCATCTACTCAACACCCTGATTCAGCGACACGATACCGACCACACCCAAGTATTCGAAGAAATGGAGAACACAAAGGCAAGCCTTCGGAAGGAGCTCGAACGTTCTGTCAAACAGATGGCGAAAGACAGAAAACGATTCAGCACAATTGCCTGATGTTTGTGGAACCCATGACGAACGGTGGCAAAGCCGTCGTAACATTTTATGAGGCATATCTTTTTGCAGGATATGAATGTATGATATTAGGAAAACCTGTCCATGGGCAGTAAGAAAACACGATAGCATAGTACGAATTGTCAATAAACATGCATTAATAGTTGCCCGAACCAAATATGCATCCCATATCCTGCTTTGCATGTGCGTCATGGGTGTGTTCCTCCGGTATAGGATGCGCTTTCATGTATAGAACTCTCGCGAGAATTCTGCTGAGATCTTTGTTCTTTGCTCTTTCCCTTCTCAACAATGTGCTTTATCGAGATGCCGCCCCACGGTAAACCAGATAGTGATTGACTCGTATCGATGTTTTCTGGCTCTGGCGATGCGTATGAACTTCCAGCTCTTCGTTGGTTCTCTGCGTTCCGCTCAGTCTCCTCTTTCTGCTCCTTTATCTTGTCGCCTTGTCTGTGTTAGCAAAGTTTCGCCGATACGTATTATCTGTGCTTCTTACGAAATCTTCTTTGTGCAAGCTTATTCTGAATCTTCCGTCTTTCGCCGGGGTCTTTCACGTCGGTCCAGTCATCTGATCTTGCTTCTGGAGACTCGGCAGTCACGGAGGAACCACCTTTGGATGAGGCGGGCTGGTTGGGACTGGATTGCTGGCCCTGAGACATATTTCCAGTCATCCAAGCATCATCCGCGTAGCACATGAAGGTGGTGTTCAGCAAGATAGCTCTTGAAGCTGTCTAGCTTGTGTCGACGAGAGCTGTGATTTAGATCGTGGTCGATTTGCAGCTTATTCAGGTCCACAAAACAGGTACTTGGGGAAGAGCCAGGTGATGAAGAGCCTTTCTCTCTTGTTTGAGTGATATCGATGTGTAGTGATAGAAGGATGTCGGATGAGATGTAGTGTTTATCTGGTAGGCTGGCGCATAGCGAATATTTCTATTGCTGTGTGATTTTGAGGGATCCATTGATCAGCCGCAAGACAGAGTATGGTATGTGATGAACGAGGATGTCGAACGATCCAAGATGCTAGTACAATGTATCCAAGCGTATGAAAGCTGGGGGCCTTGAAGCAGCGGGGTCTGTGAGTGCAATTATGACGGGGATACAAAGGAAGGATCCGCGAAAAGGGCGCGGCTGAAGTCTTGAAAGGGTTCCGTGGAGGATCGCCCATGATGCCTGGTAAGGATTTAGACAAGGCTAACCTACCTTGATGCTTACCCTGTTGTATCAGCTTGACCTGTTTGTTGTAGAATGTCATTTCGATGCCCAGCGACTGTACACAAATACTAAGACCAAGACCCGCTGTGGGACGAAAGCTCATTTGTCCTTAGTTTCATTCGGTAACATGATATAACAAATACCATGAGTGACCACTATCGGTGCATCCGTATATAGTAGAAATGCAGTTTCCATGTGAGGTTAGAGGTCCACTCGAGGCAGTACCTGCATGCGCCGCAGTGGGGCCCGGGATGACCGCATCGTTGTAGCCTTGTCGTTGGGCTGAATTGTCTTGAACGGTCTCTCGGGTCGACTTGCACCAATAATGCTTGGTCTTTCCAAAGCAGTGGTAGCGTGCAAGTATATTAGCCTTGTATTCTCGAAACGTCCTGGCATCAGGCTACCTCGTTGGTATTGGACTCCAGCTCTGGGCCTACATGCCTGCGCTATATCCTATTGGTCAGATGGTTTTATATGACATAAGACACAGTGATTATGCTGCACGTTTTGTTGGTGCTGGCCAGCCTGATGAACGACATAAGTGCTTGGAAATCAGAAGTGACCGAGTGATGCAATATTTCGAGTCATGTTTGAGCGGGGCGTGATGAGAATAACGACGGGAACACAAGGGCGAAAACCTTATGCTGTCTGTCAACGATATCGTGTGCATGGGGTCGGTATAGAGGTGGAGCTAGCGGTGGTGGTCCAGGGCCATCTAGATACCTGGGTATGTACTGTGAAATGGAATTGCGGTCGGCACGACGTTCGCTAAGCCTGATTGGACGAGCTAAGCCCGCGTACCTTCATCTCATTCGTCACATCTTACCAGCCACGCGTGGCTCAAGTCTGCGCTGACCGCTCTGCAATCTTGCACTGTCGACACCATGGCCCGTTGCCCTTCCTTGTTGAGAAAACAAAGTGCAAATATAGATTCGGTTGCGCTTCGCTCGGTACAGCTCGCGACCTTCCTGATGCCGTCCCCAAGGCCCGGCTCTGCCGCACCTGGATTCTGAACCGCTCCGTTGTGGAAAACCGCATCCGAGCTGGTAGTGTTTGCAAGATCGACGATACTCCTGGATTTTTTTCGCTTTGCTTACCGTTATCGCACTGTCTAGTCAAACAATTGATATGCTCGCAGATGGGTGACATGGGCCGCTAAGAGAAGGGTTGGATGGGTGAGGCCGTCTACTTTTGGCCCTCGCGATACTAGCTCACGATGCTCTGGTCTTTGACAAATACTGCTGAAAGGATTGCGGACCGATTCCATCGCCTTGCAGTCGTCCCCGCAAGTTGATAAGAGCGGAGCTTTGGTCGGCCTTATTGTAGGGGTCTTTGACGGCTTCCTTGCGAATACGGGACGTTGCAAACGGCTCACGTCCAGCGGCAGCGTGCCGCGGATGCTCGGGGCACGTCTAGCACCATGATCAACGATTCGAGGCTTTCCAGCCGCGATGTGGGGCCCTACGTTTCCAACATCACAGTAAACCGGAAGGAGCGTTACTTCGAACTCTCCGAGACATCGCAATCATACAGATTCCAGCTCCATCCTTCGGTCGCTTGTGGTTGGTGCCAGAGATGGGGCTGAACAGCGTTCCCTCACAGCTCGAACAATTCCACGTAAGACGGTACGATCAGAGTTGCTCGCTTGGAATGGGGACGAATCCGTGCACTCTCGGCTGTGCACAATCCCGAGATTTGAGCTAGATTTAACATCCGGTTCCATCATCTGAACGATGGGAAGGTGTGAAGCATCACAGATGTTGATGTTGTGGGTGGCTGTACAGCATGCACAATCTTTATGAAACTGTCCGGACCGGCAAGCGCGCCAAGCGATGTAGTATGTCCACTCTCGAGCAAGGTTACATGAATGGTGGATACAATTGACATGCGCTTCAAATGCTAGCGCTGGTAGCTACGCCCGCGCACAATCATCTACTTTGGGAATGGACCCCAATTTGTTGCTTGTGGTGAGTTCTTAGTGGCTAGCTGTGTTATATGACCATGGAACCTTCTGCGAGACATGATCTGGTAGTAAAGGCAGCCTTTCTAGATCCTGTGGGATGTCTTTCTTCACACAATATATAGTGCACGGCTTTGACCGCATGCAGCGCGAATGTGAAGGCGGGATTGTTCGACGGCCTGCAATGAACAGTGGATCCCCGCAACTGCGACTCTCTAAAGGACGTCCAGATGGGAAGAAGGTTTCCGGTATGACAGATTATGCCATGAGGAAGAAGGTGCCATGTTGGTATCTATCGCCAAATATCCTGACAAGCATATCAAAACTCATCTCTTCAGAAGGGCCATGTCATATGTACGCAAGCACGGAGTAGCTATTGTGATAGTAATTACTTGCCGATGCGAATTTCACGAGATGCCTAATGTCAGTCCATATTCTAAACTAGAACCTAATATGTTAATATGTTATATCTCGTCAATCTTAGCAGTTGGGTTTTCCGGAAATCCATAACGATCACATGTCCACTCTGAGAAAAGCAGCACCAGATGACATAATTGTCACGCTTACCACTATATCATAGTCTATATGCCACGTAGCGAACGACTTCGCCAGCTCACCAAACTTTGCTCGAGGTAGTACCACCACTGTAAAAGGGTACCGTCCAGTTTGTTAGATATTTACAGAGACAACGTGTTTTTGTTATCCGTTGATGGCCACGGATGAGTGCTTTAAAGAATTATTATTAATACTAAATGCAGGGTAATACGTCTATTTAGTACCCTTTGGAGTAGGGAACGACATTCTTATCAGCGAATACTCAATGGGCTTCAACCTGTGCATTCTCAACTGTTCTGTAGTTTGACTTAAGCGCTTGCTATCCGAACAGAGAAAACACATTTCACGCACCCTACTTTGCTTCTGAGGCGCGGAGGAAACCAGAAGAGGCGATAAAGACTTATCTTTCCAGACTTGGGGATACGGTTTAATTCCACTACGATCCTTGACCCCTGGGTCAAGTTACATTGAAGACTTCAGATAGTTAATCATGCACAGAATTCACACGAAAGACAGTAACCATCCTGCTTTTCGTAAGTTCCATGATTGAATACCCTCTATCCGTGTTGTCCACCTCTGTCAGAAGCCAGCACCAGTATTGGGAAAGTACTTTCACCCGCCTACCCTCGAACAATTGTCACTCCCGCCCGTCCACAAGAAGAGAAGTGGTATGACACGAGAACAACGCGACGACGCGTACAGGAAGAACAGGATGTTAAACAGCATGATGAGTTTGACGACAAGGCGGAGACAAGACATCTCCGCGAGCACAACGAAGACCAGAAGCTGGAGACGCTGCTTCAACTAGGGTACATGGGTGGATGAGCTTGTCAGTCTAGACTTCGGGAAATCTTTGGTTTAGGATACACTGTGTATACATTATTGAGGGTATTGCCGCCTACAAGAGCAGCATCGATGAGGTATGCATACGGTACAACAAGACAGGCACAGTCATAGGAAGTGTAGTCACCAAGAGTATGCCCTTTGGTTATTCGCAGTCTCAACTATCAAGTAAGAAAGTGTCAAGATATGGAAAACACGTCTGCCGCTATGCCGCACTCGAGCTGGTATGGACTTACGTTTCGGCCCCGGTGACTCAAGCGCCTGAGCGCATATTCCAATACTTAGAAGATATTCTACAGATGCTCGCCATCCTACGCCGCAACGAATGTGCCCAAACCATACTAAGCTACGGAACGGGAGATAAGGCCTAGTACACAGACTCACATGGTCCACGGCAACACCTCACGTGTCTACCTCGTGGCACTCTATTCCTGACGGCCAGTTTCGTACTCCAGCACTGGCATGAGTGCATCGACTGGAGAAGAAGTCTAACAGCTGAGAACAGTATTGGTCGACCATCAGGCCTAGTGCTATACTTACATAGAGAAGACCTGGTAGACACCACGTTCTCGTCAAAGCTTGACTCCTACTCCAAGTTAAATATGTCTGGTATACAATCTGAACTTGTTATGTCCTGTCTATCATACGACAATTCGACCGGACTCTGCGCCTGGATTGCGGCGACGTGTTGATACTAACGTCATCCTGATTGTTTCGCAACTGTTCGGACATACCCAACCTAGTTCGTGCCTCAACCAGTCCTGAAAAGCTCGTGGATTCTTACCCCTCATGCGATTTATCCAGCAGGAAGCTTTTAGCGAGCTCCTTTCAAATAGGATGGTTGAGATCTGACACTATTTCACCATGTTGGAAGACGCACGTGATGTGAATTTGGGCCCAGTTGTGCAGTTGGATGAGCGTGTGACTCGTAGTACATACAACACATGCACTGCCATCGCCGTCTTGTCCATGAGCGAGGTGAGACGAGTGTACAAACAGGATAGTAGGTCAGGCTTACCACACTCTTTAACTGGCCCGGACGGACTGTCTTATGGGTTTGTCATCATGGCACACATCGCATGTGAAGAAAGGGGTTTGTTGCGGTCATCATGTCTGTTCTCCAATGAAGAATGACGAAGCTTTTAAGTTGCCAGTGCCCAAGGCTTGAGGTCACTTCTTCAGCTTGATCATCGCGGCTGCTGTGATAGTCGCCTCAGCGTACCCCTTAAGACCAGCAATGGCAATCAATCTAGTTTGTTCATGCCTGAGTGGCGAGGATTTGATGGTGATGCTGTGAAGAGAAAGGGAAGTAGCAAAGACGATCCGGCGAATCTCGTCGACATGTCTTGTTCATAATGGTAAAGTGTGGCGAGATCATCGTGTGGCGGCTGTGGCGTAGTGATGATTGCTTGCTTTTTGACAAATGTGGGCCATGCCTGCTGCCTGTTCTGTTGGAGAACCAGGCGTAAAGGGATTTGCAGTGCCTGTTGCACAGCATGTTGGTGATTACAATATCATCAACGATGAAGGTCCGACAGGATAACCTGTTTTGCGGTGCGGGCGGGTACAAAAGCCGCACTGTGCCTGACGATCGATACGCGGATTTCGATGCATGGATCCATGGTGGTAGTACCGAACAAATAAGGCGCGGTGCACATGGCAAACAAGGTCTGGTGAGAAATGACGCAGGTGAGGGTGGCTGAACAGCGGGCGATGGGTTTGGCAGTGGCTGACTCTAGTCGCTCTGGCCGATGCAGCATGGATCGGCGTCGTGTCACGGCCAGTCGTCTCCATGGAGCAACACTCGGCTGCTTTGGAGTGTCGGCAAGAACGGTAGATGCAGGATGGGCTGCGCCACCACACCGGCTCAATGCTCGTGGTCTTGTCTAGGCCATCGCCGTTGTGGTGGGATTGGCGGGCTCAGCTCAAGTGTGCGCACAGCATCGGGATCGCCATGGCAGAGTCTTTCTGGCAGGCCTCGACTTGGCGGGCGAGGGCGGCCATGAGACGAGGCTCGAGAGTGGTGTGGCGTCGACGTGTCTCGTGTTGCGACGTGGTTGTTTGGAGGGCAAGTTCTTGGATGTTTAGCAGTGGGTCGTGGTGGTGCCGCGTGGTTGGCCGCCGCGATACACAGCCCCAAAAGGCTTGCGTTGTTCCGCCGCGCTGCTCTGAGGCTACCTCTTCTCTGCTGCCGAAATTCATCGCCGGACTGCCTCTTCGTCTCCCCCAAGCCGTCTGCACTTATCGCGCGCCCATCGCACGGTAGCCGCTCGCCATAGAAGGGCCGTTGCAGTCGAGATCCCGTGATTGCCTGCTCAGTTGTTCCAAGATTCGCTGTCCTGCTTACTTAGCCTGGACTGGAACCATCAGCCACAAGACTGCTCCAACGGGTCCCTCGTCATCGGCACCTTGACTACCAGACGACCTGCACCCTACGACCCTGCGACGGCCTAGTTGCACCACGTCCAGCATCGCATCGCCTCGCCATTATCCTCGCCCCTCTGTCTGCACCTCGCGCCTCGTGCCGACCCCAAGACCCCTCCCGCCCGCTCCTCTCTTTGTGCGCAGCCGCCGCCGTGCCTGCGCGTTTCTTGCTGTTCGTCTGCCCGAGCCGCAGTCTGCGACCGAGGGCACATGCGAGCAATCCAGCCGTGGTCAATTGCGAAGCTGGCGCTTTCTACAGCCCAAGTCTATCTCGAGTGCTGGTAGAGGACCGTCCTTTGCGCGCTTCCCCAGCCGCTGCATCGATCCAAAGGTTAGACGAGCGATCCATGCATAAACCACCACCCGCTGCATCGTCGGAACGACCCCATGCTAATGTGACGTGAAGATAGCCTCACTGAACCCTCGCGCCATAGCACATCATGGCCGCCTCGACGCGAGCAATCACGCCGACGCCTACCGGCCCATTCACCACCCACAATGGGCCCAACACCCCAGGATCCGCCGCGCGCAACTCCCACAGCGGAGCCACTTTTGGAACTCATCTCACAAAATCCCCCGGCGGTCTATCGCCGCGACTTTCGCCTCAGCCGCTCACTGGAGCCGCTGCCATGGCCGATGAGCGCCGCTTCCGCGAACAGTCTGCGCGCCAGACAAGCCCCAATCCCGCTGTCGCCGCGCTGCAAAGTCTGAACGGCAGCGTCCAGCCTATGAGCCACCCTGCAGACGGACCGCAGCAGTCCGCGTCGGCACACTCCAAGGCTGACAAGATGACGAAGCCGCTCATCACCATCCCCGACCAGATCAACGTCACAGGCGACAACATGCAGACGAGCCCAGTCAGCCTCTCGAGTTTTGGCGATGGTGACGCGCCAAACGCGCCGGGTGCTCCTGTGACCGAAGGTGCTTCCGCCAGTAATGCAGGTCGGGAAGGCGCGTCCCAGCAGCAACCGCAACAACAGCATCACCACCAGCATCACCACCAGCTCATCGCCCCAAATCCTGGAGACAATCCGGGCAACCGCGCATTCACGTTCCCCGGGCCATTGCCCCCGGAGCCGGACCCACGCGCCCCAGCTCGCCAAATGAGTCTGCCTGGATATGGTCAAAACACGCCCAAATCACCTTCCACAAAGCGTCACAAGTGCCCATACTGCTCCACTGACTTCACTCGCCACCACAATCTCAAAAGCCATCTGCTAACCCACAGTCAAGAAAAACCATATGAATGCCCCACCTGTCAGGCGCGTTTCCGTCGTTTGCATGATTTGAAACGCCACACGAAACTGCATACTGGCGAGCGGCCACACACGTGCTACAAGTGTGGCCGCAGGTTTGCACGTGGCGATGCGCTTGCGCGACACAATAAGGGTCAGGGTGGCTGTGCGGGCCGTCGCTCTAGCTTCGGCATCGATGACGATCTCGGCGACAAGGGCGACGAAGGCATGGATGGTGTCATCTACACGGGCGAGCCTGATGGAGAGGGAGACGAGGATGATGATGGCAGGCGCGTTAGCGAGCCGGCGCGCAAGAGACAAAACACTGGGAACTCTACCCAAGGTTCGTATTCTCACCATTCCAGCACTTATCCGCCTATTGCTGCGAACCGAAGCTCGAGTAGCCAGAACAACTTGCGCCCCTATTACCCAGGGTCTTCTGCGCAGCCGACTAACGTCTCGCCTAAAGCAGCTCCTACCAGCATCTCGTCGATTCAGAACGCAAACACCCAATCCAATGTCTTCGCCCAGGGTGGTATGACCGAAAGCCCAAGGCCACTGTCGCCAGGCCAGCAGGAGCAGCATCGTCTGGGTGCTCCCGAAAACAGTGTCCCTGGCTCACGGTCCCCTAGCTTGTCGCATCACATGCACCAGCAGCAGAACTATGCTCGTGGGAGGGGAACCCCTCCCGTTGGCCTGGCCCCGCCCAGCACGAGCAACGGTCCTCATCTGCCCTCTCTACCAGGCCTTAGCCCCATGCCCCCTAAACAGGGCTCTCAAGGCGGCAAAAGCAACGGCCCAAGCATGCTCCAACATCAGACCATGGCAGCCCCTGGAAGCAGCTCGCAGCCGGGCAGCATGTCCAGCCATGGCGGAAGCGGAAGCAGCATGCGCGAAGTCATGGGCAACCAGGTCGATGTATGGCAATATGTCCGCGAGATAGAAGCTCGTATGGCGAGAATGGAGAAGGAACACAACGACAAGATTGCCACGCTGCAGCATGAGATCACAACGCTCCGGGCCCAATTGGCCCAGCAGCATGTTAACAATACGCAAGCCCACCAGCAAGGTCAATAGTGTGAGATGGCTCCAGTAGTCCCAGTGCTTTTTCTGCTTGGTGCGGGTCTTTGCCATGAGATGCAGGCGTTGGGCGGAAGGACAACGGAGGCGTTATACGGAGTACAAAACCCAAGATTGAGTAACAGACGAGATTTCAGGCTTCTACATGGATCAACATACGTCAGGGATCACGACGAGCATGTTACAATGATACCCCATGCTAAGATTACTCCCAATGTTTGGCATTTTCCTACTTTGTTCTGCGGTTGCTACCATTCATACCTGTATATTAGACTAGTTAGTATTATCTCAGTGTTCCATTGCTAGAAGCTTCTCTGCGACGGTGATGACGAGGCACATGTTCGGTGAGTGACGTGAGCTGCCATGCCAGCAAAGCGTGTGAAGCCACGCGCCCAGCATGTTCCTGGCAGCGTAGGTAGCACAAGGGACAAAGTCGACGAAGAATGGCGGAGAAAGTCAGTGTTGCTTCAGGCGGACGAGAATTGTCTTTGCTGAAACTTTGGTACGCGACAGTCGTTGCTATGGTGGTTGCAGAAGTGGTAATGGTGGGTGCGCAAGAGCGACGGACCCTTTGCGGCTAGGCATGAGCTAAGAATGGCCCGCCAACAACAGGGCTAAAGTGCTGCACCACTGCGCCCAGTCCCGAGCCTTTCTCCACTTGGGTGCTACACGTCAGAGTACTACCCCCAAAACTCCTCCTACAACTCACCCAAGACAGTGAACCCCTCACCGCACCCTGCCCTGATTTGTGTAGATGGATGGCGAGCTGCTGTCCTGATAGGCGCAATCGCGCGAAGTGCCCGCCCTTGACGCCCAATCGACGCTGCCCATAGCCGCGCTGGTGATCCCACCCGCAGAAGCCTCGCAGAAGCCTGTCTGCTTCGCGGCCCACAGTAACACCAACGAGGAGATCCACGCCGCCTCCTCACCATGTCAGACTCGCATCGCCGCCGTAGCAAGAAGGACCCGGACCGCGAGCGCAGTACCCCTCGCACCAAGGACAAGGATAGAGATCGCGACCGGGAGCGCCATAAGAGCAGCAGGTCCCGCAAGACCCGCTCGTCGGCGTCCAAGGAAGACGACGAAAACCCACCATCCAGGCGCCAGTCGACGGACCGTGTGCGCAATTCGACATCGACGTCGACATTGACATCGTCGCAGGCCTCAAAGTCGTCGCACAAGATGGCAGTCGTGCCCGAGATGGGACGCCGCGGCTCGTTGGGCTCCGAGAACACGTCGCGCATCAGTTTGCCCTACCCTTCGCATTCCAAGACATATGCGAAAGAGAGCATATATTCCCGGGACGGTGTAGAGAGGAGAAAGTCGACCTTGACTCCGGATGCCACAGATGGCGAGGCATCACCAGGAAGGGACGATGAGCGACCAGTCGCACCACATCCCCCCAGCCGAGCACCACCCCCACCACCGCCGCGCGCACCGCCGAGTCCTCCGCTCACTGCCACCACGGGCGCAGATCTTAGGAAGGCCGCCAGTGCGAACAGCATGCGAAGAAAGGATCCAGACATGATTGCCAGAGAGATGGAGGAGGGCCGCCAAAGCGTAGACAGCGGTACGCGCATGACTTCCACGGCGGGCCCGCGGATTGCCTCGCGCTCCAGCATCAGGGACGAGGACACATTCGACGGCACCGACCTCACCTCAACCACCGGATCGCAGCCAAGCACCATTCGCGCCAAGTCGCCCCCACCAACGACGAGAACGCGAACTGTGAGCCCATCCCACGTACGGCCCTCAAGTAGGACGTCAGTTCCAGGTAGAACATCAACACCCGGCAGGACGTCAACACCCGTCAAAATGAAGACGAGAGCACCCTCAGAGTACACACTCGACTCAGAAGCAACTTCAGTACTACAGGATCGCAACTCTCACCATCGTCGGAGTCAATCACCCCCGCGTTCTGATGTCTCACCATCCTCTGTCAACGATTCGTCACCACGGACACCTACCCAACACTCGGTCCTTCCCTCCAACGTATCGTCTCTCAAGGATGGACCACCTGTCATCGAAGTCATGACGGACCCTATGTCGCGTACACAATCGGTAGACCCCAGCTACGCTCAGTCGCCCATGACCCCTCCGCCTCCGCCTCCTCCTCCGGCCATGATGGAAGCTCCTCGAGTCGATTATCTCCTTCAGAACGGCGGTTTAGCCAAAGCCATTCCACGGAGTTTACTGGCCGCTATTGATGGAGTTCCAGCCTCCGCTTACTCTCAGTATACCACACCAAGGCTATCTGGAGCACAAGCCCACGATGTACGATCTTTCTTCAAGCCTCTGCAGAATGTTCTCAACAGTTACAATACCGTCATGGACACAAGCGGATCGTTGGCGGTAGCTACTGGTTATCGTTCGGTTGCGCGACGTCTTCTCGATCGCCTTGAAAATGTGTTTGCTCGTAACATATCCTCGGAGCACTGCGCATGCATGATGTGCTTCGAGCAATCGGTCGTGGAAGATTCTGCGGGCATTAATTGGGGAGAAGTTTTAGAATTAATATCCGGACGTTGCGAATTGCCGACTTGGCCACCTTACGAGGAAGGTCCCGGACCTGGACTAGGCATATCGTCGGATCTGGAAGCACCATGCCAACGCATCGACGTCGATGTACCCGAACAGTATCGCGAGCACTACGAGAAGCAGTCAAAGAAGACCAAGGTCGCGGTTCAATCTTGGCTATCAGACCAACAAGACGGTGTCCCCGAAGATGCCGACGACGAGACTCTGACGTTCATCATGCTCACCCGCCTAGAACAGCCTCAACGCCCGCTCTTCTATGCACTATTGTGGGGACTAGAAAAACTTCCGAATCCTCGCACACAAAAGCCAGACAGCGGTACACCACCGTACCTGGCAAAAGCTGGACTGGCGCTGCAGCGTTTATATCGACTCTACACTCCACCGCGCGACCAGTTGGTCGTCATGTATCTCATCCGCCATCCAGATATGCACAACATGCTCGCTACCCTGGCAGCAGTGACTAAACACGAATGGGAGATTCTGGTTTCTGGTCGCTTTGATGGGTTCCTTTGGTCAGGTGTTGAGGATATGCCTGATATGAACACGACCCCTCCCAGGACTGGCTCGAGAGCAGGCCGGCCCATTGACGGGCCGCAACGGTTTGCATCACCCGCAACTCCCAATCGATACGGCAACTTCAGCCCCAGTCCATACTCTCGACCAGGATCCGCCCGCCCTGGGTCTGTCCGCCCGCCTGGTGGAGCCCCTGTGCAGATCGATGAAGAGACTGAAATTGCCGTGCTTGCCGAGATCGAGCGAGAGATCTACCTTGGTATGGAAGCCATGGAAGACGCATTCGAGCAGCTTCACAACCAAGCCGAGGGTGTGCGCCGTCGTCTGCGCGAGCGCGCGGCAGCTTTGTCAATGGTAGCGCAGCAACGTAGGGGCGCCGGAATTGGTGGCATTGAAGTCAGAACTGACACACCAGCCAACATGCGCGATCCTGATGAAGGCGTCGATGATCTGAGGAGCGAGATTGGACCGGACGACTCGGCTAGCAATGTCAGCAACAACAGGAGAAGGAAAGCACACCGTGCACGCGAACGAAGAACACCAGCACCGGTTGAGGAGGAGAGCGAAGAGGATGTTGCGCTCGCAGAGAGGATACGCAGACGTTTCTAAGGTAATCAGGGGATTCTTGGGACATTGCATTTGCGGTGGAGTTTGTTGGCGGCGTTTGGTATTGCTAATGATTTTAGGCCATGGCTGATATGACTTATGGCTTTCTGACGGCTGAGATATACGGATACCCAGTTTGAGAGCGTGGGGGATTGATAAGATATGCTTTCTTCCATGCGAGTAGGGCCGCGAAGTAGTTCAATGTATACCATTTGCTAGGATGACATACAAAATGACGTCACTGATGCTTGTTTACACAATGTCGGTTGGTTCTGCAGGATAGTTGAGATTCAGACAGGAAAGCATCAAGGCTGTAGTGGTGGTGATGGTGAGACTGGAGGGTGTTGATGGTGCTCCAATCACCTAGCACTGTCCGACAAGCGATGAGACGCATAGCTGCGATCAACCCCGCTCAACCACGCTGGGCGTCGTCGAGGTGTTCGTGTGGCGCGAAGCATTGGCGAGGGTGATGGACGCAGTGCCAAACCAAAGCCTACGCGAACTTGGTGCGATGGCGATGTCTGTAATTATACCAAGGCCTTGCTTTTGTCGGAGCTCATTAGCTGGACGCGACCCATCCCTGCACGTTGACGCGCCGGACATGCATGTCCCTCTATGACAACAGAGCGCGGGCGGGACAGTAAACAGGCCAACAACCACGCCGGCGGCCCATACAACGACCCAAACTCGTCGTGTTTGGAAGCCATCTGGCTCAATTACCCCAGATCCGGACATCTACGTGCTTGGATTCCTCTGCTGCCGGTCCCTCACCATTCGCTGTTGCCCTCGCAGTTGGGTGTTTACGAAGCAAGCCCTCTTTGGTAGGCGCAGACCACGGAGCCCTCTGTTTTGGACGCAGCCTGCCACACGGCTCACTGCCCTCTTGCCCTCTCACTAACGCATTCCACCACCAGACCTCGGCCATTTTTCTGCTCGATCCGCTCCTCGGCCACCTCGTAGCGACCGTAGCGACGACGGCCCTTCCGCTGTCCAACCAAGTCCCTCGCTTTACCCCAGGAACCGCACACGCGCATATACTCGATCCGCCTGTCCTGACCGCATTACTCTATCAGCATCAATACAGCTAGACATACGCCCCACGACGTTTTGGACACGACGTTGCGCACATGGCCGATCTGGGCGCCAACGAGTCGGTCGATCCGAACACCCTCTACACCAAGCAGGAATGCATAGGCGGCGGTAGCTTTGGCAAGGTCTACAAGGGCCTTGACCGGCGGACTGGTCACACGGTCGCTATCAAGGTCATCGACGTGGAGAATGCCGAAGACGAGGTTGACGACATTATGGGTGAGATCATGATCCTCTCCGGCATGAGCTCGCCGTACGTCACAAAGTACTACGGCTCGTACCTTACCGGCTCAGACCTGTGGATCGTCATGGAGTTCTGCTCAGGCGGAAGTTGCGCAGACCTGATGAAGCCTGGCCAGATAGCAGAGGTGGAGATTGCAGTCATACTCAAGGAGCTGTTGATGGGCCTGACCTATCTACACGACGACCACAAGCTGCACCGAGACATAAAGGGTACGTGTAATGAACCAGACTCACGCACAGGAATGCTGACGTCAACATAGCGGCGAATATACTAGTCAGCGCGAATGGTCAGGTCAAGCTCGCCGACTTTGGCGTTTCGGGACAGCTATCAGCGACCATGACCAAGAAGAACACGTTTGTTGGAACGCCCTTCTGGATGGCACCCGAGGTCATTAAGCAGTCCGGTTACGACGGGAAAGCTGATATCTGGTCTCTGGGCATTACCGCGCTCGAGCTGGCCAACGGCGAGCCTCCTTATGCTGACATCCACCCCATGAAGGTTCTTTTCCTCATCCCAAAGAACCCACCACCAACACTACAAGGTAACTTCTCGCCCGCGTTCAAGGAGTTTGTCGACCTTTGCCTGCGGAAGGACCCTAAGGAACGTCCGAGCGCAAAGCAACTCCTACAGACAAATTTCATTCGCAAGGCCGGTAAGCCCGCTCGTCTGCAAGAGCTCATCTCACGATATCAGGACTGGAAAGTCCGATATCCAAAAGAGGCAGCCGAGTCAGAAGATGAGGCTACTCCTGTGAAGAAGAGGGAGCCAGTCAACGAAGATTTGTGGGATTTTGGAACTGTGCGGCCGACAGGAGGTGCTAGAGGTCCAGCGCTTGCCCCAATGAATGACGCTGGAGCCAATGCAAGGAACCACTCGCCACAACGCAAACCTGTCACGCAAAACAGGGGTGGCTATGGTGACGAGAACGACGACACCATTCGAGAACCCTCTTCGCCGACCAAGCGTTTAGCACCACTGCAGACCCCAGGCTCACCCGACCCTGTGAGGACCGCCGCACGAGTACCGCTGCCAGCATCACCAGAGAAGAGAACAGCTCCTTCTTTTCCACAACCAGCCGCAGAGCTTCCACGAAAGTCTCCGGTACCTGGCCTCTTCCAGCCGCCACCCAACAGAGGACTAGTCACGCCAACTAAGCCGTCAAATCCTCAACAGCCAAGACGACAAACACCATTACAGCACACTTATGATGATTTCGTACAGAGGGAGATTGCTGCGGAGATGAATGCTGTAGAAACTACACCACAACAGCGAGTTCCAACTCCAAGTCGCGCTTCAGTTTTGCCGCAGATGACCATACCCGAAATACCACCATTCCGTGGACAGTCTGCCAGCCCTGGACAGAGCAGTTCGCAGAGCCAACCACCCAAGCCGTTACAAAGCCCTATGCGAACACAGCAGCACGCGCCGACTTCATCACAAGCTCAGAAACCTCTACCGTCGCTAGTCGGACAACAAGAACTGCCACTTTTGGCTGGACAGAAGCCACTTCCTCCAACACAACAATCGTTCACATCCTTCAGCCCAAGTTCTGCATCGCGGCCTGATTCAGGATCGTCGAATGACCCATTTGGCGGCCCGACGGCCTCGAGTTGGCAGTTACCGCCAAAGCAGCAACAAGTCGCACAGTCGCCCCCTCCACCGCCACCACACATTACCAAGCCCTCACCCATGTCTCGTGGCTCCTTTGGTAGGCCCAAACCGACGCCTAACCACCCTAGCCTCGTTCAAACGCAAGGTTCTCCACAGGCGCCTGTCGAGATAACAGCACTGAGCGGCGTGGTTATACCAGCTCTTGATGCTGCACTATCTCGCCGTAGTTACCATCTCAGTGTCAAGAACAAACAAGAATCTGCTCGATCACTGGATGACGCGCAGGGCTTCATCGAACGCAGACGACAAAGGCAAGAATGCCATGACAAGGTGGTTCGCCTGGTCAATGAAATCAAGGGGAAGTTTGAGGAGCTGGATCGATGGGACGAGAAGGGAGAGGTAGGTATGGGTGGGGAGGTCGCGGGCTTCCTGGAAGGTTTCCTTGAGGAGGTGCTTGTACGGGTCGAGCCAGCAGACGACTAGTGGGACTGATTGCATCCCCGATACTTGCTTTGGCGCTCATGCATATGGGAAGGTTCCTTTGGGGACGTTGATGGCTCTCGTGCGATTTGGCAAGGCGTTTATTGATAGGATGAAACCTGGGAATCGCAACTGAGTTTTAGATGCTCTTGTTATGCATACTTCTGGGCCGAATTCAATGCGAGTTGGTCCAGACTTCAGTCTATTCTTTGCTTTCGACCAAGCGCAATGACATCTGACCTGAGCTGGCGTTGTATTGATGGTAGGCAAGATGTTGGTGATGGGGAGCTGCCACCAATCAGCGTCGAGGCAGCTCCGAACGCCCGGTATTAGTCGTAGTTTCGTCACTCGGTCTAGGACAACTCATCGCTACGCGTTCTTATATCGCGTTACGCTACAGCGCTCAGCAGAGCAACCGGAAATCCTTTCCACGATGGTGTGAGTATTGTATGCTGATAGGTAGCAACATGTGACTGACCGTGGCCTTTAGACGTACCATCAGGAGCAATGCGCTCGAGAAGCTTGCGCGCCTGTCCGCGCAGTCGCCATCTGTAGAGGCTACGCAATCAGATTTTGCGAGATTGTTCAAAAGATGCTCGGCGTCGAGCTCCATGAAACTGCAGGAGCTAGAGGCAATCCTTGCCTTGTGCAAGTCTGCACCATACATTGAGTCGATCGATGTCGCTGAGAAGCTGCTCTCACGCCTTTCGCCATACCTCGCCGCATCGCACACGCAGACGCTTGCACCCTCTCCCAGCCTTCGGACTTTCGAGCCCGCGCCGTACGAAGTTCTTACCTACAATCTTACCCGTGCCGTCCTCTCGCTCGGCCTTCGACACGATCAACTACGAACACAAGCTACCAACGCACTTGGAAGCTACCTCGCCGGCTGGGTCTCAGTAGCTGCGGAGCTTTCGGAAGAACAATTCGTCGACGATGGAGCCGACGACTATGCGGCAGATGGCGAGCTGGCGCGTGTTATGACACACAGTCTGTCACTGCTGGGCTTCCTGGGTGCCGCTGCTGAGCATGCCCATTTCTGGAATGCCTACGACAGACTCCAGCTTGTTCAGGATGTGCGAAAAGCCTTGACAGAGAATTTCCTCATCGCATTCGAGACCGTGCTGTCCATTGTGCGTAATGCGCGCTCTCACCAGCATGGTCTTCGAGAATGGAAGCGCTATACAAAACACTACGCTGCTACTGGGCGACCACTTGGTGCCATGATCCTGCACGACTCTTTTCTGAAGGTCGTGCTGGCTTCGGCTTCGTTGCTTGTTGGAAGTAGCTCGCATTCTGCGTCGCAAACGTCTGTTCTGGACCACCTCCAGACTACCCTCCACAGAAAGAACCACCAGATTCTTAGGGATGCAGCCGAGAACTCGCTGGCTGAAGGATTGGCCAAGATTGCAGGAGAGGAGATGGAACGTCTAGAGAACGACATGGACTACCTGCAACGAGTGGGATCGGCTTGGCAGCAGCAACAGGCCTCTTCTGTCAAAGCCAAGGTACTTATCACGTATCTCTGCTGTACCATTTACGATGACGATACGGATATCACAGATGCAGAAGTTTTGACCACTTGGCTCGATAATGTACTCAATGACCCTGCACAAAGCGCGGATCATGAATTGGCTTCCACAGTACTGAAGTCTATGGCCATCCTCGCTAAAGTCTCACCGCAGCTAGCGTCTAGTCTGGGACGGTCGCTTCCCCGAGTCATCGTTCAAGCCAATTTCGATCATCGGACAACTTCCGTTGCTGCTGAGTCGCTCGCTGCTGTTCTCAGCCTCCTCCCCCAGGACGCTATCATTACAACGCTTTACAGTTTAGGCAACGTTATCAGCGTTGCTCCCAAGCCCGATCGAAATCCATCTTCGTCTCCCACGTTGAACGGCACTGGGAAGACTGCGCGTTCAGGTGGCGTGTATAATAATCAGAATGGCAGTACAATCTCGCTCACACCGAGTGATGTTGACGAACCCCACCATGTACACACCACTGTCGTTGAGACCATCGTCTCTGTTGCAAGGAATTGTCAGGATCCCAAGATTACGGCTCTGGCGCTGTCGATGCTCATCCAGAAAGTTGGTCGCTCTGGCAAAGTTGTGGACGCAAAGATCATTACCGATTCGGCTTTCTTGGGTGTCCATAGCCCACCTGGGGAGTTCAGATCTTTGCTCAAGGTCTACACCAAACTCTCGCACGATGCATTAGTCTCTGATGACGGGGCTATACTCGAAGCTGTCATGGCAGCCCGCCTCAACCTTTCCAAGGAGATATCTGCCAATGAGCCTACCTTTGAAATCTACCTCACACACTTACTAGATACAATAGTCAGCAAAGGAGATGCTCAAGAGACGTCGCATCGCCATATAAGAGACACGGAGCTTGCAGCTCAAGAGATTGGGCAGCTGCTGAAGCCTCTTGCGCTTCTACTTGAAAGAAATGCGGAACGAGCCGAGTATTCAGAACTCGACGACTCCATTATTGGGCTCCAGCGCGATGCCTGGTTCAATATTGTCGTTCATGGCTTCGATCTTCTCTCTGATCTCGGCAAACAACACAGGGAAGAATTGCGCACTCTTGCGCGATTCAGTAAGCCACTCATCGCTGAGGAACGACCTTTCCTTTCCGAGAGTGACATAGAACTCAACACCGTGTTGCGTCGCGGCAAGTCACCAGAACATACAGTCGAGCAAAAGAAGCGGCTCGGGAAACTGCTCCCATCCTGCGAGCCTGATACCAAATCTTTGAGTTACCAAGAAGCAGTCTTTTTGAGCACCGCGTACCTGGTCGAAGACCTGCGCGCAAGTACAGGTGATTGCACTAAAGCACTTGCCTACTTCCTCGATCCAAAGCTGCGAACTGGTGCAGTGGGTAATTGTATGGCTGCTATCACAACAACCGCTGTTCGAACCTATCTGGCAAAGACTCTGTCGGGTCAGTCACATACGTTCTCGACCCCATACCTGGCGAGGCAACTAGCGACAATATTCTCAGCATGCTGTCATCGCATCGCTCGCGTTCAGCAAGCGGCAGCTACTTGTGCAGATATCATCATCCGTGAAGTCCCGTCCACCCTATGTCAGAAAAGCGCACTCTTCGCCCTGTTGGAACTTCTCTCTATGATGTGGTATAGCTGCCTGGAAGGCGAGACTGACGATTATACTTGGAAGTCAACGTTTACATCAAAGCGATCTAACATCGTTGTAGAACTATCAGACGACTACGCTTTCCGAAGAGCGACTCTCGATGCGTTACATAAGCGTGCGACAGTATGGGTGAAAGGAGCACTTGATATTGCTCCACTCGACGTGAAAGGACTCCTGCAGTCCTATCTCTCCGAGTTTGATGATGAGATGACTTTTGGCCACATCTCGCTAGGGCGATCTTTCGCCTTGGAGATGGGATCTGTTATTCCGTCAACCGACCAACGTCTTGGTGCCATTGAACGCCAGGGCATAAACATCAACACTGCGTCAGACTTCATCACACAATACACGACGAGACAGGAGTATAAGTTCCTTGAGGGTGTGGCTGATCAAGAAGAAGAATGGCTCCAGGGCGCACCACCCTCTGGAAGAAAGTCAACCTACCTCTCACGGAGCTTGCACGAGGCGACAAGTCTCCTCGTAGACCTGGAGAATCGTACCCTCAACCACAAGCATGTTACGATTGCTGAGCTTCGTGACATACTACGGAGAGCAGCCGCGCTTCTGTGTAGGGTCAAAACAGACCAATCGCCTATCGTTCAGCATTTAGTCGGAATTCCCTTTGCGGTTTTCTCGAAGCAATCTATCAAGCTTGGTATCTCACTGTGGACAAGCGTTGCGAAGGAGAACCCTCGTATGGAATCTCGAATCCTTGTTGCTATCGCCGAGAATTGGGAAAATACGGTACGCAAGCGTCGTGGTATCTTCAGTCCCGCATTGAGACACGAAGATCCCTTCTACGGGAAACAAGAATTCGCCGCAACAGACAAAGAAGCGCTCTCGAAACGCCAACAGCAAATCTACAACCTTATCGCGCCGCATTTCCGCCTGTTACAGTTTTTGTCTAGCCATTTTAGCGCTTCACGATTGAGCAGGGCGGATGTGGAGCGCGTATATGTTCGATTGATGCATATTACGCTTGACGCGATGAGCGCCGGTTGTTCGCAGCCGCTTGCTCGCGAGTCGTACTTCCATATCGTTCTGCTCGGACTGCGTATTGCACGTCATTGTACTACCTTATCAGCGACCGTTAGGTGGCGGTTGACCGATCGCATAATGACGGCTGCTCTGGCATGGTTCGCGAAAGCACCGCAATGGTCTTTTGGAGGCAATCGACTACAGATTAAGGCTGAGACGCATGTCCTTGCAGACGTGCAGGCGCAGCTTGACGTTATCGGCAAAGTCACAACAGGCGTGGATGTCGGCGCAAAATTAAAGGCAAAGCAGGATCTTCTATCCCTACTACTCTCGAACGAGCAGACTCGTCTTATGGTGTGGCTGTTCCCTCTTGATTACGGAAAGAAGCATCATTTTACCACCGGACGCCATAACAACACACTTCCCGATGTAAGTTATCTATGTATGCTGAATGACGCAGGCTAATATTGCTAGACTGCTGTGTCCGCTCATCTGAAGACGGCCTGGGCTGAGAATCCTGCGATCGCTGTACATCTCCTCAAACGCTTCCAATCTCAGCGTCTCAACACCGAGGTGCGATGGCAGGTACTGAACTTCCCGCACAAGGTGTTGGATGAACCAGATGCTCTTGAGATCCTCCTGGGCAGCCTCTTGCCAAGTGACGTGTCATTCCAGCTCAAGTACATGCTCTACTGGAAGGCCGTAAACCCTATCACAGCCGTCACGTACTTCCTTCCAGCGTATGGCAACCATCCCTTTATCATCCAATATGCGATGAGAGCACTAGAGAGCCATTCTGTGGACGTCATGTTCTTCTACGTCTACCAGATTGTGCAAACGCTTCGATATGACGTTCTAGGGTACGTCGAG